TCATCCACCACACACGGCACTGGCCTTGGTTCCTCGACTACCCACGGTACCGGCCTTGGCTCATCCACCACACACGGCACTGGTCTCGGCTCATCTACTCACGGCACAGACCCAACTGGTCCCCACAACTCCGGCATGATGAACAAGGCTGACCCGCGTGTCGACTCTGACCGTCTGGGAACTGTAGGCAACACTGCAGGTGTTGGTGGTGTCGGTGCTGGCCAATACACCGAGTCTCACGGCAGCGGCTTGACTGGCCACTCCACTACCGGCCACGGTCTCGGTTCTTCAACTGGCAACACCATGGGCACTGGAATGACTGGTGGCCACGGAACTGCAGACTTCAACGACCCCAGCGGCCCCCACGGCTCACGTATGGCCAACCAGGCTGATCCTCGCGTTGGCGGTGTAGGCAGCACTGGAACTGGTGCTTACAACACCACTGGCTCAGGAGTCACTGGACACAGCACTACCGGCGGCCTTGGACACTCCGACCCTACCGGCCCTCACAGCTCTCACGCTGCTAACACTGCCGACCCCCGTGTTGGAGGAGGCGTAGGAAGCACTGGAATTGGTGGAACTGGTCATCACACTAGCACCACAGGTGAGCATGGCAGCGTTCCCGGACACGTCGAGGGCACTGTGGGGCGAGGCGATGTGGCTCAGGGCGGCTACGCTAGCAAGAGCGAGCTCCCCAAGGCCCTCGTTGAACCTCAATCCCACGCTGTTCCTCACTCCTCCATCCGGGATGACCACCAACATGTTTCAGGTCAGCACGGTACCTCTGATGTTCACGGCAAGCCTTCCATGATGGACAAGCTCAGTAAGTAATCTCCAGCTTCTCGGACTATCATGAAACTAACCAGCTCTCTAGACCCCAAGAAGGACGCCGACCACGACGGCAAGCGCGGCATCATGGACTAAGTTCTGAGTCGTCCCACTGTCCTCCACATCATGGAAAATCTTCATGAGATGAGAACATTGCGAATGTCTTTAGACATGGTTTCATGGCATGATTTCACGAATACCCACGATATCCAACTGGCTACTTAGATAGCCTAAATGAATAATAATTCTTACTTCGATACATATTCTCTGCATGCAATGTTGTTTTGAACCTGACTTTGTTGTAGCGAATACCACTCCACCAGCTCAACTAATCGCCTCCGGCCTCAGCCATCTTCACCATCTCCGCCCTGTCTTCGGGAGTCAACGCATTAGTCTTCGCAGCCTCCTTCCACGCCTCCACCTTCTCATACTGCACCTTATCCAACGTCCCCTTGAGCTGCTTCAATAACTTGGGTGCAAACTTGCCCGTCGCATAAACCACACCATCATACTGTCTTGCAAACAGCACAACCACGAGGGTCAAAAATAACACCGGCCCATCACTCGCCTTCTGCTTCTGCAACCGCCTCAGCATATCCTCCACCATGACCTTCTTCGCCGCCACCAGCGTCGTCTCCCCCGGTGCCTCAACCCCCTGTTTCTTATTAAACTTGTCCAACGCCGTCGCAATACCAGCCACGCCCTCCACCGTCTCCAGCACACCACTCAACCTCGCGACATTCTTGCGCGTCCGCCGACTCTGCACCAGACGCTGTGCGCGCGCTTTAGCCAGCGTATCCGGTATAAGTTCTTTCTTCGCATACGCAGCGAGTAGCTGGGCGAGTTGGTCGTGCACTTTGGGGTCCGAGACGCCTGTTAGACCTGTGCTGTAGATGTTGTAGCGGGCGAGACAGCGGTCAGACCAGTATGTAGCGAAATCTTCTTCATTTGCGGTTTCCAGAGGCGCGAGCGTGTTGTAGAAAGTCTCTTCTAGCGCTTTGTCGACGGGTTTTGTGGCGAGGAGGAGGCGCTGGACGAGGCCTGAAGGGGGGATTAGATTGCGGATTCTGTCACGTGAATACTTTGGGTCGGGGGCTGTGGTGGTGTTGTTTGTGGTTGTGGGATCGTTGAGGAGAGTTTGCCATTGGGAATGGGCGTCTTGGGTTGCGTAGGTTGCGAGTTCGTCGATGGCGCCGTCACGTCTGGTTTCTGTGAGGATGAGGTGGCCGACGCGGATGATGCGTTGGCCTGGGGGCTTTTGGGAGAGGGCGCTTATGATGGCGTCTTTGGATTGCGAGGAGACTGTTTCGACGATGCTGGCGGGGAGACGGGATCCGATTACTTCGGTTACGTCGAGTGTGGAGCCTTCTTGTTCGAGGATGCGGATGCAGTCTTGCTGAATTTGCGTTGTCCATGGTTTGGAGACGGCGAAGGTGTCTAGTACGGTGATGTTGGGTAGGTTTTGGAAGTGGGAGACGGCGTCTTTGTAGGTAGAGAAGAAGTCGGGGTAGTCGGAGGCGAATTTCTGAAGATCGAGGTACGCGAGTGCGCCGGATTGGAGACTATTGAGCGTTGCGTCGCGTTTGGATTCGATGAGTTGTTTGGGTGTACAGGAGATGGTACCATTGGATTCTTGGATGTGAAATTGAGAGGTGAGATTCTCCTTCTCTAAGACTTGGTTCAGAGTGTGGGAGATGAACCATATTGATGGGTTGTTTGGTAAGTCTTCTGACTTGATGCTGGTTGTTCTATGCAGTGTTAGATAATGATACTAATGGAGTATGAATTGCACTTACTGCACGTTCTTGAGCGCTTGATCAACCCGACTGGAGATAGCTTCCGAAATGGCGCTTTCGTAAGATCTTTTACATACGTAGCCGTCAATACTCAGCACTTCGCCATCATGGTCGGCGAGTAGAGCGTCCAAACTGTTGAGCCAGATATCGTGTTGCGTAGCGAAGTCGGCTTTGGCAACTAGTCCATTGGACAAATAGACCAGAAAGCTTTTCCCGCAGTGCATCTCGTTCATGAAAAGGGATGATGTGTTTCCGGTCCACACTTAGTAAGCAAAGTTTTGGATGATTCCGCGCGAGCTGATCTACAAGCGTCTGATCTATGTCAAGTTCGCTAGCAAAATCTGAAAGTGGTATCCGTTGAGTTTCTATAAAAAGTAAGTAAACACTTCGCACGGTTCTATCGAATCAACTTACCTTTGGTTACTCGACCTCTGAACTGTGCTTGGGCGAACTGGAGGGTCACGAAACCATGGCCACGAGATGATAGTGTGAACTGTGGTATGAAATCGGAAGTCTCTTGTGGAGGAAAAAGAGCGAAGATGTTCTTTACATCGCTTGGGCTGAACATTGCTGTCTAATTCGGATGTTCAGCCTTGGTTGAGTGTAGAGGTACGGTTACGCAGATTGCTTATGTAGTTGAAGAGGTCGTTGGCGGGTTGATCTCGCCAGATGGCAGCTAGGCAAATCGGGAGTCCTCTTTGTCGCCGCGTTTAAGAAAAACCGGGAGTAATTGTTTCTCCAACAGCACACCGCACACCAGTCACACAAAATTAACCACAATTCTGTGTCGTGCCAGACGTCAGTGAACCTTGGAAGAGTTGGAGACAGCCTCGTCCTGATTGGTGGTAGGCGGGGCAGCGGCGGAACCTCGGAATTTGTGCGCAACCTCATCGTCGCTTCATCGACTTTTGAAGATAGCCAGCGGACCTCATCAAGCGCCATCATGTCTCAATTCCGCGCGGCCAAGCTGGATATCGGATGCTTTACGAAGATCCGCAACATTCGCGACCATACGAAGCGGAAGGTCTACTCCGAGAACGAGCCAGAGCGGTATGCGCCTCCACACCCTTATGTTATAAACAAGGACTAAAGACGACACAGACAAGCACTCCGATACATCATCCGCAACACTACACTGCCGCAAAGAGTTCGCGCGCAAGCTCAGCTCCAATTGTCAGAGATGCACTGCTACACCCGCTACACACAGATCAAGAACAGGTGTATAATGGGAGGCAAGGGCCGTGGTGTCTTTAGCGACTTCAGGATGGGCAGAGTATGTGTATTTGGTTCCCGCATAAAGACTAAGGCTAACTGTATTGCAGTACCAATTCCGAGTTAACGCGCTCGCTGGAAACCTGCCGGGTGTCAAGAAAGCAAGTTGGTAGACCTGCTCGGAGGAGGCATTCTTTGGAATATGTGTACAATACTCGGGCATTAGGCGGCGTACTTGCGGAAACCATGAATGGAATATGAAATCGTATATTGGTCCAGAATACAGACCTGCAAAGCCCCGCCTTTAGAGCAAACGCCGTACCGTACAGTCGGCATATGATGGCGAGGCAGACTTTCCGCTGCAGGGCGCCTGCGTTTGCATGTTGTCCGTCTCCAGGGTCCTTTGCAGCACGCGTATACCCGGACATTTCTTCTCTCACTGTTTACCTCACCGCTTCAGCAGGCGCAAACAGTGGCAGCTCCCCCTGCCAGTAATAAAACTTCAACTCATCACTGACCACGACATCTGCTTCCTCAAATATAACTGCAACTTAACTCAGTAAACTGGACTCAAAGCGCATCATCCGTACCACCACCGCAGCTAGACCGTGATTACCCCATCATGTTTGTACGTGTGGAGGACTCATTGCCAGCCGACCCTTCCTTCCCAGCGGATCTGAAGAAGCTCGGCTACTTTATCAACAAGACGGGCTGCATTCGCAGGATAAATGCGCCAGAGAAGCAGTTCGTCTACCACGCCACGAACAATGAGCGCGTCAACGAAGTGCGCCGTGAGGCCATGCAGAGTGAGTTAAGACATCGCACATCTTGGAGTCCGACTAACAAACAGCAGCCTGCCAGCGCAAAGAGGCAGAGAAGCGCTTGTCCTACCTTGGTATCAACTGTATCCATCTCCCCAAGTTCGGCATGTCCAAACCCAACGGACCGCATGTGCCAATCCTGAGTCCCTCACCCGATGTACTGAAGTCACGCAAGCGCGTCATCGTCATCGTCAACGACACTTTACAGGATCTGGGCATTCTGGCGTACAGGCAACTGCAGCGAGAACTCGGCATCAACGGCGGATCCGTAGTCAACTTCGTCAAGGAAATCATCAAGCGCTCGGCTCCCAACAACAGTGCCGACAAGGACGCGGATATCTTCAAAGATGGATTCAAGCTCGACGACGACAGTACTACGCCTGGGCTAGTTGTACTTAACATGGGCCAGTTGCTCTATTCGACCAAGTACGATCAGGCTATGACTTTACGCAGCTGGTCCGCCATGCCGCGCAAGTCGGTGGTACACGATATGATCCCCATCGATGAAGAGGTGAACCGTGTGCCTGGACATCGAACTCCAGAAGAGCATCTCAAGACTGTCTTTGATCAAGTCATCTGTAATCCTGAGCGAGTGGCGGCTGACGCAGAGGTCTATGTCATTGCCCTCGAGAATGGCACCCAGCGTATTGTGAGCTTGATCGGCAACAACTGTAAGTATTGCGTTACCAGCTTTGGTTATCTGAACTGAATTTCTTTTAGTTGAGAAATATGGCTCCCGCATCACTGCCATGGCACTCGTCGACTCTACCGTCGCCGATGCTGAGATCCATAATCCACATGCCCGAGCATTCCTCCGTCAACGCACCCGCCAGTGGAAGTACAACGACCTCACCTTCAACCCACTGCATTGTACCAGCCTACCCGACGACTACCATCAGGACACAGCGAACAGCCAGCCGCAAGACACGACATCGTGCATGCGTTCAGCCAAGCACATTTCCTGGCACGAAGGCATTCCCACCGGCGCAGTAGCAATCCTCACGAACACCCTGCACCGTCTCTCTATCGCCATCACCCCAGCTTCAAACCCGGAACTCACTCCCCCAACCGACCCCGACGCACCCGCAGACTGGACAGACCAAGGCGTCGTCTGTCCCACCTTTTCCGGTGGCGCAAACCCCGTCGGCGAATGCATCTTCACCAACCCCACCGTCCAACACGCCATCCTCTCCTTCTTCGAAGAAGTCGCCCAAGACCCCGAAAACTACCGTAACCCTCTCTCCCTCAAAGCCTTTACTGAAGCCCCTAAACCCACACCCGATAACCCCATGTCCTTCGACCCCGAGCAGGCTCCCATCGACTTCACACCGCCACCCGATCTCCTCACACCCGAGCAACAAGCCCTCGCCGACGCTCGCGACACGCTCCTCGAACTCAGCGTCGAGCTCGCCGCCTGTCCTACGGACATCTCTGAACTAGCACCCGGACGCAAGGCCCTGGAAACCAAAATCTCGGAGCTGGCAACTCACGTGGAGAAGCTGGAGATGGAGGCGCTGAGTTGTGGTGGCGCGGTCGCAGGTGAAGCGGAGTCGAAGCGTGAGAGCTGGAAGCCAAGGGCTGAGGGGCCAAAGGTGCCGTTTGCGGGGACCATGGTGGATAGTGAGTTGTTGAAGGCTACGGGGTTGATGGGTGGGGGTGCAGTGGAGGAGGTTGGTGTGGAGAAGGAGATGGATGAGGTTGATGTCGAGAGGGAGATGGACGAGGAGTTTGGAGTGGATGAGGAGGAGGAGGGTGGTAAGGTTAGTGATGATGAGAAGGCGTTTCTGTAGATGAGATGTGTTGAGAGAGGTGGGTCTATGAGGAGTTGTGCACTTTGATGGGATATTCTGACATGAAAGACTCTTTTAGTCAATCATCCAAGGCGTTTCTTCTTCCCCAACGGAAACGAAAGTAGGCTATGCGAGAGTTCAGAACTTGGTTCAAAATGTACATCGAGCCACAATCAACATTGTCCTTTAACAGAAAAGGGATCAAAGAACACATTTCAGTCATCATCATCACCATCATCACCACAACACAGACATCCCAGCAGCAGAGCAACACCAAGAAGAAGAATCAAGAAAGTCTTGCAGACCGACTACCCTCTTTTACGCTTTACTTTCACTTTCCTTTCACTTTCACTTCCAACACAACATACGTACATACGTATCTGTTCCTTTGGCAACAACCCCCAGACCCGACCGGCTCATCACCTCAATCTTTCATCGTGGAAAAAAAATCATCAAAATCACAGACAGACTACGACACACTACCCACAACGAGGGCGGCAACACCCTCCTCCTCACTCCTGACATCAATCTTCATCGTAACCCCAGTCTTTGCACTAAACGCCATCCGCACCATAGCCGCCACCTTTCCGCCTGTAATAGTCTTGCCGTAGAGTTTGAGCGTATGTGTTGAAGCCGAGAGAGCGACGTCTGTGCCTTCGAGGGGTTGGAGGGAGAGCGTCTTTGTGAGTTGTTCGGTTGCATCTGTGATAGTGTTAGTGCTGGATTCCCTAGATGAGATCTAATACTGAATGGTCTGATCATACCTGCTATGCTCTTCATGTTACCCAGCTGTAGAGTCTCAGTTGCCGAATCGCCGTTCGACTGATCCCACACGTTGTCAAAGCTACCAGCATACGCCGGAACAACGTAATCCGCGCCGGTGAGGTAAAGGTCCTCGACCGAGTATTCGTCGGCGTAGCCATCGCCCTCTTCTGGCTCGTTGGTGCTGGGGTCGATTTCCTTTGTTGTGAACTTGAGGACGTTTGTGAAGCTAGCGGCGATGAATTGCGACTCGGTTTCCAGGCGCTTAAAGGATACGTAGACGGTTCCAGGCTCGTTTGTGGCAAGCTTGGGTGCTGGGATAACGAATTCCTCTTCTAATTGGACATCGCCATCGTCTTCTGGTGTGACAACCATCTCAACGTCGACCAAAACGGTGTCATCAAGAGTGTTCTTGATGTCGTATTGAAGGACAATGTGATCCTTGAAGATATGCTTGATGGCGGTAACGACGTATTCGGTCTCTGATTCGGTAAGCTCGACAGGATCACTCGACTTGAGTACACCGCCATGCGCTGCCAGTTCCGGAATCTTTTGTAGCTCCGCAGCATACTTTTGCGCATTGTTTGCTGCATTGGCCGCAGCATCTGCGCCGGCTTTTGATGGTGCTTTGGCGGCGCTGGGGGCTTTGAGAGTTGGTGTAGCACCTTCGGTCTTCTTGGTAAGATCTGCTGCGTCTGCTTGCTCGCGTGATACTGTTGGGATCTTGGTGATGTCGAAGGCGGTCTCAAAGGTGTCGCGAGAGTCGGAGCTAACGTACATGGCCAATTGATGCTCGAGAACAGGCAGCGAGAACATGGAGTCGTTGCGAATGAAGCTGATAGCCATGTCGTCGTCACCTTGGTCCATCAATCGGAGGTTCAACGCAGCACGATCTCGGACTTCGTCGTCGACATCGTCGAGGCATCTGGTAAGGAGAACGTGCACCGATTTCTTGATCTCTGGGTCTTTCTGACCAACACCAAACTTGGCAAGGGCGGAGGTTGCTGCGGCCCTAACAATAGCATTCTCCAAAACCACGCGGTTGTAGATGTAACGAATGTACTTTGTGGGGTGTGGTGTCGAAGGGCCTTCACGTCCAAGCACGAATAGAATCCTGACGGCGAGCTTCGTAAACTCGCAGTCTTCGATAAATTCGCAAAGCGTCGCAAGCGCATCCTCCTTGGCCTCTGGTACGAAGCGGATAAGGTCCATGATGGCTTCCACAACAGCACGCTTGAATTCGTAGCCACCCTCATCGCGCAAGATGCCACTAAGGAAGGCGAGGAAGCCCGACTGCTTCGCCTTGAACTTCAAAGCCAGTGTTCGCACAGCCTCCACAATTGTAACCTTGAACTCATCCGTAATCTCAGCCATGAAGCCTGTGATTTGCTTCATCAGTCTGTCTACAGACGACTCATTGCCCGTCTTGAGGAGTGTAGTAATGGCAAAGGTAGCGATGCTGCGGTTCGAGTTTGTGATGAGCGATTCAATGTCCTGGTTGCACGAGCGAACAGCGTCCGGCTTGAACGATGCCATTTGCGACAGGATGCGAAGAGCGGCGAATTTGGTGACAGCGCGAGGGGATGTCAGGAAGAGCTGGAGCACGTGAACAGCCTGTACGAGCTCGGCATCGGTAACGTCGCGCATGTCGGTAATGGCCTTTGCGGCCTCGAAGTTGACCATCTCGGACTTGTGGCGCAACCAACCGTCGAGGAGTTGCATCATGGGCTGTGGACGTTAGCAAGACAAGTTGGCGGAGCTGTTGATGACGTACCTTTCGCAGATTTGGGTCCTCCTCAGCCAACTTAGCTGCCAACCTAACCAGCAAGACGGTGGCAGCAGGGCTCTTGACCACACCTGCAGCCGAGTACTGCTGCACCATCTTGACCAAGCTCATCCTGTCGCCAGAGCGCATTTGGTATAGCAGACCAATGGCATGGTACTGTGTCATGTAGTTTGTGCTGGCCTGCAGAGTGGTATGCGAGCCTCCTCCAAACCCACCCAAGAAACCACCGCCCGACTTGCTTCCAGAAGCTGCCTCTGCGGCTTCAGACTGCCATCTCCGAACGACATCTTTTGCAACAGGGAGGAGGTGGTATGAGGACACGAGCGCGGCCGAGGCTACCGAGGGATTCTTGTCGACTATGCACGTCTTGACGAGACGCTCGATGGCTTGTACGGTGGAAGCGTCGATGACACGGCAGAGGGCGCGGATGGCATTTGGGCGGTATACGACGTCGCTGCCGACCGAGGTATCCTTCATAATCGAAGAGGTGACCATGATGACATCGTCGGCAGAGCCAGCGAGCTCCTTGATGACCAGGTAGACCATCTGGCGGAGAGCGGCATCCTTGTTCTGGAAGAGCTTGGAGATGCCGAAGAAGAGGGTCGTGGCTTCTTGCCGGCCCCAGCTCTCTCCGGTGAAGAGCAGTAGGGCCAGCTTGGTCAGGATCACTCTACATTTCCTGGGCGATATAGGGCTCTGGTTGAATACTCGTGCTGGACAGCAACGTCAGCGTCCATTGCGCGCAATGCTCCCCGCTACTTTGGCGTGCGGGTGTCATGTGTGAAATGATATGGCGCCTACCTTCTTGGAAGACGGATGTCTTGTCAATCTGCGCCACGCCGCCAGCGTCCTCGTGCTTCTTGTCCATGGTGTTTTGGGTGCAGCACCGAGTGCTAGCTCTCCTTGGGTATGTAAACTTGTCCCTCTCTTCCTCCGCCTAACGTGGCCTTTTGCGACGGGGGTGCAGTAAACGTGTCCGGATGCCACCCTACAATTGCAATTGCGTTGTTCGAGGGCGTGAGGGTATTAGGCGTGGTTTGTTTTGCCGTAGTCTAGTCGTCCTGAATTGGCGACGTTGAAGATGGCCTCTCCGGCGGGAGTGCAGCTGCAGGGATGTCGGCGTGTGGGCTGCTCTTGCATGTCCCAGGCCTTGGCGCTCGGAAACTCCAACTAAATGTAGTCCGGGTATTCAAGGCTCTGGCGTCCTGACTTGCGCCATCGCTGTCGGTCGCTCTTTTTTTCACTCTTTCTTCTTCATTCATACACATATTAGACACAATGGCAACCTCAATACCGCGCTCACGTTGTTTTCTCACATCCTCTACACTGAAGGTGGTCCCGCGCTCGAGAACACCATTAAGAAGTTTTGCCACAACCTCCGATACTCCACAAACCTCAGTGCCCGAGGCCCCGGGAAAGCGATCACGACCCCCAACGTCGTTTAGCGATACCCTCAATGCTGGTCCTTCATTTGGTGACTTTGTGAACCCCAACGCGCCCCTCTCCCCCACCGAAGCCTACGAAATCAAGACAGTACAAGTTGGGCCCGAAGGCCGCAAGAAGACCATCACACGACTACCAGAGTGGCTGAGAACGCCCATACCCTCGAATGCGAACCAAAACTACAAACAGATCAAGAAGGATCTCCGCGGTCTGAACCTGGCCACCGTATGCGAGGAGGCGAGATGTCCCAACATCTCCGACTGCTGGGGCGGAAGTTCCAAGAGTGCGGCAACGGCAACCATAATGCTCATGGGTGATACCTGTACACGAGGCTGCCGTTTCTGCGCTGTAAAGACTTCCAAGGCACCTCCGCCACTGGATCCCCACGAACCGGAGAACACTGCGGAGGCGCTGCGGAGATGGGGTCTGGGCTATGTCGTCATTACCGTCGTTGACCGCGACGACCTCGCGGATTCAGGAGCCCATCACATTGCCGAGACAATCATGAAGATCAAGCAGAAGAACCCGACACAACTCGTCGAACTGCTGGGCGGAGACTATGGAGGCAACTTGGAGATGGCCAAGGTGGTGGCGCGGAGTGGCGTTGATGTATTTGCGCACAACATCGAGACTACCGAGCGCCTTACGCCCTTTGTACGCGACCGCAGGGCCAAGTTCAGGCAGAGTTTGGATGTTTTGAGGTCGGCAAAGGAAGAACGACCAGAGCTCATCACCAAGACGAGCATGATGCTGGGTCTTGGAGAAACAGACGAGGATCTCTGGCACGCGCTGAGGGGTAAGCCTGTATCATTACATATCCAACCACACGAGACTAACAAACTACTCAGAACTCCGCGCAAACAATGTCGACGTCGTAACCTTTGGCCAATACATGCGACCTACCAAGCGCCACATGGCCGTCCACGACTACGTCACCCCCGATAAGTTTGAGCTCTGGCGCCAGCGTGCCCTCGACATGGGTTTCCTATACTGCGCCTCCGGCCCACTCGTGCGCTCGAGTTACAAAGCCGGCGAAGCCTTTATTGAAAACGTACTCAAGAAGCGAAGGCTGGGTAGCAGCGCAGGCAAAAATGACGTTGCTGAACTGAGTGCCGCAGAGGAAGTTGGCAAGGCGTTATGATTGTTACAGTAATCCATATAGACGGCGTTTTATTTTTTCTTGTTGAAATTTTCCAGGATCTACTTCAACCCGATCTTGGCTTTGGCTTTGGCTTTCATGTCGTGTAACGTCACTGTAACAACAGTTTCAACAGAGCTCGTTTTCACGAATCAAGATATCATTCACATCCGCCAGTGTTGACAAGAATCGTAGTCCAATATAACGAGTTCATATATACAGCCTCGTCCACTCCTCTACTATCTAGATGTGTCCGCCAAGTACTGCATCTCAACAGAAAGAAAGAAGGAAAGTAAGAAGATCCTTCCAATGAACGTCCTTCTGTCAGTCTATGATATCCGAGTTCAAACACCAAGGAAACAATATGGGTATATACAAAAAAGGAAGGAACTAGGGTAACTAGATCATCTAAAGAAAGATATGAGGCGAGTGAGATAGCAATAACGCATGACCAGACCGTGACAAGAACATCATCTTGCAATGCACATGTACCTACCGTCACAAGCTTCCTCGCACCACCTTCTCCAAGACCCTAATTGTTAGGCATCCCCGCCCGCAAGTTATCATACTTGCTCACCGGGTAACTCAGTAAATTAGACGACCGGTCAAGCTGACCCGTACCACCAATATTCTTCACAAACTATTTTCACAGTGTCAGCCCCAAACATTACCATTTCATCGAGCAAACCCGCCCCGAAAACAGAATAAAAAGAACTTACAGTCGAGATCAAACTCCCCTCGCCCTTCTTATCACCAGAACTCTCCCACCACATCCCCCCACCAAGCCCCTGCTCCCTAATCAACTGCGTCTTTTGCTGGATAATAGCAGGGGTATCGTAACTAATCATAAGACGTTTACCAGCATCGTAGCTCCAGCTTGCCGCAATATCCGTGTCTGTGTACTCTACAGCGCCGTTATCAGGTAGGACTTTGTAGTCGTAGACACCTGATTCCCAGGTTCCGGGACCGACGCCTTGGAAGTGTTTTCCAGGGCCGTCGGTCGCGGCAAAGGAGCGGCCATAGAGGGGCATGCCGACGACGATTTTGGAGGCGGGGACGCCGGCGGCAATGTAGTCGGAGAGGGCTTTAGAGGTGCTAAACATGGTGCTGTTTGGGTTAGTTGTGGAGGGGAACCAGTTTGCCATGTGGCCAGCGTTTGTGTCCCAGGAACCGGCGTAGTCGTAGGCCATCTAAGCGGTCGTGTTAGTAAGTGCGGCGTGGATGGGTGGGAGTGAGGCGCTTACCAAGTTCCAGAAGTCGAGGTACTGGTCCATGGCCTTGAGCTTCATTTTGTTGTAGTTGGTGGGACCTGCAGGGGAAGCAACGGTCAAGAGAAGATGTTGGCCGTTGGCGTTTTGACTAGAGTATGTGTCGAGTGCTTCACGGACTGCGGCCAGAAGCAAGACCATGTTGTTGGCTTGTGTCTCATCTGCCGGATATTCCCAGTCAATGTCGAGGCCATCGAAGCCAAGATCAGATAGGATCTTTACGGAAGTGCTTGCGAACCTGGCCCGGCCATCTGCGGTCGAGGCTGGCTGGACAAAGTGGGAAGAGTACGTCCAGCCACCAATCGACAAGAGCACCTTCAAGCCACGATTGCGCTTCTTCTGGAGAAACAACTGCTTAGCGCATCCATAGACATTGTTACCAACGTCATTCCACGAGTCATTCGCGTAGTGTTTGTCAATGTCCGACCAGGTATCTGTCAAGAAAACCTCGCCAGAGTCTCGAACATCTGCAAAAGCATAAAGAACATGGGTAAGTTCCTCAGCGGGAAGATCTTGAGGGTTGTAGTTGCGACCATAAATAGCCTGTAAGCATTGTCAGAGCAAAGTTCTCCACTATTTTGATAAGCGAACAAACCCAGTTCACAAAGTAGGCCACATTCTTGAACCCCGTAGCAGCTGGAGATTTCATTTCTCCAAGGGGCTGTTGTTGTATTGCGGCGGCCTGGATAATCATAGGTGACGCAAGTAACAATGTTACACCTGAGACAAACATGTTGGAGGCGCGCATCCTTATGATGTCGCTAGTGGCGCACTATGTCGTTGTGCTACGTGGCTGTGGCGCAGGCTGGCGCAGGCTAGTGCAGGTACGAAACCGGCTTCGATTGAATGCCAAAGCGTAAAAGTCGAGGATGCGTGAAATGATTGACAGTGTCGAAAAAGCTCCAGAATCTCCAATACTTATAGTTGTGAGGTTGACTAATACCGACTGTGGCGGTATAGAGTCGACTTGGACAATGCGTCAAGGATGATAAAGGGGGGTCAGTAGACCATGCAATGAGCCAAGGGGCGACTAGTGAATGCTACAAAAGCTCTGCAAAAGGAATGTAACATGAGGAGTCAGAAGAGAAGCATCGAGAGACTGCAGACTCATAGCGCTCATGGACACATATTGTCGCCCACGCGCAGTAACAGGAGTGCGCGAGGCGAGGCTAATATCCGCGCGTGCTTGTTTGACAAGACATCTTAGTCCCGATGTCGCGAAGACGTCCGAGAGTTCGTGGAATCTTTGACCAGAGCGTTCGGCTGGGCGCAGATCTAGAGGCGGGTGGGTAGGGGCATCTGGTTCAAGTATCGGAGCATCAGAAGCAATGACGTATCGCATGAGTAAACTTGTGAACAAGATCGGCAAGAGGCTTTCTTAGGCTCTCCATAAGCACAAGCATTCATCGTCTCTTTCGATACCCAAGCGTTTATCTACCTTCACAAGGTCTTTCTGGATCTAATGCTCTTCTGAATGCCTCTCCAAATAATTATTCGGAGGGTATATCGCAAGGAAATGACTCCCCAGTCGTTCGGAAGGAGACCCTTGAGCAGTCGAGAGCTCCACTTCTATGCATAATCTTCGTGTGCTATGCAGTCTCTGACACCTCCTCTAGGACCTCTTCATGAATCCTTCGCTTATAGAGGTGAGTAACGTCAAGATACAACATAGTATCAGGTTCCATTGCTACACACAGCGTTGCTACCCGTTCCATAGGATGGCAACTTCTGGGTCTGGATTGGCTACTAGAGTGAGACCGAACAACTGGTATATTCGCAACGTTGCCAACGGTCGAATAAGAACGTGGGCTCAGAGGGTGTAGTGCGGTAGTCAAGCGGGCGCCATGGGGTAGGATACCACCTTGTCCAGGATAAGAGGTTCGGCACTTGCGCCACAGACAGGTTGAATGGCAATCTGGTTTCTTTCTAGATAAGGTAGTTGTCAAACCAGCTACGAGAAACTAGTCCATCTTCACACAAGCTGCTTTGCGCGCGCGTGGATGTGTCAAGCCGTCGGACCATCTGATCGCCCCGGCCGCGCTCCGATATTGTTATAGTTTTACCAACGCTAAATGGAACTAGAGCACAGAGAAACTGGAGCGTATCGCGGAGACCAGGGAAATGGGCATTGAGACCGTATGGACAGCGAGTTCTCGATTCTGGAATACAATAGCCCAGACTCCACGATGGACGGATGGCTAGCCGCATTTGACCGCTATGCATACGCGAAGCAGGAAGAGACAGATAAGGAAGGAAGTCCGGTCCGAATACAGCAGGCTCGTATTTTGAATACCATTGGATACAAGATGCTTCGAATAGCTTCCCTTGACACATGTCAGCGTGCAACCCACGTATGACTTTGCCCGCATTCTTCAACTCGCGAAGGTAGGCACGCGAGGTCTTTCTGGCTAGGGCTATGCAGTTGCATATATAGCGCTACGCATGGTGGCACGCGCTCTTAATACCTAGCGCTCGACAAGGCTGTCAAAGATACCGAAACATTCGGCAGCTATTGGAGTCTGAAGGCCGCCAGGATGCACCCGGTGTGTGGGTCGGTGTGTGGGTCGGTGTGCTGCATCATTGCCGAGCAATGCGGAGGAGGGGACACTACAGGATCGACCGACGATACGAAGATGGGATGGTTCGAAGCGAGAGAGACGATATTGCAAATACGAAAGCATAGGTGATGTGGTCAACGATGAAGATGTGAAGTCGAGTGGAAGGGACAGCTTGTATAACCAGAGGTCAAAGTGGCCAGTGCGCCTTCCTCAACACCATGTCTTCTTCTCATTGCCGTTCTTTGCGCATACCAATGCCGGATCAGCAATCAAAACTCCGGAAGCTAGACCGTCTGCGTATTCTGTGAGATGACTATATCCGAAGAAAGTTGCAGCATAACGTACCGTTTCGTGTCTTGTGACCATGGATAACAACACAGTTGTCCGTGCCAAAAAGCTACTAGCTATCTAGACTCACTCACTCACTCACAACTTCCTCACCGACTGAACACCTTGACAGATATGTCGTGCAGGCTAATACCCTGATCGACAAGCCACATCCGTACTGTGGTGTGCCTAAATCTCGCGACGATTATGCACATCAAGGTAGGCTTGTTTTCCGTAGTGGGTAGGTCTAGAGCGCCCAGGCTCTAGATTAACCTACTAGTCGCATCTGGGTGTCATAAAATACTTGACAGTGTGGGCCAGCTCTAATAGTCGTGTCTGGCGACTACAGTAGCCCTTTTACACTAGTATGTCAAGTATTTTATGACACCCGGGTGGTCGCTAAGATGAATGCATATTCCCAGCGACCAGTAGAATTCGAAGGACTCGAGTTAGTCGTACACACTTAAAATCCTCGACAGGGCTCAATACGAAGGACACTTTATCAGCCTTGTTTTCCAATGATGCCCAAAAAAAACCACCCCCAGGGTTTGACGGATGACCAGATATCGTCATATGACTGCCAACCCCCACCACCTTCCGCATTCACCTTCCTCTATATCATCCATCTTTCAATCTATCAAACATCTATTCGTCTGTTTGGGCCCCAGCAATACCTTAACGCGGTCTGTAAAATATACATCAAGGTACAGGAAGGTCTCAAGTGACTGATGCGTATCACAAGGTACTTTGTGAGCAAGTTGATCAGGTATTTGTTTTGGCAAGACTGATTTGCCAAACTTCTTCGTTGCCGCCGAAAAAATCTGAATAGCACAGGGATTCAATCACCGGAAGCAAAGGACAGTCATCAGTATTTTGAACTCGTGGGTTGACTAACTTTGATGCCCTTAGACTAGGATGAATAGTTACATTCGTACAACACAGACGCTGTGAAACAGGCAATAACATTATAAGGTACTCTATGTGTAGAGTTTACAATATGACAGAAACGGCAGTTTTGCAGATATCGTGTGCAAGTCGCGTCCCTGGGGTTAGTCCCAGTCTGGTATGGCTGGTGCTTGTGGCGCACGCTAAGTAGCGACTAGATTGCATCATGCCATGCACCTGAACACCAGACACCAACTACCATTCCCATGTTGTGAATAGCTCGCTACTCAGGCTAGGCCAATGGCGAAACATGTGCGAATGCATCAGCTTCAGAAGCTGACATTGCGCTCACTGCCTCCAGCATCGGTGTTGGTGTCATCATCCCGTTGCTTCTCGGTCCTCAACCGCCCTCCACCAAATTATGAAGGTCACATACCATTGACACGCACGGAGCGATTGGGACTAGCTTTAGGCTCGGGTATTGGGAGTTTTCTAGATCCTCAAAGAGGAGGTAAGAGTCAAAATTCACACCTACAGGTTGTAATGTCCGGCTTACTCAAGGTAGATCTGATTGCATCCTTTGGTGAGGCCACAGCACAGCCATATTTCATATACAAACTCCGCGATCGCATGTTACTGAACCCTACCGGCCGAAGAATACTGCGCGACCGACCGCGATTGACGTCGACTTCGCTGGACATCCCGCGCCTACGTAATCTCCCACCAAATACGGTGGGCTATGCATATGCTGCATGGCTTGACCGCGAGGGCGTCTCACCAGACACACGGGCTGCAGTTCAATACATAGATGACGAGGAATGTGCATACGTAATGCAGCGGTATCGGGAGTGTCATGACTTCTACCACGCCTTGGTCGGGCTTCCTGTCTTCCGTGAAGGCGAGGTTGCGCTCAAAGCTTTTGAATTCGCAAACACCGGCTTACCCATGACTGGACTAGCGGTTTTCAGCGCTTTCACACTGAAGAAGGCCGAATGGAGACGTTTCTGGGACATATACGGACCCTGGGCTACGAGAAACGGCGCACAAAGTGATGATGTGATCAACGTATACTGGGAAGAGGAACTTGAGACAGACATTGATAAGCTGAGAGAAAGACTGGGCATTGAGAAACCACCGGACCTCCGAGCCATGCGAAAGGCGGAACGAGAGGCGCGCAAGAAAGAGAAGGAAACCAAAGGAACCATGGTAGGAGCTGCCACGTAAACCTATGTCCATGTACATTATTGTGTAATAACCATCAGCATTCACACCGAATACATCGAATAATAGCGACATCCTTCACCTATAAGAGTGCCGACATGACATTTGCAATGACAATCAAGACGATCAACAACACCGACATATCCACCCCTTCAACCGGCCCTTCTATCTCACCTCGAATTGCCCGTCGGTAGACATGCACAGAGCGCAAGACTCCCAGTTCTAGCTTGAATGTGTCTCGAACATACTCCTATATCCATTGAGCACTCGGATGCTGCCAATTTGTATGACCACGACAGATTGCTAGTTGATGGGACCATGCGCAAAGATTGCGCAAGGAGCACTGTTCTAATCACAAGTAGAGCGTCTGTACCAACACATCAAGACATACCACTGATTTACATACAGTCTTGAGAGGCAGTGAGACTGACGCCTATCTAGAGAAATCGCCTGCTTCGAGACCTTGTGGTGGCGTTCATCAACCAGTCTTTACGTTCGCGGAGGACGCTAGACTATAGTCCATCCCGGATACGATACATTGCCTATGTATGCCCACTCCTTGTTGATTCGACAGGCATTCGAAACGTCACACACTTGGGCATGACCTACCGCCTCTTTTAAGTATACGCAGGTCGCCGCACTCACCATCTACTAATAGTCCATCAGTAGCAGTGAGTCAAGACTAGGTAGAACTTCTAGCGGACCGGATTCGGTATGACGCCATGAACAGTCATCGTCTCCCATGCATTTCACCTAGGACATGTTTGTACCGTCAGAAAATGACCCGACATACTAGGCTCCGTGCTGGTCCCGTAGACAAGCCTCTGATGCGCTATGCACGTTAGCCGCGATATCCACTACACGTAGGTACAAAGGGACTAGCAGGAGTGAACAGGTGGATTTGCGATGTTTCTCTAGGCACGTCCCACGGACAAATCCGCACGCAGCAGATCTTTTGGCAATCTTTTACGGAATGGTGTCGCATACAATTTTGTCCAAACACAGCATGTTGGTCGACTTGAAAAAGACTTCGCAAGTCGCTGTTACCAGACGTAGTCTTATGGACTATCGTGCTGCGATCGCTAGAAGCTGTATGCAGAGACTTTCTCGATCGTTGTGAATTGCCGTTCCGTCCTGACTCAGACATAGAATATACCACCATTCTGGTGGGGTGGTACCATCCCAAAGCTTACACGAGCCAGATTGCGATCTTCCACAACAGAACTCCCTGCCAAACTTTAAATCCAACCTCGTCGGGTAAGTGGTGGAGACCGGAGTCAGACATTTTCCAGCTCAGACCATACCAACAATCTTCTCCTTCAACTGGAATTCTCCGTGATCGCCATATGTCATACATACGAGCTCCCTAATATACGAATCGTATGTGCGGGGATCTAGCCCGCAGACAGGGCAATTCGTGAAGATGGTCGTGGACAGGAGTCCGGATCAAGGAAACGGTCTTGCTGTTAATCCCTTCATTGGCTGTGCCCAATTGTTTATGCAAACGATGATTGTTGCCCAAACAGGCCACCCATATTAGCATGATACACATATGAGTATCCCAGTGACATCCTTGCCATCGGATAGCCCTATGCGCACTGATCTACGGGGAACATGTCAGGGACGTTGCGCTTCTCGGCCACTAAATGGTCGTTCGGTCTCTTCTAACGCCTTCAAATAAGAGTCACCTTGTGCCCAAACGTTCGCTACACGCATGGAATACGAGGAGAGAGAAAAAGCAAAATGACAGGAATCTGGGTATACACCAAACCATCCAACTGTTCTTAGCGTTTCAGCTACCTTCATAACCCCTTGCTGGGTGCAACACGAAATTGGCAGCCTACCACGGTATCTTGCCCGTAGCCCTGCACCACGCAATGGTTCGAAACAGACAGCCTGAGCTCTACTCAGCGGCCATCATAACGTACACTGTAGCGGCTGCGGCGCTTCTTGGTAGGTTGATCGCGCGGCGTAAGACCGTCCGTGTCCTGACATGGGAGGATTACTTGGCGATGTTTGCCTTTGTAAGTAACTACCAATCCAAGACATAGCATCGCGCTCACAAAGACGAAGTTGATGGGGACTGGGTTTACATTTATCAGTTTATTCAGTACGTTCTGTGTGCAACTCGTTCCTGGGTGAGCGCTAATGAGTGCAAGAAATGCGGTGGGGCCTGGGAATACCCATCAAAGACGTCAATATGTCTGAAGACTTGGTTTCCTACCACTTCTTCTTGGACCTTTGGATTGACGAGTGGTTCTACACATTCGCTATTGGGGCATCGAAGTTTGTTGTCCTGGGTCTTTACTGGAGAACGTTTTCTCTTTCAGTTACCCGGTGGCCCATTCGCATTCTGGGTGTCGTCTCCGTGTGCTGGGTGATAGTCAGGGTAAGTGGTTCACCATATGTGACATTTGAGAACACTAAACTGATTGATCAAAGATCTTCCTCATCACCTTGGAGTGCAAGCCAATCGAAAAGTTCTGGCATCAGAATCTCGCAGGGGATTGCCCTATGTCCCCGATGGTACCGCTCTTTGCGTCAAGCATACCGCATTTCCTCTTGGAGGTGGGTATCCTGGTGTGCCCGTTATATGAGATATCGAGACTGCGTATCCAAACAGCGCGGAAGTGGGCGATGGGAGCCATGTTTGGGGCAGGGACGTTGTGAGTTGCGTTGCACACGCAATGCATTGACTACATACTGATTTTGTTCAAGGGTCTGCTGCTCAGCACTTGGCTCCATCATCCACTGCATTCAGTTGGATAGAATGGCCGACATAGACCTCACCTACGACGGTGTTGACGATCAAATATGGGCAGTCTGCGATGTCAATCTCGCAAGCATTGCGAGTAAGTTAACGCCTCCACCTTCTGATAATGAGAAAGCTAACGAGTGATTTTTCTTCTCAGCATCGCTACCTTTCCTCCGCCCCACCCTCCGCAGTCTGAACAACGCACTCCGGAAATTCACACACGGAAGCTCAACAACAACAGAGACGAAAACTACGCACTGCGAAAATAATCCACACACACTGGTCACCATCGGTAGCGTTCCGAGAAAGGGGCGTAGTCGACTCCCTACCGACGAAGCGAGTTCTACGGCTTCGCTCGCAGGCGAAGTCTATGCCGACAATAAGGGGGGCAGTTACCAATCTATTGCCATACATACCCTCGAGTGTGGGAGAAGTGCAACGAGAGGTCATGATTCGTTGCAATAATGACAAATGAGTAACTATGATGTACAAATAATAACCAATATTTCCTCTCTGGGGTTACGTAAGCTCAATTTCTCCTACTCTACTCGAAGGAAGAGTTCAATGCGCGATTGAGTGAGTGACAGTGAGCTGGAGTCAGTGTCTGAGCTTTCGCGTTGGTATAAGAGCTATATATGTTGATGAAGTAGGTAGAATACCAGTAGCTTTGCGCTTCAGCACGTGTCTAGAGTATTGCCTTGCACGCGGGTGTCATAAAATACTGGAAATACTAGTTTAAAAAAGCCACTGTAGTCGCCAGACACGTCTATTGGGTGCTTACCCACACTGTCCAGTGTTTTACGTCACCCAGATGCCTATACTGAGAGTGCTAATCACTGTCAGACTTGGCGACACTGCGGCGATCAACCCGCTGACATCCGTCACAGGACTGCACGCACAGATGGAAGCTCGGGATACTTATCTCAAACTCACGTTATGTATGAGCTTAGTGCTTATGCCTCTTGATCAACAGATATTTAATGAGCTCTCCCTCAATTCCTTCCTGAACTTGAGCTTGAAACAGTTCTATCTCTGAATAGCCTTTCCGCTCCCTGTTTTCGTGATCATATAGCGCATCCTTTTCCGACGAGAATCCATCAGTGCTCAACATCAGCATCAATTAAGAAACACCAGCAACGATGAAGACTCCTACTCTCTTCCTCACCACGCTCCTAGTCGGCATCATAACACCGGTTGCACTCGCCCAAAGGCCTGTAGTGGGTACCTGTTATAGTGATCACCGAACATGCACCGGCGCCGTTCGTATCTCCTGACAAGACATAGGGCGATGGTTATCTAACAGTTGTAGACATGCTCCGACGATTCATCGAAGTGTCGTTTCTTATCTAATATCTGCGGGCCCGCCGGCCTATGTTTGGACGGCGCATGTGTACGTGCGGTTAAAGCCCATGTATAGCTTTTGATGACGGATATCTAACGATAAACAGGGAGGCACTGGAGCAACACGGACGTGTCATGTCCAATGTGGTTGTACTGACTGTTGTCCTTAGCGATGGTAGCACGGGGAGGTTAGCGATGGAAAGATTGGACTTGTGTTGGGGCTTTGGGGTGAACAAGGTGCAAAGCTTGTTGGCGAGGATGGATATGAATACTAGGAATGGCTGTGTCGTACAGTATAGCGCAATCACAAACAAGCCCTCAATTAACCACATCACGCATCATCGATATGATACCAAAGATCTCTCCAGCATCGGTGTTGCAATATGCTTACGTACCGGTATACGTCACGATTGTATCACGTTACGTGTGTGTGCCATGGGCTTACATCGTCATCCCATCATACCAAAACACGTGGTTTTGCTGAATATGAAAGTAAAAACAAGGGGGAACACGTAATGCGATCTACCCGTGTCGGGATTTCTTTTCACTCCGCACACCGCTTTTGTTATCATGGGTGTTTTGGTGGGTGGGTGAGGAGTGCGGGAAGGGAGGTAAAGGGAGTGATATGGGCAGGCAAAGGAGAGAGAGAGAGAGACAGAGGGAGGATGGAGAGGAGGAAGGTAAATCAAGATTAAACATTTCCATTTCCGTTTTCAAACAAACATATGCCGATAGTTGTATATATATCGTTTTCTACCCCCGCCTTCTCCTGCCTTCCGCCTTAGATGGACATAAAAGCCCCCTCCTTTCCTTTGCAGGAATACAGCTGGATTACCGCGACACCCCCACTGTACAAACGCCTATTACTCCCCCAAGTCCCTCTTTCCTCCAGGCCAGGCAGAAAATGCAACGACAACGACAACGACATGGTTGTAATAACCACGTCTCTCCATAAATAGGTTCTAAACATTGATTTATACTTGCTTCGCTTTCGTGAAATTCGTCTCATATAAGCACTTTCCCTCTCTCTTTCTAGACCCCCAAAAAGTTCGCTGGACGCTACGACAACGTAAAGCAAGAAGAAGAAAAACAAGAACTTGAAAACAAATATACATACACGTGTTTCCGCTGCAAATATGATCCTTATATATCGAATTGTGTGAGACGATACTCACAACTTGATACATAAAATTTATATTTGTGACCGAATCACACATGTGTATAATGTATTCATAAAACACCGTCTTCCCCATCGCCGCTACGCTGTCATCGATTTGGCGACGCGGCTCTCGCTTCCACAGGCGTCATCTCAGTAACGATGCGTATACTAGGTAAACGCCCCAAATTGAGATTCAGCGCTGGTAACTGCGGCGCGCGCGTATCAACAGGACTCTCATAATTTGGCGGGTCTTCATAAGCGGGTGCTTCTTCCTCTGGGAGGACATGCATTTGCGGCGAAGGCAAGCTACCACCTTCGCTATGGCTATGGCTGTGATAGCTTGATTCAGGGTGTAGAGGTATAATTTCGAAGCCGTCGCTGCCACTGGCGGAATGCGAGTTTGTGCGCGAAGCGTCTGCGAAATCGTAATCTTCAGACGGTCGGGATTCGACGGATTGGGCGAGCGAGGTTATCGAGAGGCCGCGCTGGTGGGTGTCGTTGCGGGAGTGGCCGGAGAAGGAGGCGGCTGAGTCGAGGAGAGGGCGGATGTCGCTTTCGGTCGAGTTTCCGCGTATGCGGGTGCCGTCGTGTCGTGCGACGCCTAGGTCGCCGTAGGCTACAGAAGATACTCGCTGCTCGCGCGTTCGCGTTCGCGTTCGCGTTTGGTGCTCTGCGATGAGCATTTGGGATACCGAGAGATCTGCTGCTTCTTCTGCTCTTCGTCGAATGTCTGCGAGAGCCTGGACGTCGCCTCGTGCTCGCGCCTCTCGCCGCGCTTGCCGTCGTGCCTCTCTGTCTGCTGCCTCGATTCGCCGTGCCAGCCTTATTTGGTATAGTGATTCCATCTCTTCTTCTCGTTGTCTCTCCTCGTCTTCTAAAGATTCTGGTAACTCGATGACATTGTCCATGCCTGCTCGTTCGCCTTCGCGAGCTAGTACCCTCTCATTCTCCCTCGCGGCGGACGAGTAGGCTGGCAGCGTCATGACACTGCGAATAGATGTGTTTCTACCCACCCCAGCCGCACTGGTACTGATTTGTCTCTCGGGATCGGACGTGGGTGCCCCGCGCATCTCACCACTCGCCCTACTGGCGCTTCCGCGATACTCTGTATCTTGCAAAGTGGTCGAGTAGCCATTGCGACGCGGACGCTTGCGAAAGTTCTTCCATGAAAATAACGAAGGGAGCTTATCGTTGGACGGTTGTTGTGCTTTTTGTGTGTTGCGGGATGATGTGCGGTATTTACGAGTCGTGAAGTATGTAACTACGAGTATGATGAAGATGGAACCTGCGATGCATCCAACCTACAAATCAAGCGTCAGCACATATAGAACGGAATGTTTCGTTTGCAAACAACGCAATCATTGCCAGAGGGATCAAACATACTATAACAGAGGTCCTGGCTTCGTTGGAGATGGTTCTTCTTTCCAGAGTGGCGTCCCTTGCTTCAAGGGCGGGTAACAACATGGTATCGATTCAACGTCAAGCATATAACGGTCCGCCGGTAAAACGTCAAATGCTTCAACCAAGAAATGTCCCCGAAGCTTTGTTTTGACAATGAGATCACCCGGGAGAATGGCGGATCGCCCAAGCTTCGGTGGGCCCACGACCTCGGCCTCGTTTCGCACTAGACGACGGCGAACCGTGGTAATGAAAATGTCTAGGTAACGGTGGTGAAGCCAAAATTGCGATGAGGATACGAGGCGTGAGCGGTGTGAGAGGCTTCTTCAGAGGAACAGTCAAACGACAATGAGGGGGACGTCGCAGGTCGCGCGTCCTCTTGAGGATCTGGCTGCGCCCGGATGTTTCCCTTGGCGAATGGCTGAGGCTTGATGCGCGATGCTGCGTTGATTGGAAGCGTTGACCAAGGGGGTCTGCCGCGGGCTGTGGCTGGGCAACTGGTCCAATTTCCCTGTTCCAGCCAACTCTTGCATCCTTCAATGCCGTAATCTGCTAGGAACTGAAAGTTTAACAGGCTTTCGGCACTTGCTGTCGTAGCTCCATCATGCCCTCTCAAGCGCTCACATCAGCCGTGGAGGCAACGCCTAAGCTTCACGTCACCTACGGGTACGAAGTCTGCTGCTATTTTGGGGGGATCCCAGGACTCACTAGCGCGTGCTTTCTGGTTGGCCTGGTTGGCTGCATGGTGATGGCACTTGCAGATCAGACCTCTAATCGCATGTGAAGACGCGACGCCCGTTATGCTCATGACGAAGACTGTTGGAGATGCATTAGATTCATCACTCGATCAAATGACTATACGCTTGCTAAAAGGCTTCAATATAGATACAAGACATTGCATGCCCAATATGATACTCAGAACTTCTTGTCCAATTTCTTCAGGAAACTGCCAATCCCCTTCTCCACTTTATCTACCCGTTTTCCGATGTTGGAGTTGCGGGGTTGCGCGTTGGGGTTCTCATGATGATGTACAGCAGCCTCACTCTCGGTGGGTCGGTACAACTGCTGATGTATGTTTGGCGCCTGACCTTGCTCCGCTGTGCTGCCATAGGCAAACTGCGAGAAAGCAGGAGAAGGCATCGGCTGGTACTGCTGTGGAGGAAAGCCAGGAGAAGGTAGGGCAGAGTGCGCAGGAGGTGATTGAGGGGCCGGGGGAAAGCCAGGAGAGTTTGGGTAGTTGGCATACTGTTGGACAGGCACCGTCGAGGACCGCTGTAGGGATGGAGGTGGCGGGGTTTGACCATTGTATTGACCTGGTGGAGGAGCAGACGGTGGTGGTGCGAAGGATGGCGGGGTTTGGGTTGCGCTTGGCACTGACCCCGTTGTGTTTGTACGGTACGCGCTTGGTGGCCCTGTAAAGCCCTGTCCTGGTGCGGGTGGTCCAGGAAAGTATGCGCCAGATGTTGGCTGGGGCGCAAAAGACGTTTGCAGCGGGTTGCCGTACTGTGCAGCATGCTGATCATGCACAGCAGCACTTCCAAGACCGGTGCCGTCGTTGGCATCTGGCGGCGGTGGTGTCTTTTCGCGATGGGCAATGGGCTCAGGGGCAGCTGGGGCAGCTGGGTTGTATGCCATGGGAGCATAGTTGGGCAGCTGCTCGTTGGGAGGCGGTGATGTGGGCGCGGGCGCACTTGGGGGACCCGGAAATGACTGTGTGGTGCTAATGCTTGTGCTTCGGCTCGTGTGTGATATGGCTGCGTTCTCCAGTCTGGCGATGACTGGGCTCAAGGCGTCGTTCTTGTGTTCCGAGTGTGCTAGCGCGGTATCTGGGTTGCGCACGATTTGTAGTTGATGTGGTTGCAATACTCTCCGAATAGAGTCTAGAAACAGACTCGCATCTTCGGGTGTCCAGAAGTACAGATCCACCGTGTGCAGTCTATACATGTATTTGCCCTGGCCAGACGGGTCTGGTGTGGGGAGGTGCCATTGTGACATGTCCTGGTGGGGGGGTTGGCTTCCATTTTGGCTCTGGAATGCATCAACCGTGAGAGTGAATAAGCATGGGTGCTTGTATGTCTGTTCGATCTTGACCGTGTCCAGTTCTGTTCAACAACCTCGTCAGTTTGTGTACCTTTCGCAACAAATGTGCGCGAGAGACGTACGACCGGCGAAGGCATCTTGGTTGGGAGTACCCGCATGGTTGGCTATTTCTATCCGCCCGCTCTGGCGCATGGGGTTGTGGTAGAGGTAGACATAGGAGCTTTTGTCGAAGCGATGATGCGGGGGATGCTGCGAAGGCGGGGAGATGTAGTAATGGACATCAGCAAACCTATCGCAAGGTCAGTAAGACGTGGAATCAGTTAGGGAGAAAACAACTCACAGTGTCAAAAGAGACACTTCTCCCTGCTGTGGAGGCATTGTGTTAGGTAGTGTGATTTTGTGTGAAGTCAGTTAGTTGCGCAGACTATATGGGGGCCAAGATGTGGCTCTGGAGATGGTTGGAAATAGGAAGTAGGACCGAACTGTTAGCACTCAGGATCAAGATTGATGAGATCAAAGGCATATATACGTCGCAAGGCTGTCATATGAGCCTGCCATGACTCCGGCCAACAGCTGCGCTGTCTTCTATTTGTGTCGTCCTCGAAGCGCCCGCCTGGCTAGCGGGAGTTTGATAGGCGCCGGCCCAAGCTCTACCGAATGGCACGACGATCCACTCGTGACTTGCGGACCTCCGAGCCAACCAGAAATTTGCTGCATTGAGCATCCACCGACGACACGGCGCGCAATTGAACTTCGCACCAGCTGAATTGATTCTTGTCGACATTGTCGCTGACCGGAGAGGCCGTCATATCGAAGTTGGAGCCCCGCCATCGCGCCCACCAAACGCCGCAGCCCATCGAGGGCAAAATCCTCCAGACGCCGCCAACATGTCGCTCGTCAACCTCGCACATGTCTGCTCGCACATGCAAAACGCCTCAAAAGCCCGGCTCGGCCTGACGTCAATACCCGTCTCCAAGATGCACGTCAAGGTTGCCCTCGGTCTACAGCGCGAAGGCTTTCTCTCCTCTGTAACACTCGGCGGCCCAACCCCACCAAAGCCCTTCCTCCTACAAGCACAACAAGACCCCGAACAATTAGACATAATGGCGCGGAAGCTGCAAGAAGAGCCATGGCTGGCCTACCCCATTGACGTGCCGGAGGGCAAGAAAGTAAAGGCGCCACTAGGCCAGGAACAGGTGCACGACATACACGTTCCAGAGAACCCGGCGCGGAGGCGGTTATGGTTGGGACTGAAGTACTGGCAGAACGAGCCGGTGCTGAAGAACATGAAGCTAATTTCCAAGCCCACACGGCGGATATGGCTGACGAGCATGGACTTGGCCAAGATTACGAGGTCGCGCGAAGCGAGCTACGTGAAGGGATTGACGCACCCTGGAGAGTGCATGTTCCTCACGACGGATCGGGGGGTGATAGAGGCACGAGAGTGCGTGGAGCGGCAATTGGGCGGCATGGCACTTTTCAGGGTGTGGTAGTGCAACACGATGAGACAGTGTCGACTTGATGGAATGGAGATGGCTGCAGCGTTGCATTGCCATGTTATTGTAAAGACACCACTGTATCAGTACCATGGCGGGGTGGAATTGCTTATACGGAACCTCTCATGGGAGTTATGCGCCTCGCATTTTGTAGCAATATCAAACTCACATACACATCATCGCCGGACCCAATGCGACCTTAGCCGCTGGCAATTGTGTAGTCAGATACGTGAGTCAAGTAGCGTGCTCGGCGCACAGTATGATAACGTGAACAACGGGTATCCCGGCATCACCAACGACTTCGCAGGGTCAGCCTGTTTGAGCCTTCAACATCATTCCAAGTCGGGCAGCAACACAATGTGGTTAGTACAATCTGCCTGTTGACGTGTCATGGGCGTACTACTGGAAGACACGGCTTGGTTGTGATGGTGATTTGAAATGAGTTAATTATCTACTGAGAAAGGGCAAGTAAACCCTAGAAACTGGCATATCCTCATGCTCATGTCGAGACGTTATCGCATCTAGCTCAAGCATTCTAGTGCTCATAGGTATCCGCGAAATCAAAAGAAAAATCGTAATCTCATCTCGACCGTCGCGGACTCTGCTATTGCATGTCGCGCCCCAAACTCCAACCTAATCCTCATAATTTCCTGATCCCATTTACATTGCTCATGTCATTGAGCGTTTCTTTTTAGACGTAGCTGCGACGGCTCCGGCTTTGGCTCCTGTGCGAGTAGCGAGGGCTGCGAGAGCGGTGGCCATGGCGAGATCGGTGGACTTCGCGCTTGACGACAACGCGATCAGAGCGGTAGTGATGATGGACAAGTAGAGCCAAGATAGCAGTGATGAAAAAGAAGATGATGTTCCTAATAACGAGTCAGTGTCTATTTTTCTTTTTTCACTCTGTGGAAGCTACTCACATGATACCGAAAGCCCATGACGCCTTTAGCATGGCGCATTGGCGGTCAATGTCAAACCCATACGAGGATCCAGAGATGGTGAACAATCCGAGATCAGAGCTGTAGGAGCCATTTCTCTGCCAACCAGAGCAGTCGGCGTCGGCAATGCCACGGAGTGCATAAACGGCTCCAATGAAGGCTCCCATGAACAGTAGATCGACAAAGGCAACAAACTTGGCCGAGTGCTTTGCGCGTGTGTAGAGGAAGAGGGTTCCCAATGCCCATACTGCGCCGAGTACGGATACGATGAAGAGGACCAGAATTGAAACTGGTGTGAGTAGGTTGCGGCTGTTGTACCAGTCGACAAACCAAGCTAACATGCCTAGCGTGGGTATGAGGGTGATGATTTGGAAGACGCGCCAAAAGATGAAGGATAGGCCGGAAAACGACATGTTGACGGTGGCTTGATGATGGAAAGTGCTTGTGTGCGGATGGTGTTTGCTTTTGATAGAGCCGTCAGGTGAAGCACTTTTGGGCGCCTAGTGCTGGCTGGAGGAGGGAAGCGCCAAACAGGTGCAAAGCGACAAGAGATGCAAGACACTGTCGCACAGGAAAAGGTAGGACAGGTCGCTTTTAATATCAGGCAGCTATGAGGCAAACCAGGATTGATCTTGTTTTGCAGCGGCTTGTCGGCAAGGACGCTGGCCAAAGGATGCTCGTAGTGTTATAGAGTGACGTATGGCGGGCTAGTCTACTTTAAAAGTGGGCATGTGGGTTATACCTGAGGCGGGGGAGGCTGGTGTTGTGTGGCTGGATCGTGCCTTCCTCATTTCCAGCGAACCAAAACATGACGCCGTCACCTTTCATACACAAGCACAACAAGCTTGAAAATTTCATGTCCACTGCAGGCCTTGCCTTATCCACCACTGTTTCCGCTTGAGCAATGGAGCACGGGAGGCCCAACTGCTTCAGTGCCTACCTACTTATTTGGTGCGTCAGCCCTTGAGTGTTTTGCTTTGGTCCGCGTTGGTGGCGCGGCGTGCATGGCGTGCAATAACAACGCAAACGCCACGGTTTGATGGACAGGTGTCGTTTGTTGTCTGTCGTTCTGTTGGTCCCGCTCCTGAATCGTACCGGTACATACATACGAATCCGATATGGCGAGATCGTTGGTCGACGCGTTGCCCTCACTTCGTACTAGGAGGTACGCCGAACAAAAGCGGCCGTTGCGGCCTGAATCGTCTCGTTCCGAACGATCGTCTCGTTCATCATCCGCCCCCCTGGGCCCAAGCTTTCTCTGGAGCCGGACCAAGATGGGGAACATGGCATGGCAGTCTGGGCTTAACCACTGAGATGGTAGTATAACTCTTGGACACCAGCACTTATCAGCTTCGTCCATATAGGCTGTGATTTACCACTTTCTCTCTCATTTTTGCCTACAAGGACTGTTGTCCAGCATCCTCCTGGGCGATGGGCGATAAGCAAGTGGATTGCTGACGCCCAGAAAAAGAAGTCAATAATCAGCCGGACTGTCTATCACCCTCTCACGTACGCAATTCGGCCCCCTTTTAGCCTCAGAACCAGGCACACAACTGGTAGAACCATTGCCATCTGTACGCTCCTTGTTGCACTTCTTCTGCGAACGCCTTTGGTGGCTGCTCGCTTCGCGCGCAAACTCGCACCGGCTACACTTTCTTATCAGCCGCCAGCCCGATTTGGAAATTGCCCTGTGCTCCACATCCTGTGAGACCAAATGAGGGACACGGGTTTTCCAGAGCATACGGTACATTCTGTCTATACGACTTCAATTCGAGCAACCTGGGCGCGCATCCTTAATAAGGTTTCCCTCTCACACCTGCCGTCCTTCCTGTCTGACCCGTGAGGTTCTTCAATGCTCCCTTTCCACGTCGCAGTCGCACGCTTTTCCAGCCGCGCCCTGCATTGTCATCGCTTTTAATTAGAATACGACCACCCTCTCGAGTCGCCCCGACGTGTTCCCTGCCTTTTATGGCTATCCTTGAACAATAAGAACCAAAATTGCACCAATTCCCCACCACCTTGGCCACGAATTGAATTGATGGTCCTGTCGTCGTCCTGTTCAAACAATGTCTGCACGCGGCGCCCGCAGTCGCAAGGTCCAGCAGAAAGAGGTCGAGAAGAAAGAGAAACATGCTGTATCCAAAGGAAAGGGTCCGGCCTCCATCTACGAACATGAGGCTGGATGGCGTCCGTCTACCGCCATGACGCACGCGCCCAGTATGCACAACTCACGGACTGGCATGTCCCGCACCTTCACCGAATCCAGTACCCTTAGTCGTACGACATCGCACAGTGGTTCTTCGAACGGTGGTAGTAGTAGTCGAGCACCATACTCTAATGCCTCGGTCCAAAGTCGCTCTCGCCCACCAAGGACTGCTGATGCTGCTTCCATAACGTCGGATCACTCTTCCAAGAGCAAGGACAAGGCAAAGTACCAGGCTAAAGGCAAAGAAACAAAAGCTCCCCGTGGTAGAGGGGCAGGAGTACCGACCAAAGCCATTCCAGTTTATGCTCCCCCTGCTTTCCGATCCGACTCTGTCGCTTCCCATCCTCCCATGCCAACATATCACAAATCATGGGCGAATTTCATGGTGTGGAAAGGCGGCAAAGACGGATTACTTCCGTACGGCGGATTCGACGTGGTAAGTCTTTGTTCTTTCGAGACATCAATCCATCTAATACTTCTCTTAGGACGAAGACATGCAGCATGGTAGCGTTCTCATATACTTCAAGGAGGAGCAAGCCGATGATGATATCCCGATACCCTCACTCAGGGCAGAACTGGACGTGCTCCAAAACTCCGGGTCCACTTGGTTGCTCAACGCTTTGCAGTATGGCCAGATAGATGATAACGACGTTGATGACTGGAACCTCTCAGAAGATACAAGCCCACCGCCCCAGAATTTCTCGCGAACCCTCTCCCAACAACATACGCAACGAAGACTGTATGGTCAAACACCTCCAGATGGAACGTCCGCCAGAGCAGAATCAAGAACAGCTTCGAGTGCCCAACATCTATCTGGATACTCCACCATGGAACGCTCCAATTCGCCCCCTCCATTTCTCGGGACCCATCAGCGCAATCCGACCCACGAGATCTGGTTCACAGCGCCTAGTAGGATACATACACCACAAGGACAAAGGCTACACCATGTTGCCATACGCAACTTCCTGGCATTGCTGCATGGCAAACCTATCGTGGGCGCGGACATTTTTGAAATGCTGAATACCCTGCAACCTGAGATACAGATCATGTACGATCTTGAGTCGGATGCACAATCCGGATTGTCAGCTCGGGAACGCAGTGTGCATATGATCACAAAATACCTTACTGATCATGGGTTTAATGACGTACGCAACAGCCCCAAACACGCCATGGCGCTTCTTGCATGGGCTGAGCAGGATGCTGTCAGATGGCGACAAGGCTACCTCGAAAGCTTCGTGCATCTTTCGGGTATCATGAATCACGAACTTGAGGAACACCCGGACTTTAAGCGCTTATCTGTAGTCACGAGACGAAGCCTGGGGCTTGCTGCGAAGACGCTGCAATTGCGCGTCATGGAAGCAGAAGACAAGTTGACCAGCTTCAACTTCGATGATCTGTATGGAGACGCTACAAAGTCTACCAACAGTACAGTCTACCAGAGCTACCAAGCTTTCCGTCAATTTCTCGTCAGCTACTATACTCGCAATTATGGCTGCTGGCCACCGACTCCAGACAGGGCCTGGCTTAATCGCAAGGTTGCTAGGGCGTTGCAGGAAGACTTCGGGTCATTGTACGATTACCTTGTTGACCGGGACGTAGTTTGGTATCCACGTGAGGAGCGCTCCTCTAGGAAGTGGGAGATGACGCATCGGCAGAACAGTGCTTTCAAAGCGGATCTTCCGGAACTTGGCATGACAGAGATGCTAGTGGCATACGACAACAAGAACGGATATGCCCACATTCCGCATCCTTACCCTTTGCTGCCCAAAGAGGTACCAAAAGAAGGCAAAGACAAGGAGAAGAAGGGCTTTTTCTCGTCTTTGAAGAAAGACAAAACCAAGACATCTACCCCTGAGACCACCAAGGATGCAAAAGCGCAATTGCAGCTTTCACTCATCTTTACTGAGGCAACAAACATCGAAAGGCTTGGCGTCGGCTTCAACGGTAAGTTGGCATTGAGGCCTTTTATAGTCTCTACTGACAAACGCGGCAGGATCGACACTTATCGATGAGTTTGAGCAATTTGAACTCACTACGGACGTGAAACACGTTTCGCCACGCGAAGCACGTCTTGGGCGTTGGGTGCTTTTATATGGCATCTTACAGCTTCTTTCGACTCTGTCAGTCGACGTACGAGACCTTCAGCATACAGAAGATGTCTGGTACTTCCTAAACACCGATCTTAAACGCGTGCCCGAATGGGTCATTAATAACCAGGCGGAGTACCTGGAGGCCACGCAGCAACAGTCGTGGTGCTGGCAACGCACCTGGGACCACATGTCTGGAAAAAACGCACCTGTAGAGCTTGAGGGCTCAACCACCCATGACCTTGTGGACCATTACCTAAACTCGAGCAACGCGTCAGGAAATACTTCAATAGCAGAGCAACCCGTACCAAGCCGCCCCCAAACTGAACAAGCTCTTCCGCCGGCATCATCACCGCCATCAAGCCGACCACAGACTCAGCAGATTCTTCCACCGGTGTCATCACCAGCACCGAGTCGTCCGCAAACTCTGGAAGTTCTTCCACCGTCGGCTTCACCGCTATCAAGTCGACCACAAACTCAAAAAATCTTCCGATCCTCAGCTTCGCCGCCATCGAGCCGCCCACAAACGCTGGAAGTCCTTCCACCGTCGGCGTCACCACCACCTAGTCGCCCGCAAACCCAGCAAGTTCGTCCGGCATCGCCACCACGGCCAATAAGCCGAGGCGTAACAATGATCCAAGACGATCTACGCCGCATAAGCGACAAAATTGAAAGTCTCTCCCTCTCCCACGCTGCTGGTGAGCACATACGCCAAGCCTACGAGCGTCGCCGCGAAAGCGAAAAGGGTATCCCAGAAGGCATCCCAGAAGAGGTCGAACAAGAGAAACCCCAGCTCAAAGTTGAGGTTCATCGTTCCCAATCGCGAGACGGCAACACCAAGCACGACTCGGGCGCAGACACTTCCTACACTGCCCACCCAGAAACATACAGTCCCCGAACAGACTCGCTACCCCGCCAGCAGAAAAGCATGCCATGCTTGAACAATGTATCACCACTCGATTTCATCGCCCGTCAGGGCCATTCCAATTCTTACCTGCCCCCGCACTTGGGCCTCAACCCTTTGCGCTCGCACCCCCCGACCATGAACATGGACCTGGCCGCGTACTCGTTCTCCCAGGCGGAGAGAGACATATCATGGCCTGCTCCCCCTGGCTTTAGCGAGGGCAGCGGCAGTGCCAGTACCAGCCCCTGTGGTGGTGTGGGTGGGAATAGGGAGGCTAGGATTTTGGGGTCCGGGTCGGTGGCTATGGTTGATATTTCGAGGAAGAGGGTTCAGCCGGAGAGGGGGTTTCTTTGAAGTATGGTAGGCTAGGGGTGGGGTGGAGTGTTGGTTTGTTGGTTTACCCCGTGATGGCCTTTTTTTCTTTCTTTTTTTCATTTTCGTCTTCGCCTTCTTTTCTTTTTGGTGCGGGGTGGTTGAAGACGTGGCTTTGGTGTGTGTGCACGTGGTAGTGTGTGTGTGCTGGCAAATTGTCCCACCAAGAGAAAAAGAAAGGTCAAACAGGGACTAGACCACAGAGTTTGTTTTCTCTGCTTCATGTCGATCGCTTTTATTCATCTGTTTTCCCTCTGTCTTTCACTCGTTGGATATCCCCTTTTGCATCTGACTTTATTGACTTATTGTTGTTGATGCCGTTCTTATTGTTGTTATTATCGTCGACACTGACATTGACTGTCACCATCTCCTAATTATCTTGTAACACCTGAAATTAAGTAATGTGGCTGTGTGAGCAATGCAACGCAATGCAATGTAAATGTAATCTTCTAATCAATGTATGTATTTATCTACCGACGGTTTGATATATATGGCAATGCTTGCACGTTATCATCGTTTACCTACGTTTAAATACTACCCTGAGTCCCCGAAACGTTTTCACCCATTACCCAGTGAGAAAAACGCCCGCCGCTTCTCTCTCGCTTGCTCTTCAGACCCGGACTGCGTTTCACCTTTTGTTCTCGCGCGCTTGTTACCACCACCACCACCGCCTCCCTTTTTCAGCCCAGTCTTTGCGGCGCTGTTCTGCCTGTCCAGTAGTGGCAGCGGCGCAGTAGTAGACTTTACAACTTCCTTGATCGTCTGTTTTGACAGACAGTAATCGATGTGCGCGTTGAAGCTCGTGTCGTCTGGTGGTTGGGGGATACTGCAGATAGGGCAGGCCCACGTGGGTTCTGGAGTCGTCGTTTCTTGCTGGTCTTGTTCCTGGGATAATTTCTCCAGCTCATTCATCTCGTCGTTGCGTTCTTGGCGAGCTGCTTCTTCGAATTCTTCTTCTGGCCAGGTTTCCCAGGCTGCTGCGTCGTCTTTTGGCGTGGTGGATTTGGTTGCGGTTGCGGTTGTGGATGGTTTTGCTGCTGCGCGGCCGAAGAAGTCGATGCCTGGTTTCTTTGTGCTGATAATGTGTGTGACGCGTAAGCCCATTAGTCGTAACTTCATACTTGGAATCTCTTTCATGAGTTTTTCTAGCATGGGGAGACTGTACTTGTACAAGTCGTCTGCTTTGTGGACGGCAAAGGGAGGGGTGGTTTGTCGAGTGTGCACTTCGTACGTGTGGAGTTTGATCTTGATGCAGAGGGTTCGGCCTTTATATTCGGTGCGCTTCAGGTCGCCTTCTAGTTCTTCGGCAATGTAGCGAAGCTTACCGCGTAGAGCGTCGGGTGATTGCAGTTCCTTGAAGGTGGTCTCAGTGCCGACGCTCTTGCGCTCGTAGTCTTCGGCGCGCTTGATGACTGTGCGGCCTAGGCCTAGGTAGCACTGCATCAGGAATTGGAATGCCTTTTGCCCGAAGAGCTTGGCTAGGCACGCGCGGTGGGCATAGATGTCTCCACATGTTTTGACCCCTACGGCGTCAAGCTCTCGTTCGAAAACACGGCCGATGCCGTTCACCTTGCGTGTCGGAAGCGTTCTCATAAACTCCATGATTGTCTGTCTGTCGCTGGGAAGGAGAAACTGCCCATTGGGCTTGTTGATGTTCGAACAAACCTTTGCAAGCTTTGCGTTGGCTGCAATACCAGCGGACACAGTGATTTTAGCCTTCTCAAAGACATCTGCGCGCATCTGGCTGACTGCCTCTTCCGGAGTCAGATGATGCTCTTTGCAGTACTCTGTGAGGTTGAGGTAGGCCTCATCGCAACTGGCACTTTCAAAGCCAGGGTCGTAGAGGGCCAGTACTTGGCGGACCTCTTCTGCTTTGGCCATGTACTTTTGAAAGTTCATGGGCACACAAATGAGCTGTGGGCAAAGTTTCATAGCCACAAACCCTGCCATGCCCGAACGGCAGCCAAACTTCCTTGCATGATAGTTGCATGTTGTTAAGACCCCTTTCCCCACAGCAAACGGAACATCTTTCAGTTCCGGACGATCGAGCTCCTCGACCGCGGCATAAAACGCATCGCAGTCGAGATGGACTACCACCTGGCTGAGGTCTCTACTCAATTCAAGTTCGGCAATGTAGTCGTCGGCTCTACGCAGGTCGGACGTCAAGTCCAATTTGTCCAGCTGTTTTCGCTTTGCCAGGATTTTGCTAATCTTCTCGGTGAGGTTTTTGTCCTTGGCTTCCTCATTGTTGAAGAATTTGGAGCCCTTGGACGCGTTGTATATGATTTCAGAGACCTTTGTCTGGTCGACGGAATCCTGTCCAGCTTTGGTGAGCGAAGGGCCTAGAAGATGGTATTTGAGAGAGTTGTGTTCGTTGGAGGCGGTGCGGGCGGTGTGAGGGCGGTCTGGGTTGTCGCGAGAAGGTCCAGAGGGGGTCATGATGGTTGAGGCGTGCGCAGAGGGCCAGTCGGGCGCGTCGAGGCCGAGCTTTCTAGGTTCATGCTGGGGCTTGTGTGAGCCACGAGGGCTTGCGTGTGATGCTGGTGAAGGGAGTGACCCTGCAGCATCGCTCATGGCAAGTGGGGAGTCATCTCTCAGAGCGGGCAAGTCTGATGGGCGGCTAAGGCAGGTAAATGCGTGTGAGGCGGTGATGAAAGTGTATGACGCACGCGTGCGCGCTTTCACGGCTACGCCCAACGGGGCACTAGCGGCGATCTAAACCCTTGAGGATCATTCAGGGCCACGAGATGGCTTTCATCTCTCACAATTCCAGACGGTCTAACGGCCTGAACCCCTTCTCTTGCCGTGCGCCTCTTCGACCCGACCATGGACCGGTCGCCAACCATTTACAATCCTCCACCGCTGCCATTGTAGAGTGGGGCATTACAACAACGCAAGACCGACACGTACCTAGCGGCCATCAACAAGCAACCATCAACACGGTCCATTAACCTAGCAACCGCTCACTGCCCTCCCCAGAAGGCCATGCTCTCCCTCTACATCCGCCCCATATATCCCACACTATAAAAACATACACACTGGAGGATGCCCATCGAACGACCCGACCGAAATAATCCACGGCCACTGAAGCCGACGCTCGCTAGTAACCGAACGGCAAAGACGACGCCCTTGACCCCTCGACTAGCTGTTGCGCCCACCGCTTCGTCGACTGTTAGCTCCACGAGCACCCGCACCGCACGCAGCAGCAATGGCACCACACCGAGGCCGAGCAACGACAATGTCACCCCGGTAAAGGCCTTTCTGAGCAGCAACATCACGCCGCGCTCGTCGTCACGCAAGTCCCGCGTCGGCGGAGACAGCGCAACATCCACGCCAAGTGTCACCCCTTCGGCAACACCCAACAATTCGCGCCCGACTTCGACGATAGATTTCCACAAGGAGCAAGGGACCGGTTATAGCGCACACGGCACTATAGGCAAGGCCGTCGCAGGCACAGGACGACCGCGCAGCACTGTCGGGCAGAACTCACATACTACCTCGGCTCCGAGGGCACCACCGTTAGCCGGCATATACAACCAGACACAGTCAGAGGTTGGCTCCAGGAAAGATACTTCGCCTCGCTTCTTCCATGCCAACGACGCCCGCCCCCATGACTACCGACCCGCACCGCCACAGGCAGAGGCTCCGGTCAGGAAAGCGCCTACCTTCTTCTACGCCGATGGCAGGGAGGATGATACTCCCTCCAAGCAAAGCGCGCCCTCTCCGCCACTGTCCGCTGTGAGCAGGTCCCATTCTATAAGCAGACCCCAATCGGGAGGCCCCCAGTTCTTCCATGCCGACTCTGTGCCCGAGTCCAAGGGCCGTAGACCAATCCTCACCCCACCGCCCATTCCCACATCCCCAGAGCTGCTTCCCGCTGCCGACCCTTCGAATGAAGCGTCACTCCGACCGCCTTCGCCCTCCAAAGACTTTGCACACTTGTCATACCGTAAAGGGGCCTCTCAGGTTCGACCGGCTATAAGCAGGGGAAGCTCGGGAAATTCTGCCTTGGCCATCTTTGGCGGCCACAATGGGTCGGATGTTGGTGACCGGAACGGACGGAGATCGAGCGTTGCCTCCACCATCAAGCGAGGACATGTCAAAAGCTCCAGTCTGTCGTCTATCGATTCGGTGACTAGCCTGAGGAAGTCGTCGACCAACGAGCCCACCGCCATGGCACCAAGCCCACTCCATGCTGAGAAGAGCGTTTCCGAAAAGAGGGCCTCGGCACCTTCCCCGTACTATACCGCATTTTCCCCCCTTGGATCACCGATACAGGAAAGCCCCAAGAGGAACAGTGAGGGCAAGACTCCGCTTGAGATCATGAATGAGCTTGCAGCCAATGCACGACGGGAGCGAAAGGTGCTTGATCTCGAAATCAGTAACTCGTCGCTTCTTGCCATTAACCGATCACTTGAGAAAGAGATTCGGAAGCAAAAGGCCGAGCTCAGGCGCTTCCGTCGGATGAGTCGGGCTGGACACTTTGCTATGGACCACATGGACTCTCTTACCGAGACGTCTGCTATTGGTTCAGCCAGCGTGGGGAATCTCTCGGACATGTCTGAAGGAGATGAGGACTACGACGAGGAAGACGAAGAGGAGGGGGAGGAAGATGAAGATGAAGAAGACAGCAGCGAATCGTCCCTCGACGATAGTGCTTTGAGTCCTGGCGCTCAGCAAGAGCGTGATGAAGCACATCGTGCACGAGACGAGAAACGCCTTCAGCTTGACCTTTCGAAACATCGGGACATGCTGAATGATAGTCAAAAGATGAATCAAAGTCTTCGGCGATGCTTGGGGTGGACAGAGCAGCTTATCAAGGATGGTCAAAAGGCTTTGGAGTATAAAGTCAATGTTAGCGACGTCAAACTAGGCGGCCGCGTACTCATATCCGAAGACGACAACGAAATCGCTGAAGCGGAAGAATCGAAAGGCCTTCTGAGTCCCTGGAGTCCAATGCACCAAGCTATAGACGCCTTGGAATCGCCCTTCTTCCCCGGACTCAACAGCAACCGTGTCATCGATCGCGACAGTGGTGTAGACCTAGAAGGCCTCGATGCCGTCGGCCAAAGCACAGACAACTCTCGTACATCATCCCCTCGCAACAAAACCACCAGCCCCGTCAAAGAATTTCGTCCCTCACTCCCCGGCACATGGGTCTCCTACGCCACCAATCCACGCGAATCCGAAGTGAAGAAGCACGAAAGTCTCTCTCCCCTCGGCTCGCCCTTTGAAGAACGCATCCGCCATCTCCACGCCTCAATAGATGCTTTGGAAGCTTCCTAACACGTACCCACCCGACCATGTCGGACATAAAAACAACACTCTTCTTCCCTTCTTTTGTGTATGCGTTTCTGGGACAGAACGCATGCATTTACCTACTTTTTTTCACAACTACCCCAGTTTGCAACATTGGGCATTTCCTGCTGCATTTACATCTTCTGCTGCATCCCGCTTTGGCGTTTCGCATTAAAAACGAGCGAAACCACTTTCGCTCCTAGCATCATCATCTTCGTTTCATACATCTACCATATAAACTTGGTTGAATGGTTTGGTTGCTGTTTTTGTCTTGAGCATTTACACCCACTCGCTTTTTGGTTTTGGCTTTTTTTTTTAAACTCTCTCGAAACGGCGCATTACGGATCCATTACGTCGAATGCGATTTCGACGTCGTACGACCATTTCCTTTGTTTTTCCTTTCTTCTTACTCATCCTCTCTGATTGATTGATTGATTGGGGATCGATCCGTAATGTCTGAATCTTGCGTTTGTTTGTTAACGGCCTTGCTACTCTCTCCATCCACAAATCAAGTTTAGATGAGCGGTTTTGAGGAGGTTCGTTTGTGTGCCGTGTCGTGTCGTGTGTGCTGCATCTTGGACATAGGGACGGCTGTTTATGGTTTCTTTCTTTCTCTCTTTTTTCCTTTTCGCAGTCGTCGTGTCCCCATCATCATCAATCAATATGAGGGAAGGAAAGGAAAGGAATGGAGAGGAAAAATCAGATCAGATGGCCCGCCGTTGAAGAGAGAGAGGGGCTTGTTACACGTGTTGCTAGTTTTATGATACCCCATATCCCATATCCCATCCCCCATCCATCCATCTATCCAATCTCTCGTCCCACAAATTTGAATCCTTGCTTGGCTTTGGAAGAATAGGCCCAATACACAGATAGATATGTATGTGTATGTACGCATGTATGTAGATGATTAATCTGAAACGTATACGTATATTAGTCATGCATGCATGTATACGTGTTTGAAAATGGATGAGTTGCACGTGAGGATACATGTACACGTAGTGTTCACGTGGGGATAGTGTTCATGTGACAACATTGAATCTGCAAGTGGGGCTACATCTGCATGCATGTGTTCACGTGAGGTCGGCTCGCACGTGATGACATCTTTCACGTGAGGATATGCTGCACGTGAGAACAAACCGCACGTGACGACAGTAGTTACGTAAGAACTATTTTCAACATTAGAAAAAACATGGACTCTTTATGCGATCAGTTGCACGTGAGAATACCCTCGCAAATGCGAATAGCAAGCATGCACACTTCCAATCGGTTTTATACAGAAAGTGCAGCTATCCTGCCCATAGTTGTGAAATCCCCTCCCTGACAATGCATTCTAAGTTATCATTAAAGAAAAAGAAAAATCCTCCCCTCATGGACCCATAATCCGTCTAATCCGAGCAAGTACTGAGACCTTGGTTGCAATCAATCAATCGTCATGTGTGTGGATATACCCCATCAAAGGGATGAGGTAGAAAAGGAAAAGGCTGACTCTTGTGATATTGTACACGAAACCCGCAAAAACACATCAATCATAATATGCATGTGAAGAAAAAGGAGCGCAGAATCAAATTAGGTTCTAAGCCCAGTAACCAAGGAGAGCCATCAAGCCAGCACCCAGGACCATGAGACCGAAGGCCTTGAGCGTCCTGCTAACAGGTCCGTTTTGCATGTAAGGGCTGAACATGAACTCATGGGCCATGAGCTCGACCAGACCAGTGTAAATGAGGATACCAGCACTGATGGAGTCGAAGATGCCGTTGGAGAGAAGCGTAGTACGCGAACCCGGGGCAAAAGACTGGCGAGCACCTAGACCGATGGCAATGGCAATGGGTGTGGAGAGTCCGTAGCCCAGACCCAACAGGTAGGGTGTCCAACGCTTGGATTTGGGCCAGGGCACCATGGCGAGACGGGCTCCGAGTCCGAGACCCTCGAACATTTGGTGGAAGACTAGGACAATGTAGAGGGTGATGAACTCTTCTCCGGCCACGGCGAGTGTCAGACCGATGAAGATGGAGTGGAATATGACACCAAACTCGAGGATGAAGACGGCGGTAAGCTGGGCAGCATACTCAGCTGGTGCGGAAATGTGAGGCTTTGCGGCGGACTTGTCATCACCCATAGCAGTGTGATCACGCTCGTGGCCGAGATGGTCTTCGCCACGCATGTTGGGGTTGTTTCGGGCGCCGGTTTCGGGGTCCTCTCCCTTAATTCCGTCGAGGCTGTTGCTGTCGGTCTTGGCTACAGGCGCGGTATGAGAGTGGCTAGCGTCGTGAGAGTGATCGTCACCGTCACCGAACTTGGCGTAGCGCATGGTCATGAGCTCAAGGAAGAACATGAGGAAGATGGTCATCAGGGCGATACCCTCGGGCCATGGGTACTTGGTGATGACACCGGTCAGACATTCGTCACCCAGTGCCTCGTTTGCCGGAGCAAGAAGATGGATGAAGGCTGTTGTGATGATGACACCGGATCCGAAATACTTTGCGGCAAAAAAGACCCAGTTGGGGACGAGCTTGTGGCGCCTACGCTTTGCGAAGACGGGGAATACAGCACCTGTGCGTTGTCAGTGCCTGATGACCAAAGCAGTGTACTGTGTTACTTACCAAAAGTAGATGCCACCAATATGACAAAGATGGATGAGATGCGGACTCCCATGCGACCATCGTAGTCGTTACTGCCGGAGCATGCGACGGGCTCTTCCACCTCTTCACTCTGGCGAAGCACAAGACGTGCGACCTCGAGAGCTGTAGCCATCTTGGTTGATGAGTAGGCGAATAGTCGAGCGAAAAAGGAAAGCTCTCTGCCACTCCCAAGTGCTGAGTATTGCTTGGTATGTCCCGAGCGTTTGGTAGCTATGCAGAGTCGAGTGGGGTTTTTGAAAGACAAAGGCTTGTGAAGGCTTGGTACAAGCTAGGGTGGTCTTCTACAACCTTGGGTGAACAGGAGCACTATATAGGGATCTTCAAGGATGGCCAAGCACCGTGATGGCGAGTCGGCGACTGCTTGGTGAGGCTTGTACAGGTTTTGCGGCTGTGAGGCGCAAATTGAAGGCAGAGGGGGTATGGGATAGGCCCAATATGGAGTACCATGATGGAGCGCTAAGCACGATTTTCCACTCACCCACGGATACAGTCAGCTAGTAGCGTGGGGTGCGGCTGTCGAGGGCGAGATAAGTGCGAAGGGTGGAAGTCGGATAGAAAAATAGCGTAGGGTTTGAGCAAACTCATGGTGTTGTGGTATGTATGGCACCATAGCATGTGTAACAATGGCATACACAGAAGCCGCAAGCACAGCCCCCGGCCCCCATCGGCAAGTCGCGAGCGAGTCGGCGGCGAGTCGGTAGTCGGCAGCGGCAGACTTAGTCAGCGCCAAAGAAGCTAGCGACAATTTGGTCGACTATTAGAGACTTGAAGAGGCCCACTTGTAGTGCAGAAGTTGAGAAATGAAGATGAAGAGTTTGCGCCTCCGCCGAATGTCAGCGACCATTTTGGGGGCTTCCGCCGAACAATAGGCGCGTGGACACGGGCGCGACGACGTGCAGGGCAACGCAGCGTAACGAAAACAGCAAGTGCAGCCTATCCGTATCCGTACAAAAGTCTCCGCGGCTTCCTGGAGGAACAACGAGGGTAGGTGGTTCGGATGTACACGGCGGGTGGAAAGTTACGCCCAGGATTGGCAATCAATGGGGGGTGAGATGAAGCCGAGGAGAGAGAGCAGATCTATCGTCGCAACCCCGCGCGAGGCCGAAACGACTTGCTTCTTTTCTGCCTTTTTCCGGAAGCTGTCGGATTCTTGGAGGCCGGTAGAATACGCGCTGCACATGTGCAGTGACGGGCGAGGTGCAATTTGTTGAGCAGTGGAATGGCATGTCGTGCCGGCTGGGTTCCAAGGTTGAATTGGGTTGCGGGAGCTGGCCGTGGGCAAACTGGTGGACCAAACTGGCAGCGCTGTCGGCCATGATAGTTGTCGATACATGTCACGATACAGCTCACTGGGGTAGCTGATCTGCTTGCTAGGCTGTTTGTATACTATCGTCCATGCACATCGGACCGTGCTCGGCTCTACGGCAGCTTGAGGGTTGAGGATGTCCTGTAGGGTGTAGGTCACATCACACCACCGTGAGGGGAAAGCAGCTATGTACAGGGCAGACGGCGGTATTAAGTTATGGGGCGGCTACCAAGCAGCAAGGTGCGACATGGAGTTGGGGTACTTTGCAATACGGTCAGCCGGCCATGGGACTTGCCAGACGCCAGAGGATGAATCGAGGCGATCGCAAGCTCAAATGCAATACTGAGACGGCCATCAGTGGGCTGAGGACAGACTGGATCGGAAAGCTTCCAGCCATCGACGGAGGATGAAACCGGTTTGCTGAAGTCGCTGCAGTGCACGCCCTCACAACCGATGGGTTGTCCATGTTGTGGGGTACATGCCTGCTGGCTTGGCGGCGACCAAAGCGCGATGAAGGCGCCCGATGTACCAGCAGCTTCAGTCCTCTCCGCACCGTGGCGCCACGCGTTCAATGTCTCGACCAGCGCAATTGTGCAACAGATTGAAGGCATTGACAGGCTCCAAGCTGCAAGCCGTACCAGCGGTACTGCGGTACTTGGACGAGCTGCCAATCCAGAGGCCCCAGCTGAAGTTCGCTGAGTTCGCACATCCCTGCTCACACTCGCGGCACGAGCGGGAGCCAATCATGGCGCGCCGTCGTGAGGGGCTATGACGTCTCGATTCCCCTTCCGTATAGCTCCTGCCGCAGCTCCAACAGGTGACCGCATAGCTGCCTAGCTTCTCCTCTTTATAACTCCGCCTCGTCTCACTCAACTCTCCATTCCATTGTCAATCCCATCAGCTTCTCCTTCAGCACATAGTTTTGCTGCCAAGGTCCCCAAAGCTCCACCACAACACCAAACCCGCAATCATGATCGTCGACCAGTTTGAGGACGTCTTGAGGAAGTCGGACATGTTCCCACTGCCAACCGCCTCTCCCTCGCACTCCCCCGTGTCCCCCATCCCCTCGGTTGTGCCTGGCAACAAGCCCATCTATGAGGTTGCCAGCGACTCGGGCACCAAGACCCTATGGGTTGTCTTCGTGATCATGTTGGTCGCGTCTGCCGGTTTCACCGTCATGTCATGGAGGGTCCCCTTGGTATGTAAACACCTGCAGCTGCCTGGGGCTGTCAATGGTCTAACACGTCATAGAACAAGCGTCTCTACCATGTCATCACCACCGTCATCACCCTTACTGCCGCTCTCTCCTACTTCGCCATGGCCACCGGTCACGGTGTTGCCCTGAACAAGATCGTCGAGCGCGAGCAGCACGACCACGTTCCCGACACCTTCACCACCACCTACCGTGAGATCTACTGGGCCCGTTACGTCGACTGGAGCATCACCACCCCTCTCCTGCTCCTCGATCTCGGTCTCCTTGCTGGCATGTCTGGTGGACACATGATCATGATGATCATTGCTGATATCATCATGGTGCTTACTGGTCTCTTTGCTGGCTTTGGCTCTGAGGAGACTCCTCAGAAGTGGGGCTGGTACACGTTCTCTTGCATTGCCTTCCTCTTTGTCTTCTGGCACCTTGGTATCAACGGTGGTGCCAACGCCAGGGCCAAGGGTGACAAGCTCCGCACTCTCTTCACCTCGATTGCTGCCTACACCCTCATTCTCTGGACTGCCTACCCCATGTAAGTTTGACATGTACACTCCATCAGCCACACATACTAACCTTTGTCAGTGTCTGGGGTATTGCCGACGGTGCTCGCAAGGTCAGCGTTGACTCTGAGATCATTGCCTACGCCATCCTCGATGTGCTCGCCAAGGCTGGTTTCGGTGCCTGGCTCCTTGTTGCCCACGCCAACCTCCGCGAGAGCGATGTTGAGCTTAACGGCTTCTGGGCCAACGGCCTTAGCCGCGAGGGTGCTATCCGCATTGGTGAGGACGACGGCGCGTAAAGCATCGTCATCACATGACATGATCGTCCCGCAACTCGGTTAGAGACTGCATTGGTAACCATGGTTCGCCCTACGTACTAGGGACCTGAACTATTGATCACGAAGGAAAAAGCACAACTGGGCATGCATCTATTTCGTACTGTCTTTCTTGACAGCGTTATGATTAGTTTTTCATGAATGGAGTTGGAGGACTGTGAATAGTTATGAGATTGGACGGCACTCGATGTGGTCGGCCCGTAGTTAATGTATTGATCTCAAACAATTCCCATCAAAGCGCACTGATCGGCCCGTGGTTAATGTCTCCATCCCACTCCTCGTATTCGCCGGACCGTGACCTAGTATTTCCGTCCAGTTATTCACATTCCTCCCGTTCCAACACGGCCGTTTATACGGACGTAAGCAGTGAAGATTGTTTCCTTCTCCCTTGCCTTTGGTATATATATAGCAGCAACGTTGGTAGGTCTTCACGATGCATCTCCCTTCAATTCATCAGTCTTTTGTATCGCATCTGAAATAATTGTAACTCATTGTTCAACAATCCAACAAATCAATCATGTCTTCTACATTCATCAACCTTGTGCTCGCAACGCTCTTGGCACAAGGGTAAATCTCACCGCCAATGCCGTAGATCTTGCTGACAAAGTTGCAGAGTTCACGCACTTGATCGAGTTGTCTACACTCCTCCACCGTCTGCACCTACTTCAGGTCCCAATTGCACCCTTACCGTCTACGAGATCCCGTCGGTCAACGTCGACTGCACGTTCCTTCAGGCAACGACTACAGCAACCTCGTATACGGACTGTCACGGATGCGCACTTGTGACGCAAGGGCTCGGGCTTGGACTAGTAAGTCTTGTACCAAGAGGGTTGAGAAGAAGAAACTAATAGGACACAGCCGTGCCGAGCTATTACCAACGTCCCTGGTACTACAACCAAGACTGTGACGTCTTGTTCGCCGACACCAACACCGACTGGACCTTGCGATGAAGATGACGATGAAGATGACAAGTCGGAGCTCGGTGGCGAGGGTGGTGAAGGTCTTTAGGTGATGACCATGGGAGGGATGAACTGAACCTGTTTGTACATAGGAGGACAATAAATTGAACATGTATATACATAGAAAAGCACTCTACAGTCTTTTGTATTCCACGCCAAGTTCAACAGTGTAGCAGTTCAGCAGTGCTGCGGTGCTGCTGTCACTGTTTGCTGTCGGTGGTACCTAGCCCAGTGCTACAAAATCTCCGACTGCAAATACCGTGTAGCCTATGAGTTGCACCGTACCTTTTATTAGCCAATTTAGTGGAAACAGTGAAGAGGCGTGTAATCTCCTCCAGCCCTTGGTTCGAGGTGAGGCATGAAACTGAGGTAAGCTTGCACGTGCCAATGCAATGTTATGCATGTCGGCTCCGATGATGTCGCGCATGGACGTGTGAATGAGCGAACGACATGGCGTGATGCAAGCGTCGCCCAGGCGGAGCAGACATCGTGACGACGGGTGAGAAACACGAGATCACACGGCGGCCTGATGATGGGTGTTGGGTGTCGGTTGCTCGATCGACGTGAGGTGACGACGCGCCCTGGTTGGGGCTGGCGTTAGCTGTTGCCATGATATGCAGGGATCAGCGCAGGCAGCTGCCCCGCAACCAAGACAGTTCGCAACAAAGCAATCAAGCAAGCTCTCCTCTCTCGTCTCATCTCACCTTGAAGCTGCCCTTAAGTACCGAGGAAGCTGCGCCCTTGATTGAAAAAAAACATCCGCCATCACACTACACAACCCACCAAACACGACCAACAAGACATTCACCATGGCCGACGAGAACACTGTCATTGTCGACGAGACGCCCATCTCGCCCGTGCGCTCTCTTGACCGCCGCAACAGTCTGGAGAAGCATTTGCAGCACCGCCCGGAGCCGCAGGATCTCAAAAACCGACACATTCTGCTCGACACTACCACAGCCCCGTATGTTTTCCCCACTTGTGCCCCAGAAGCTAGTGTAGCCCGCAGCTAACCCCGGACCTTGCCTTACAGAGCTCTCCAAGCCAAAGCCCTCGAACTGGAGCGCCAACGCGCAACCGACAACCTCAAAAAGGGCCTCAATGCCCGTCCCGAGCGTGCCGAGCTCGTCGACCGAAACATTCTTCCAAAGTCGACGGCCGCGCCCGCGCTGCAGGGTCACCAGAAGGAGCTCGATATGCACATGAGGGCCGACAGCTTGGAGAAGGGTCTGCAGCATAGGCCGAGTCCGGAGGAGCTGGTCAAGAAGGGCATCTTGGATGCGGATGAGAATCCCGTAAAGGCCGACTAAGCATGTGCTGTGCACTAGAGGGTGGCAGTCTGAGGAATCTCGGTTCAAAATAAGCATATGGCGTTTGACGGATCTCCTTGTAACAATTGGGAAATGGAGTAGAGCTTCATTCTGTATGTATGGCTAACGTTGAAATGAGCACACAAATACACATTGTCTTGCAAGTCTGTGCTGGTCGTCTTGATGCTTTCCTACATGACACTGCAAAGTATATGGCAAAGCATGATGTATATGTGCAATAGTGGCACGACGGTTTAGCTTGATCACAAAGCCATACTAATGTTAAACAACAAAACTCTCATGAGGTCGCTTAGTGGGCGACCTTCTCCTGATGCACAACGTTGGCCTGCTTGCCATCCGCATCCAGCTCCGTCACTTGGCCGTGGACGTTGCGCTCGCCATCAGCCTCCATATTTTTGACCATCTCGGTGACACCGAAAAGGTCGTCCATCCTCTCAAGAGACAAGCCCTTGGTCTCAGGAATGAAGAACCAAACAAAGATAAACATGGAAGCACAGAAAGAGCCATAGGTTAGGAAAGTACTGTTAAGAGTTAGCAAACAAAGTCATCTCTGGTATCGGAAAAACATACCCGTAACCGCCCTTGCCCATGGTAGCCATCATATTAGGCGTTGCCCTCGCCACCACAAAGTTGAACAACCACTGCACCGCTGCGGCAATGGCAACATTCAGCGATCTCAGCCTCGCCGCTGGAATCTCAGACACGTAGATCCAGCATACGGGACCCCATCCAAACTGGAAGAAGCAGGCGAAGAGGAAGACACACACGAGGGCGAAGTAGCCTGCTGGGGGTACGGGCTGGCCCTCGACGGGCGGGTCAACACGCATGTAGATGCCAATGTAGAACATGGCGAGTGCCTGGGCGATGGATGTCCAGAGCAGTGAGCGACGACGACCAAGCGAGTCGGCAGCGAAGATGAGAAAGGCGAGGCAACCAGTCATTTTAACGATACCGTAGATGCCAGTTGCGAAGAGTTTGTTAGTGTTTCCCTTTAGTCCGAGTGCCGCGAAGATCTGAGGGGCGTAGTAGTTGACTTTTCGACGTCAGTCCCAACCCTAAGTTTGTATACCTCGACAAGAAACTTACTAGCATTCGTGCCCGTCATCTGCTGACAGATCATCAACGCAATCGAAATCAGCGCCCTCTTCCTATTCCCCGGAATCGTAAACATCTCCTTTAGCAAATCCTTAATCGTAGCCCCCGCCACAAGCATCCTCTCATGCTCGAGCTGATCCGCAATATCCTTGATCTCATCCTGCACATACGAATGACTGATTGGCAAATTGCGTATCCTCGCCAGCACACTCGTTGCCTCCTCCCACTTATCCTGCTTGGCCAAAAACCGCGGTGACTCTTTATTCAACGCCATGCAACCCACCAGCAGCACAGCCGGCAACGCCTGCATAGCCAACGGCACAATGTACACCTGCGCGCCACCGGACAAATGCAACAGAGACCCGTAATTCACCCAGAACGCCAGACACGTACCCGTTGCAATGAACAATTGGTACAGGCCCGTCAAGCCACCACGGATACCGCGGGGGCTGTTTTCAGAAATGTAAAGTGGGACGACCATTGAGGCGCCGCCGACGCCGACGCCGGCTACGAATCGGCCAATGTACATTGCTTCGAGGGCGCCCATGGCAACGGCTTGGATTATACAGCCCACGATTGTTATGAGGCCGGACAGTTGGAGGGCGACTTTACGACCCCAGCGGTCGGATGCCCAGGAGGCGAGGAAGCAGCCGATGAAGCAGCCGGCTTGGAGGGTGGAAGCGATGTTTGCGTTTAGGTTTGCTTTGCCGACTTTGTCGAGGGTGTCTATTGAGTATTTTCTGTGAAGCAGGGTGTGTGAGTTTGATGTCTACGTCTCCAATTGTATAGAATCGAAGAAGGGAATGGAAAAACGTACTTTTGAAACTCTGGCAGTTCCAACACTCCGCCAATGGTTCCAATGTCGAAGCCGAATAACATGCCGCCGAAGCAGGCGGAGCCTGCCATGGCGAAGGCGCGCCAACCGTAGATCTCATGGGGGTCGGATTTGATTGAGTCGTTTTTTACTATCATGCGGATGAACCGCGCGCCGGCTGATGGGGACGACATGATTGGCGATGGAGTCGATGGTTCAACTCAATTGAGGCCGAGGGGAGATGGCATATATCTATAGAATCGTACCCTGTCGGCCAGTCCCTTGATCTGCAATGAAATCGATCTATATCGTTGTCAGTGAACTGCTTGGCATATGTACGATGGGTCCGAGTAAGTACCGTGCTGTGGCCCGTCCCGATAAGATGAAGACGAACAGAAAGAAGAACGGAGTGGTAGATCCGTTGGAGATGTAAAACAACGCTTACTCACTCTCCTCGTAAACTCTCTATATCCCAAACCAAGAAAAAGCCGGTATAAGAAAAACACCAGCTGCGAGGATGGAAGGGAACAAATTCAAACACGAATTAAGAACCCAAGACCGCAATCTATATAAACCCGTCCCCTCCAGCATCACAGCTGCGCCGGCGGCCCATGCGCAACGCCATCCTAATCATCTACACTACCTAGCCCGAATAGGTACGTTCCCAAAGCCAAGCCCGAGGGATTCTAAACTAAATCCTCCTCTTTTTTTTCGCCCAACCCCAGACTAGGTTGGTAGTTAGTGTAGCTCACCCCAGACAAACCCCCAGACTTTTGGAACCCACACCCTCCACATACCGGTTCCACACATCCACCAACCCACCAACGCCCTTCCCCAGACCCACAGTAGTCGCTCAGGAGAAAAAGTAGGTAAGACTATTATAACATCACAAAGCTTAACAAAGCCAATGGCGCAAATCCAACTCTCAGATTGACGGACATGGATCGTGATAGAAACGCCGTCTTGGAAAAGAAGCCATTTTGGTGCCAAGATTCCCTTCCGCTACCAAGCTACTTTTTCCGTCCAATGGCGTGGGTGGCAGGCTGGAAAAGGCCATGTTCGCCAAGATGGTGCCAAGAGTAGCGTGTTCCCGCGTCTCGACAAGTGTCGGCGTTTGTTTGTGTCTGTGTTGCCGCGCTTCCATGTGGGCATACATAAGACGGGCTGGGCTGGGCTGGGGTAAGCTTCTTTTCTTTGCTAGCCGCGCTGGCTGGGCTCGCTGACTGCAGGACTCACTAGTTAACTTTTCTGTCTGGGGTGAGGTGGGGTTGGGATTGGACTGGATTCCCCGCATACCCAAAGTGGCGCTACGGTTGTTCTCTGGTGAGCAATTTATCCGCGTATTAGACGTTTGGGTGCAGGTGCAGTGTGTTGATTGACTTGCCCCGCGATCCCCTCCACGCGTGCACGTGTGATGGGTTAGACGTGTTTTATTGTGGGAATTGAGCATAGTCGGTCGGATGGAAGTAGGTTATCGGACGTTCTTTTAGGAGACGTAGGGTTCGTACATACGTTGACATTAGATCGGGTACGGTTTTCAGGCAGAATGCAGAGCATGCAGGATGAACAGAGAAAGGTAGTAGTTGGGTCGTGGGAATGTTGGGACAATTATTTCCCGAGGTGGTAATCCGATACTACTACATTTCTGGTTTGTTGTTCATCAGTTGCGATCTGGCATAAGGACTGTACCAGCACCAGGACTGAGTTCGACGTTGTCAGTACGGGTTTACGGTGTAATTCATACCGAGAGAGATTAAGCATTGCTTCCACGTCCCCGCACTCGATTCGTTCGCTCCTGCCCGTTCTCCCGTCTTGGAATCCTTCTAGGCTCCTGGGCATTGCTTACACCTCATCGCCCAACATATCAGAACCATCGAAACAGAGTTTCCGAGCATTTACGATTTTTCAGCCACCCGATTAAACGGCTGCTTTAGTTTAGCAAGCAGAAAATGACAGCCACAACAGCAAACACCAATCGGGCATTCCCCCTCCACCCCTTCTCCACTAATCCCTTCAAAACCCGCGACGATGCCGTCGCAGCCGTAGCCTCACTACTCGACCCCCTTCTCCCTGGTTTCTCCCAGCAAAACGCTTTGATCAAGGTAGGCAGCACGGGCACGCGATTTGACGAAACGGGCGCTCAGGTCGAGGGCTTTGCTCGCCCGCTATGGGGTCTTGCGCCGCTGCTGGCGGGCGGTAGCACATATGCTTCCACGGACAAGTTTGTCCAAGGACTGATTTCTGGGACGGATCCCGAAAGCCCGGAGTTTTGGGGGTATATGGAGGATACGGATCAGAGGATGGTGGAGACGTGTCCGATTGGGTTTACGTTGGCGGTTGCGAATGAGGCGTTTTGGGAGCCGTTGACTGAGCGGCAGAAAAAGAATGTGGAGACTTGGTTGGGGAGTATGAATGATAAGAAGATGCCGGATACAAATTGGTATGTTGATTCCTTTCCTTCATGATGTTGTGCTGCTTGGTTGTTTACTGATGTTTTACAAGGCTTTGGTTCCGTGTCTTTGCCAACCTTGGTCTGCAGAGAAATGGGGCGAAATGGTCAAAAGAACAGCTTGAAAAAGATATCAAACAGCTCAATACTTATTACCGCGGTGATGGCTGGTCAAACGATGGTCCTGATACGTACCGCCAAATGGACTACTACTCTGGTTCCTTTGCTATTCAGTACCTGCAACTCCTGTATTCGAAACTTGCTGCAGACATCGACCCGGAGCAAGCAGAGGAGTACAAGAAGCGGGCACGCATGTACGCCCTCGACTTTGTACACTACTTCGACCCCGAAGGCCGAGCCATCACCTTTGGCCGCTCACTGACGTATCGCTGGGCAATGGTAGCCTTCTGGGGCGCCGTCGCTTACGCCGACCTAGAACTCCCTGCACCCCTCACCTGGGGCGTAGTCAAAGGAATCTGGCTACGCAACCTACGCTGGTGGACAACCCAACACGACATCTTCCAATCCAACGGCATGCTCACAGTCGGGTACTCATACCCAAACTACTACCTCGCCGAGAACTACAACTCGCCCCAATCCCCCTACTGGTGCATGCTCGCCTTTGCCTGTCTCGCTGTCCCTGAAACCCACCCTTTCTGGTCCGCAAAAGAAGAACCTCATCCCTTCGCCAACACCCGCGTCGTCCGCCCCTTACCGCACCCCCGCCAAATCGTCTGCCTATCAGGCGGTCACACCTTCCTCCTCTCCAGCGGCCAATCCTGCCACTACGCCATCAAGAACAGCAACGCCAAATACGGAAAATTCGCCTACAGCGCCGCTTTCGCATACTCCGTCTCCACGGGTTACCAGGAACTCGAGCAATTCGTCCCAGAGTCTCAACTCGCCTTCTCCGACGACGGCGGCGAGCTCTGGAAAATGCGACGTGCGCTCAACGGCGACAGTCAGATTGAAACTCGCGATGGCGTGCCGGTTCTGGTGTCGAGTATGAAACCCTGGGCTGATGTTGAAGTTACAACGTACTTGGTTCCGCCACATGAGGAGACGCCGAATTGGCATTTGCGTGTTCACCGTGTGACGAGCGGGAGGGATCTCAAGAGTGCAGAGGGTGCGTGGGCGGTTTACGGGGCGAGGGAGTCGGATGGGAGATTACTGACTGAGTGGAATGGTACACTTCGTGTGCTCGATACCTCGATTCCTGAAGGTGGAAAGTCGGATTCTGTATCTGCGTTTGCGGCGTCGCCGCGTACGGGAGCAGTGGGCATCGTGGATGTGTACCAAAAGGAGCGCCAGGGCAGTGTTATTCTGTCTGATGCGAATAGTAATTTGGTCGAGAGTAGGACTGTGTTGCCGATTGTGCAGAAGGATATTAAGGAGGGCGAGACGACGTGGTTTGTTACTGCGGTGTTTGCCGTGCCGGCTAGTAAGGAGGGCTGGAGGGAGAGTTGGAAGGAGGGATGGGAGAAGAGGCCGAGTGTGCCTGGGTGGGTTAGTAGTATGATTGATGGATAGTGAGGTGATGGACAGATGAATATGGCTAGACATGTGTCGATACCACTGGCTCAATACTTTAGTATTGATGGCTGAGACTCTGAGGAGCTGAGTGCTCCAACCACTTTCTCGTCTAATGTGGTGCAAGAGCTAGACTACTCTACCAGTCGTAATCCGGTTCTTTCAGAAACACATCTCCTCATATACAGAAACCGGTTTCCCAATCCCAAGGACGTTCGGCCTCCTGCTCATCCTACTTATCCTCATCCTCTAAGCTCGTACTACCAATCTTGTTCGAGTTATCCAGCTCCGCTTCCCTGCTACTTCTCCAGCCACGCCCAGGCAGTTGCCAGATATGGGTGACATCTTGGAACCAGAACAAAGGCGATTCTCTCTTTCTCTGAGGCTGCCATCGGTATATTGGGCCGTTGCCAGTGGACGAAAGGGTTGTATTGGTCGGAAGGGGTTTGGCGTCGGAAGATACCCGTTCATGCACGCACGCTACTATATATCAGTAAGTGAAGCTTTCTAATGCATTCTACCCTTCTACATTTGGAAGTTGACGTACCTGATGTGGCCATCGCCGGCATAGAGGCACATGATCGACCGTGTCCTATGACCCCGTAGAATGGCAGTTTTCTAATATCACTCTCTAGCGGCTCGCTATCGCGAAGGTCCTCCTTGTATGGTTCGTCGTGGGTGGAGTTGATACGAACCTTGGGTTTGAAACATGAGTTCCAGGTATGTTGCCGGGCGTGACTAGGAGCAAGAGAAGATTCTTCAATCTTGGGGGAATTGTTGTCGATGGGCAGTTCAAGAGCTCGGCTGATAATCGGACTGGTCTCCCGACTCCCATAAGCACTATCTGTATCTGAGATGTGAGACCGGCCCTCGGATCTGAAATGAGCAGAGTCGCTGGCTTGAAGGGGAGCAAGTTCATCCATCAGTAGGAAGCGCGAACGAGACGATGGGGGGTTGGTTGGGCGGGACTGCATTGTGGAGAGTGTGCACTAATCGAGGCTTCGAGGTCTAGTAATCCAACTAGAATGTCTCCAAGGAGATTTGCGGCGTTGATTAAACGTATACAAAAAATATTTAGCGAAGTGTTGTGGGATGTAAGCGCGAGGTTTCGCGGGGTGTGTGACGCGGGTGAAGTAAAGATGAAGCAGAATAAGAATGTAACAGGTCGAAGAGTAAACACTTGGTTTCACTACAGGAAGGAACGAGTTTGCTAACGCCACAGACTTCAGAATCGCGTAAGACCGTAAGAGTGTAAGATGCAGGGTGTGGGGTAGTTTTTGGATAACGTCTATAGCTAGAAGGGCCCGCGCATTCTCGGTATACTAATTAGTAGTACACGATCTGTCTGGTTGATCTCATGTAATGATTACTGTTACATGCTCGTTCAGGGTCCTGTACCATACCATGGTGTTGTCTATTGCCAAGCCAAGGCCCCGACGCTGTAACACTAGCCACTAGCATGGCTAAACACTGGAACTCAGTCACGTAAACGGACATGCTTGTTTCCAATAATAGAGACTATGTTCCTCGTTTGCCTGCCGGGTCGTTTGCAGAGAAGGCAAGAAAAGAGGATGAGAGGTCAGCAGGAGGGCCCGTAGCGCGGAGTCAGGCGCTACGACACTGCCCCACCGAAACCAGTCGCATTCCAATCGTGCAACCTCAAGACTCACAAGCGCCGTCTCTGACCCATAACCAGCGCTGCTTATCGCTACAAGATACTTGTTAAGTTATCAGACCTCCCTCACTCTGCTCAACACATCGCACATCACCAAAACGGCGTCATCAGCCCCAGCCCCCGACAGCGTTCGCTCAAATTCCCCTCTCCGCATCGCCAGCCAACTCACAACCGCCTCGGCCATACTCTGGGACCCCAAATTCACTTCACGAGCGCCCCCGGGCAGCCTCAAGCCAGTACACGCAGGCACACTTGTCGCTCCCCAGCGCACAGACTCATCCATCAGCGTCCGCAACCTCGGAGACGGCCATACTGTGCCCATTGTGCCCACCATGGACAACCGCAGACACCCCAGTTCCTTCCAGCAGCTGGAGAAGCTTGGAGAGGGAACATATGCTACTGTAAGCACGATGAAGTATTATGCGAAAAAATACTAACTCTTGTAGGTCTTCAAGGGCCGTAACCGCCAAACGGGCGAGCTGGTAGCCCTCAAGGAAATACACCTTGATTCCGAAGAAGGCACGCCCTCGACAGCCATCCGTGAGATCTCGCTCATGAAGGAGCTACGCCACGAGAACATCGTCTTGCTGCACGATGTCATACATACCGAGAATAAGCTTATGCTAGTCTTTGAATTCATGGACAAGGATCTCAAGAGATACATGGACTCGCGGGGTGACCGGGGCGCTCTGGATCCTGCCACAATCAAGTCATTCATGTATCAGCTGCTCAAGGGCATCGCCTTCTGCCACGAGGCCCGCGTCCTCCACCGTGACCTCAAACCTCAGAATCTTCTCATCAACAACCGCGGTCAGCTGAAATTGGCCGATTTTGGTCTTGCTCGCGCCTTCGGAATCCCCGTCAACACCTTTTCAAATGAGGTCGTAACACTGTGGTATCGTGCACCGGATGTATTGCTGGGCAGTCGCACCTATAATACTAGTATCGACATTTGGTCTGCAGGCTGCATCATGGCGGAGATGTACACTGGCCGGCCCCTCTTTCCAGGAACCACAAACGAGGACCAAGTACAAAAAATCTTTAGGCTGATGGGTACACCGTCCGAGCGATCTTGGCCAGGCATATCTCAATTGCCAGAGTACAAGAATAACTTTCCTGTCTACCATACCCAGGATCTGCGCCTTATACTACCGCAAGTCGACCAGGTCGGTCTCAACCTGCTCAACAGTATGCTTCAGCTCCGTCCAGAGATGCGCATCTCCGCTGCAAACGCTCTGTTGCATCCCTGGTTCAACGACCTACCACAGCGTCAACAGGAAGTCGCTCAAATGCAGGCACAAGCGCATGCCCAAGCACAGCAAGCCCAGATGGGAGGCTACCAAGTTCCTCAAAACGCGTACTAGAAGCCCAGCGTAGATTGTGACACACATCAAGGGTTTCCATTCCCCTTAATGATCGATCCTAATACAAGCAATTACCAAGATGCGCGAGAACCATATTCTGTCGAAGGCAACATGTTTGGTTGGAATGGGTCCCATTATGCTCCAATGCAGCCCGAGGACTTGGTCGGGAACATGACGGGATATTGGGATGGCGGTATCCGTTATTGGCATGACGGCAATTCTTGGAAGAAAGCGGAGGATCAAGCATTTCAACGCCCGTTTGTGCATGAAGGCGTTACATATGTATGGAATGGTCTGACATTTGATAAATATGAGCTTGCACATGAGGCTTCTGGAGCCAGCGGTTAACCATCCGAATGCACATTCTCTAATACCATGGTCTTTAACTAGCTTTGATAGTTTATGTCAAGATTCTAGGATCTTGACTCTTGAACTTTGTTTGGCTGTTGCGCACAGTTATCTCTTTATTCCAAGTCAAAGGTGTGTTCCTGGACCATTTCCATAATTTATCAATGGGATTTTATATTAAGCCATTTGGTATAATAGCATGCTTGGTCGACTATATCGATTTAATAACCAAATTAGGAAGAATACCCTATTCGGAGCCCCCGGGGAAAAAGCGGTATGACTGATATGCCACTCCGCTCACTGAACCAGTTCCTCCCATTCGATTCTATCATCGACAAGCGGAAACGTCTTCTGTTGACCTGAATGATGCTTGGTATCGTCAACCAACGTCCCAGTACTCTCGACCTTAACTGGCATTATTAACAGATCATTCTCTTCGCCGTTTCACGTCCCTTGGATCGCTTTTACCCTGTATAAACGACATTTCCTTGTATGTATTTTGTACTTCACATGAGCATATCACCACGGGAAATGATAGTCTTCACCCCTATCTTTTCATAGCATAGAAGGCTTGCAGTGTAGAAGCGACTTTAGTAGTCACACACCTCTAGCTTTTCCAGATCAAAATACACCTAGAGGCAAATGTGAGAGATTTAATACTCCCATTCAGCCTATGAATGTGTAACCAATCAACCGACTCACGTCGTCTTTAAGACCACAATTTTACGCTTTGAACCCCCACGGATCGTCTAAACCTACAAACAATCTTCCTCGTGTCAGTGACGCTGTACCATACGTATAGCTCTTTACAGTCTCAAAGTATGATAGTCATATTTGCTTACCAGAGCGGGTATGCAGCTATGCGGTGCCGGAATACGGAGTCTCACAATGAAGAAATGTTGGTGGATGAGAGTCACATAGATCAGAAGTGTAGTTTGAACTTTATGTATCTCTCTCTCTCGCTTTTGTATGAGCAACTGAGTATGTGGGTATTGGAAGGCTGATGAAAACAGCGACTGTAACACGATTGATTAAAGCACACACATACACAGGCTTGTTATATGAATATCACGTATTTGCGTCTTGATGGAGGGAGTAGGTATTTCCGGTATACTCGTAGCTTTGGTTACGCGATGGGTTCACACATGTCGGCAGCCGTAGCTCTGGCGGCCGAGCATGACTCCACTGCATGATTATTGTTGGTTCCATTGTAACTGCATGGCGCAGATCTAGAAGTTTTAGGTCCGGTTTAGTTGTACCACACCCTAGCTGTGGTGGCTGTATTTAAACATCTATACTATTGGAACAAGGTCCCTTTAGTAGTATGACTACTATGGATAACCGAGTGGGAGGAGGGACAAGGCGGGGTGGCTGCAACGTATTGTTTTTACTATCATGTTGTATGTTCGCTACTCAGGCTGTTGTGGTGGATGCCATTGCCCACCGGGCAGTGCCTGCCACACCAGCACATCAGACCCCCAAGCACCTTCTACCTGGACTGAACCCAGATATTCTCAACATATACCATTTTTTTAGAGATCTCTCTGCAACTACAAACGTTGAGAAGAGGAAGACGAAGCAGGTTTTCATAAATGTCAAGAGTGTCATGTCAGTTGTCAGATTGACACAAGGAGTAATGCTCTCGTGTTTGTCTTACCACCTTGTTTCCACACGACGTTTTCGTATAGCAAGCACGTCATCGATACTATTGCGGTCCGACACGTGGAAAATGCACGTGGCTCCTACGTCCTCGGAGAAAGGAAAGAGACGCCAAGTCCATAACCACATGCTAACCTGTGTAGTGGTACTGTACCCGAATCTCTCTCCTACATTGAGCGCAAGACATCAGAAACCACATCATTAATATGTACTAACCCCAACCCCCATCTACCCTCTCCAACAACCGGAACCAACGGCAAATCCACCTCAGTCGCATGAACGATGTCAAGCCAAAGCTCCATCAAAGCGGGTCCCCCCGTCCCTACTATAGCCCGCCTTTATTTGGAAGGCCTTCCGCACAGCACGTGTACATGCACTTTACAACAAAAAAAGTAATGTATAACCGGTACAAACGGCACAAAATCAGTCCATATATGCATGTGCGGAATTCCATTGTGACTAATGTGGAAAGTTTCAAGGCCACCACTTACAAAAGCAAGATTTTTTTGGCTTGCATTGACAAAGAGATATTGGGGGTGGGTTGGAACAGCGTGGGTGTAATAATGGATAAGGGCAGGTTGGACGATTAGATAGAAAAGCGTGGGGGTGAGTTTTACGTTTGGAAGGATTTTGGTGGCTGGGGGTTATGGACTGATGTTGCTGGCGGAGTTTGAGTGGGAGGAATTGGGGAAGACGAGGGAACATGAAGGCAGAGAGAGAGAGAGAGAGAGAGAGAGAGAGGGAACTGGGAACTGGGAACTGGATCTTTGGTGAAAGGAGACGTTAGTAACATGCTCGTTGACGTATCTTCTGCTTCCAACACGGAGCAAACCAACCTCAACCTCAAAGTTAAATTCCCAAAGTATATACATACATACATATATTTAAGCACACTACGGAGTTCCATACCTAGGTACATGAAGGCGGACATTTCGGTACCCAAGACGGACAAGTAAACGGTTAGTTGCCCTTGCCGCCACCGGACTTGCAACCCCGCGCGTGCGCACGCGAGCGAACACGGTACATGATAAAAGGTAAGTTTAATTTTTCTTCTTTCCCTTTTTTTGCCCACGCAAACGGATTGAGAATAGCGTGCATGAAACACGAACCAGCCAGCCGGTTTGTGTGCAGCGTTCATGGCAAGCAAAAAAACATCATGCAGGGTCGGCTCTTTCACACCGATCAGACTAGGTTTGGTATTCCCACACCACCATCGCTTGGACGAGATCCGGCTGAGTGCATGTGCATGCGCATGTGCGGTTTGTCTGGGGGGAGGGGAGGTGCCGGCCTTTTGTTTTTACTCGGCGCTGCAGTTGCTGCGTCTGCGTGTGCGCCTCGATAAGGCCCTGGAGGCGATGGCATCCGCTGCCTTCCCGCAGCTCCGGAACCTGATTGTGGGAGACGACCATCCGTTATAGGCCGTCCCACAGATTGTGTGGTCACACCGACTACTATCGGTACATACGCAGCTGCTAGTTGACTATCGGTAGATCCTTCGCGCCTACTCCATTGCCATGTGTAACAAGCAATGCGGCGGTAACAAGCGAACCGTTTGTGCTACCATTGCAGACTGCAGCTGCACTGATTGTGGTGTGTGGTGTGTGGTGTGTGGTGTGGTACTGTAGTGGACGGAAGATATCTCCGCGGTTGACGAGATAACCTGGTAAGCATGGGAAGATTGGATGGCTTACCGTCATGGTAACCTAACCCGGTGGCATGGATTGCGTGGCCGCCACCACCACACTTGTTGATAAATCATGAGAGTCAAATATCCCCGAGTCATATATAGTAGTGTATGCGTATTTACCAACTCCTGCAGTTTGACGATGTCGGAACATGCGCGTACAGCCAGCCCGGCGAGTTTTTCCGGGCCGGAAGCTTGGACCACTAGTTAGACCAAGCTTCCCGCTTAGCTCGCAACCGTACATATGGAGATCTCTCCATCCAGCTCTTGCTCACTACTAATCAAAATACTATACACTTTGTTCGTTGCAACGACTGCTAGTATTCGACACCTTTGCCGTGTCAACAGACGAGTTTGAGGAGTGAAGATCGCACTACTTGATATCATCCATTCTGGCCATGATTGGGTTACGACACTTGTTGACCAAAAGAAAGGCGCAGTTGCGATGATCAATACGATATGCTGTCAGCCGTCCAGCTCAAAACTGGGGTCATGAGTACCACGACAACCGCGTGTGAAAAGCCGCTCAGATGAGATGTTACCACGTCCAGCCTTGCGCATCAGCGCGCTCAAGTCCGTGACGAAATGGTGTAACAATGCATGCACCTCTTAACCATACGGAATCGTCAACAGCCAAGTCCATAAGCCAGCACCAAGCGATTCCGGGCAACATGCGCAGATGCACAATGGCGTGCAGCCGGATGGGAGGTGATACAGATTAGTTTGGTAGCCCCCTCAAGAAATCAACATCAACTTGTCATCGTCGCGGCTTGGCCGAGATTCTTACCGCACATGCAACTGACTAGGAAGGTGGTCCTCCGCATGAGCGCCCTTGTCCAGTGCTTTCTCTTTTTATAGATGCAAGTCGGATGGATGGCTGATCTTCACTGCCCACATGAAGCAGGGCCCGCAGAAACGATAGCAAAACGCGTTCGAACCAGCGCAAGGCACACGGCCGGCGACTCCGCCAGCACGTCGCGATTGCATCTTTAGTCTTCCCGGGTGCGTGCTTGCAGCTCTTTTCCCCTCTCTGTCTCTCCCTGAGCGCCTACGGTACGGTATTGGTATTCGGTAAATACTGTACGGTGTATACTCCACATTTTGCGTTGGCCGCACATCCCCAAGCACATGCCGCGTGACGCTACCCCTTCTCACTCTCAATCTCACTCTCCCTACCCTACCCTACATACAGTATTCTGTACTTGTGAAAAGGAAATCCAATGATTTGTGCACACGCCTTATTTTACTAATGGGAATTTACGGGGCCGTCTGAATACCAGCCGGTTGATACATGTGCCGCGCTCCGGTGACAAGATACGACCAAGTGCGGCATGGCTACCCACCTATGAAATGGCTGCGTCGCTAAACTTGTCCACATGTGGCTTAGCCGTTGCGCGCGCTGCTTTGGGCCTTAGCGCGGGTTGCGTCGACTCGAGGTTCAAAGTGACGTGCGTCTTGGGAGAATGCGTGGGAAATCAACGTCGGGTTACTGCCGCCCGCCGCTGACGTCCAACCACGACTAAATGCGAGTCGAGACATGTTGACACAGAGATGACTTCAGGGAATGGGAAATAGGCCCATTTCGAGACCCCAGCCATCGGTTCCTGATCACTCGGTTTGCTCGGCTCTGGCTTACCGGCGGAGTGCGAAACGTAGCGTCGTGGGGAGTCGGTCCGAAGGCGACAGGCAGAAAATGACAAGACGGAGGGACAGATGATGGACAGAGAGCATTGACGGGATGAGATGGAAGGAACCGCGACATGGTATGGCATGAGTGATGTATATTCGCCACTTTGCTACAAGAGGAGTAGAGGATTAGAGTTTTAGGGTCTTAGGGAATGGATGCACGTGCCGTCGAGAGCGTTGGAGTGTCATCGACCAACCTCGGGCTGCTACGCCAACGCTGTAATTGCACCTGGTCTGAGCAATGCCTCATGCTTGAATGGCGAGTCTGGCGTCTCAGAACACTCACCGTGCATGCACCATCTGTCACAACGCTTCGCAAACCTAACGTTGTATGAGCATAGTAACATACGTCAAGTCGCCTGAGGTCTCGCGGCAAGCCCCCCTCCCCCCCCTCCCTCTTTTCCCGACACACGGGGAAGCTCTCCCACCGGAAGATAGTGATTGAGAGAGCAAAAGAGAGTTATTGTGTACAACCACACACACATGGTAGCGTGTTTACGCGGCCTGGTGGGCTTGGATGCTTGGCCCATGATAATTGCCATGATCGCTAGAATCAACAAACCACCGCTTGCCTACTTACCTCCAACCAACGGCAAACAGTGGAGTCGCATACTGTAGCCAACTCCAAGTGGGAAAAGAAAACCTCCAAGGCGGAGCGCCCGATACCACCTTGCATATTCATCTCCAAAAATCCAAGCCTTTTTTTTTCTCCCACGAGGCTGACCCGTGTGTCCGTGAGATCCCCAGGGTCCCCATTAACGCCTCCCAACGCCAGAACCGCGACATGGTTCCTTTCCAGCTACCCTAACCACTACCACTACTGTACCCTACTGTACCCCCCCCCCCCCCCCCCCAGTCCCCGCCCGCCTGTCAGTGATCCCTTCGGAGGAAACTTTTGCGAAATGTAGCTAAATAAACGCTCCGACGTTTAGACGGGCCGACCCCAGAGATAAAGCTTGAGCGCTTTTCTTAACGTGAATCGCGTGATTGGTGCCCAGGACCGTCTTTGACAGCCCTGTTTCTTGAGGCCCAATCGACACGGGTGAGCGCCATGCATGTGTGCATGTGCGTGTGTGCGGCATGTGGCAGACGGCAGACGTGGGAAAGCCAAAAAGTCGCGTGGCATCTATCATTACGACGTGTGTTTCGTAACTTGGGGCATGGAAGACGTGTCGTTGCTAGTATGCCTGATATTTGCTGCTTCACTATGCCTATCATGTCTCGCCAGTTTTGCCAACCTTCATGCACATGCTCTCCATCAAATGAACAATGACAACACTCGTCGTCTCTCTTTGCGAACGCGTGTACACTTTTTTGCTAAATTGCTAGTCTTACTGGCTAATTATTTTCCTTGAATCATCTTCATTGTATTCTACTAACGCGGCTCCAGTCCTATGGATCGGATCTTTCGGATCGCGATCATTGCCTCTATATGTTCGTGGCGGCTACCTCCGACCCCCTCGTGCTTTTAATCACTTGTTGCCAACTAGCATGGCCATAAGCCACGCTTACTTTTACGAGGGCGCGGAGCACCCTTAGCCGTGACGGATTTACAACCCTGCACTGTCAGAACCAGATCTTTACATGTCAGCCGCCCAGTTCCGCCCGTTCAAACCATGTCGCCTCCAAGAAATCCCACCACGCAGTGCCTGTCGCATGGGCTTGGTTTCGTAATCCTTGAGATCGAGAATGACGCCCGTGCCACGGTCAGAGTGATCTGGCACATGGATGGCCCTTGATACATGACCTGCAAAAGGCAACCCGATGCAACGATTTACCCATGGAACATAGCTTCTTCCACCTCGTATGACCACCCGGCTCCTTAGTGCTTCGCATAAGCTCCCTCCCGCACGTGCAACGACATCTTCTAGTCCATGCCACCGGAGGAACTACCGGAAGATTTTCCTTCGCTGCTTTTAGAACGGTGCGCCGACATGACTCGCTCCCTTCCAATACTGGACCCTGACAACTGACGCATTCGGGTAGTTGTGACAGGGGCTGTTGAACGTCGTCCATGTTCGACCGTTCAACGTGCTCCCGTTGACATTTTAGTCACTTTGATGCTTCTGGATGCTTTTCTTCGATACGGATGATGAACTTGTTCAATGGTCGAAAAACTATACCCTTGCTACCAACTTTCTAGAAAGGCCCACTACCAGGACCGGGAAAAAACTCTGCGCCATGTGTAAAAATACGTGTCCCCGCTCTTTGTAACCAAACTCTAGTGCTTGTACATCATCGGATCTACGGGGTAATTTTGAATAGAAAATCTTGGGTCGTATGCCGTTGCGTTCACGCCCATGTGGTGACTCTGCATGTGACCATGTGAGGTGGGAAGTTGCATAGCCGAGTGTCCTACTATTTGCGACCGTGACTGCGACAAGGGTGTCTCGTAAGGACCGGGAGTTGTTGAGTTGCTTCTAGGACCAGAGCTAGAAGAGTGCGTTGTGCTTTGTTGTGAAGTGTCATACAGGGATAGATCTCCTACGTGGGTGGTAGGTGCGGAGATCATGGATTGCTGAGTCGTATTGAAAGGAAGTTGGGCGCCAGTATGGGCAGCAATTCGGCGAATCAGGTCGTTTGAGGGATACGAGGGTGAACTGGAAGCGGGACTTGCCGAGAAATCGTCGGCGACATTCGAGGGGAGCGTCCCCGAACCACTAGCATTAAGGCCGAGCGTCGATGCGGAAACCGTCTGGGGGAGGTTCAGTGATCGGGGAAGCGGAAGATTTGGCAACACTTCGTTGAGCTTGGACAGAAGCAGGGGAAGATATCTCGACTGTCCGCCGCGAAGTGTCGATATGAGGGTGAGGAAGCGCGATACGTAGTCGCGGGGACCCAAGGCGAATTGATCGGGCGAAAAGGTTGTGCAAGCGACGACATCCGTTAGACAACAAGCTATGTCGAACAACTTTTCGATCTGCAAGCGCTGTTAGCTAATGTTTGACGTGACAGTCATGGTAAAACGTCGCATGGGTGGGTGGTGCAGGGGTTGACGAGGGAGGCTAGGCTAGTCAGGGCGTGGACGTCAGAGATAGACGTTGGCTAGTGGGGCCCTAGTGAGATCGAAATATAACAGGGATTATTGCATCGAAGGGTGGAGGGGCTCCCGGCGGGGAGGCCACTCCAACATGCAGGTTTGGGTGACGAGGAATGGGAAAAATAAACTAAAAGAATCATGTACTCACCAGGCCGACCCCGTGCACTTCCATGGCTTGTTGGGAAAATTGGTGTGAGGTGGTGAGGAGGTCTCGTGATATCTCGATTGGGTATTTGAAAGTAAGCGGAGGGTCGTTGGTGACGCTGCTGACAAGGCCCTGGCTGACGCTAAGCTGCCATGCCTGCGACCTTAGCCAATGTTGAGTTATGCGAATCTGGACTTCCTGCGCTTCGGTGCACTCGAAGTAGGCTGGGACGGCTTCTGAGAGCTGCGTTTGGACCTGCGCAATCCATGCCGCGCTTGCATGTGTGTTGTGCACTCTGTTCCAAAGGTTGATGAAATTGTCGTCGATAATTTTGAACATGTTAATCATGAGCTCAAGGCCAACGGCAATGGGCCGGTCCGAGGGAACCTCGTCTAGAGATGGTGTGTGGATGGTTGGATGCAGGGTAATGGGGCGCCGTTTGTGCAGGGCGTAAGTTCTAGCAGGTGTTAGTAAGAGAGAGAGAGAGAGAGAAAAAAAGCAACGGTCTGAGCGCATTTCTGCAAAGTTTGGAAATGTGCTAAAAACACGCACCTTTCGGCTATGAAGAGTAGCCAGTAGAGGACTCGTTTTCGTGATACATCGAGCGGGTCGTGTTTGTACGTCTCCTCGTCATGCATGCCTAGCAATTGTGCTTGTGTGGTAGCTTCGCGAAGATAGGTCCATGCCGTGTTTTCGCGCGCCAGTCCAAAGTAGCAGCCGTGATAAAAATACGAGGTCAGCACACTCATGTGAGTGGGGTTCTCGCGGTGGTCGTAGCCTTGTCGTACGCGGACGGACTCCTCGAGCAAAACATGGCCGATGCCCACGTTCGACATGTGAGCCATTTCCTGGCGGGGGAGCACATTTACGTGGGGTTTGTGGTTGCCCTGAATCATAACGTAGGCGCAGAGGGCGACAATCATGCAGTATGCCTCGGTCGAGCGGTCCATGCCAACAGCGGCTTCCTGAGCTCTTTGGCGGTGTAGGACGGGCTCTGTGGGGTAGACATTGTTGAAAAAGTACTCAATGCAGCTCTCGACCAGGGCGGGAGGCAGGAGGCCCTGAGTGCGAGCAAAGGTCGAGGGCAAGGAGCGTCCGTCGTATCCAAGGTCGGTAGGGAAGCCGGCGGCTAGCTGGGCGTTGCGTTGTGTTTCGCGAAGTTCAGACAGGACTTTGGCACGGCTGCCCTTGGGGCCCTTCTTCTGGGGGATGGCATTGTATGTGCATGCAAGGCCGGCAGAGACGCAGTTCTTGCAGGGCGCAGTGCCTTCTCCGATACACTTTACTTTTCTACGGTGACAGCTGGTGGACTAGATGTGAGTGGTGAAGTTTGTCAAGGGACGGACGAGAACGTACCTGTCGCAAGCCCGCTTGACCGGAGCAGTCGTGGTAGGATTGGAAGCCATGGAAGGAGAAGAGGTCGCTAGTGTGGGACGTCTCGTCATCTACTTGATGAGGGATGCAGTCGCCGAGCGGATCCGCAGGTTCCTATTAGTACAACAAACATGTTGCGCCTGCATTCGGGGAGATATCTTTGAAGGTTCCTTGTGTCATTGTGCTTGAATGAACGCTCATTCGCACTTGGTTAACCTGGACGACTGGAAAGCCCAAGCGTCCAAAGTGCATATTAGACTCAACTAGTTAGCATCACAGGGCCATCCAGGATGGGTCTGGTGGATTGCGAGTCCAATCGCCTAGCATGGAGAAGCCGCCATGGTCCCTGGTTCCACGGCTGGGGAAAGAGAGTGCAGGGCAGGGCGTCGGAAGCCGGTCAAACGCTCACCACACGGTCGCAAGCCCTGGGGCTTAGGCCGTCTACTAGGCTAGACCTTGCGTGAAGAAACATCCTAGCCTGACCGCTGGACATGGTACAGCCATGGCACGGTCTGTTCCTGCCACAGCGACGGGAGCTTCATGTTAGTGTCACTTTAGGGCGAGCTGTAACTAGCCGACATTGCCCCGTTGGGCAACTAACCCGCCATGGGTCTACCCAGCCTGTGCGAAGCATCGACGCGTGGGAGAAGGGGAGGTATGGGAGTGTCCTTGAGTGAATACGATGCTTCTAGGCCAAAGGGAAATGATGAGGTAGACTCATGCTGCCTTGGAGGGCCTCGTCGTTTGTCGCCCCCTCCCCAGCTGTCTCAGCGTGTCAGTTTAGCGCAGCTGGCGGGGGGGCCGGCTGCTGCGCTGTGTGTGCCTGACAGGAAACATGGTCTGAAGTTTAGACTGAGTGCTGACGGCTGACCGCCTCCCCAGTCTCGAGCCCGGAATGCGATACTGCTTGGGCAGCGCCCACGTATGCTGAGAAAACGGGGCAATGGCGCCGAGAGTGTGACATGCCTCCAATTGTCGACGTCGAGGCCAAGTGGCGGTATGGGCCGGTGCTTGCCGGCATGTGCAGTCGTCATTCGCCATTCGTCATCTTACCCAACCAACTCTCCATCTCCACCCACCGCCCATGCACATGGCCCAACCCCAACCCCAACCCCAACCCAACAACAAGCCCATCGACAGAGCCAGACTGTAGCCATGGTGTGTTTCCGTGTCAGAGAGAGGTAGCTCCAGCGAGGCGCAGCGTCGATTGCCGCAGTTGCAGTTCAGATTCGGTCAAGTCTACTCCTGTGGGCGCGCATCGGGCGGGGACTGCATGGGCTCGTCCAAGTCGGAGGCGAGGCGAGGCGTCGTGAGCTTCATCGAGTCGCCATGTCTCTGCAACAGGTCTCTGAACTCATGAGATGCCTTCGCGCACATGCAGCGACGCCCTTATGACTTATATCCTCTTCCTTAAAGGGCCTTTTGCGGACTCCACTGTCGGAACGAGGGCCTTTCAAGCTTCCGAGATGCTGCCGGCAGCGATCAAAAATGGTTCAACAGCGTCGAGACCGCGAATAAGAGAGGCTGGACCACCCTCCAAAGTAGTCTTGCCACCCGCCCGAACTGCCCGCGCTAGACGTCATGGCGAGTGAAGCTTGACACGCCGCCAATCCATGAGTTGTGATGCAGTCTTGAGCCTGCCACCGACCGTACATGTGTAAAAGGGCCATGGTGTTGAGGCTTTTCCTGTACCTGTACGTAGATCCGGGGAACAGGTAATATGTACCTCCTTTGTCCATGCTCCGCTAGCGTGCAGCACCAGTGGTAAGATTCGTGATCCTTGGCATGGCCTCCGCGGAGCTTTAGCTAGACGACACGCTTCGGCGCGGACATGGTAACGCTGAGGTCTAGTCAAACTACAACTGAACAAGGCCACCTGCCCGTTTGCAAAGCTTCCGCTGTAGTGTAGCGCCTGTAGCTCCAGCACTGCCCAATCGTCCCTCACCAACTACAGTAGCTCAAGCATGCCCTGCATGCTCCAGACAAAAGACTACCCCGCTGTCGTTTTGTAGTGAGGCCGAGTCATGCATCGTGGGAAGATGCTCCAATAAAACATCCATGGCCCCACGATGATATGTCATGTTACCGCATCTCCGTACATGTCTCGCTTTCTTCCCTCTCCCATCAGACATGGAACCAGGTCTCGTGACTTACAGCATAGGTACATTCAAAAATTGCCATAAGAGCCCTAGTGGAATATACCTTGTCCACTTGGATTTTTGTCAGCAAGACAATGAATATGTCATTTGACGTGGGCAATTGGAAGTAATCAAGGTGAATAAAGAGGGAACGCAACAAGGTAAGAAGAAATAAGACAAGAAGTACATTTTGAACGTTTGTGAAAAAAGAAGAAGAAGAATGACAACTCATGCGTGGAAAATCGGAAAAGAAGAGCACAGTTTATAACAGTGTCCTCAAAATTAACCAAGACACACAACGATGGTTCTGATGTAATTATGACACCAGGAACACAACCCAGCAAGCCATTGGCGATCCTCACAACATCACAGTATAACCCCACAGTAAACACATCCCTGCGCTAACACAAATCTCTAGACTATCTCATTCTATCTACTCCCCTACACGGCGAGATGACGCTCAATCTTTACATCGCTAACGCGGCACCCAGAACGCCCGTAAATGCAAATCGCATACCCCCGTCATACCTGTTACCTTCGTGGACTTTCATTAAGAGAACTCGACACGACTTCCACCCCCTAGCCTGGCCTGTTTGGCTTGTGCTCTTTCCGCTCTCCGTCTACGCCTGTTGGAATCGTAGTTGCTAAGATCTGTTTCCGTGCCGTTAAACTGAGTACCAGGAGGACTGCTCAATACCGTATCTGCTGCTGGGATCGGTGGAGGTGGGAAGAGAGTCTGGCCCGGAGCTGAACTCTGGCCTTGGTTGAACACTGGAGGAGGGCCTGGCGGAGGCGGCGGAATGCCACCTTGCTGTGCCATCTCTTCTGCTTGCGCCCGCTCCATGGCCTCGGTCCTGCGCCAACGCTCCCCTCCGCCAGCGCTAAGAGAGCTCACACTTCCGGCACGGGCCTTGTTCTTACGTTCTCTTCTCCTTGCATCTCGTTCGGCCGCTGCTTCTTCCTCGTTCAGTCGTCGCAGAGTTACATGTCGACCATCGTTATGCATCTTTACTTTTACTGAAACAGGAGGGGATGCCACGTCGTCTCTGCTACCTCGACGCTCTTTCTTGGAAGGTGAGCCCATGGACGTAACTGTCGCTGCGGCTGCGGTTCCAGCAGGGATAATTGGTCGGTCTCCAGTGCGACGGCGGCTGTGGTGACGGCCTCCAGGTGAGTCATAAGCTTCCGATGCAGAATCCGACAAGACACTGTAAACGCCAGCCCGAGGGGGACGTCCGCCAGGGTTGATCGAGGGGGTGAGAGTAGAGTCCATGGGGAGAGGACGCGCCACTGATGGTGTGATACCCGTCATATCGCTCTCGGAAAGTATGGTGGATGGCGGTCTGTTGCCTTTACGAGGTGTTCCGTCGCCAGTGTACTTTTTGCGACGTTGGCTATTCATACGAGCAACGCGTTCCTCTTCGAGATCTTGTTGTCGCATTTCTTCCACATGGTCGTCCTCCTTCTTCTTACTGCGTCTGCTGAGCGAGTGCTTGAGAAAGCCGAACACACCAAGTGTGGCGACTCCCTCCTTCAGTCCGTACGAATGGTCCCTAGGCCTCATTTCAGTCTCCTCGCTGAGGCTCGTTCGGCTATCGAAAGAGTCAATCGATCCTGCGCTCCTAGCTGGGCGAGGACCACGTCCTATGGAGCTCTCGGTCAATGCTGATGCTTGGGGGTTATCGCGACGCCAGTCATCTCGACGATTCGCCGGAGATTCAGGAGCTCTTCCCTCCTCGAGCCTGGAGATGTCGGTCTGAGTAACTTCGGATGGGCCTAGTGGACGGCTGTAACTGAAGTCGCTTCCAGTCTCAGTCGGAGGGTGTTTTGGCTTGCGACTGAAGAGCTTTTTCATGGCGAAGATACCTCCAGCTGCGGCTCCAGCTCCCAGGAGACGGTCTCTCCAAGTGTTACTCTTTTGGCGATTACCACCGTACTTTTCGTCGCTCAGATAAGACTCAGTGAACTCCGATTCGTTAACACGAGACCGGGAATCGCGTCGAGAACTAATCACGGTTCCACCACGTCTGCTGCGGCTCATACTGCGCGATTGTCTTCGTGGTCCCAACCCGGCTAGGCCTGCTCCTGCTGCGCTCGCAGTTGCAACTCGTCTCATGCCGGTTCTCCGAGTACTGTAGGTACGATCTGTTACATAAGTGCTGCGATCGTCAAAGTCTAGCTCGGGCTGATTCCTGTACGAAAGCACAAAGTAAAGGATGAAGAGAATGAAGGTCCAGACAGCGAAGAGTATGAACAAGGCCAGTGGTGAGCCATATAAAGTCAGGCCGAGTGGAACCTGAGCAAAGCCGAGCAATGCAATGGTTCGTCCTAGCCATTGATGAATCTGCACATGTTAGTGGATTTCGGTAGTTGTTGATTTGGGATACATACCATGAGCTTGAGGGGGATCTTGAAGCGCTCCTTGCCCTTTTCTAGCCTGTGGATGACTGAACCGCCAAGCGCCTGTACCATGACGAGAGTGTAAAGCGCAACACCAATGCCATGATGAGGGTTTGTGAGTGACCTCTCAAGCCCAACAGCAAAGAAGCTGCAAATGATTGCCGCAGTTGACAGAAGCACGGCGAGTACCTGTAGCCAGATATGGAACTTCAATGCCGTATGCGGATTCCGATGGTAGAAGCGGGCCATGAAAATAGCTGCAGGTATTATGAATAGAAATGTTACGCCTGCTAGCACGCCATGAGCGGTGATGAGAGCCTTGTAGCCAACCATGCTGCGAAAGCGGTTGCCCATGCCTAAACAGTCAGTGTCTTCCTAGAAACCAGTCGTATAGTGATCGTACCATTGTATCGCATTGTCTCAAAGTTGGGGCCTTGCAAATTGGGCAACAGGAAAGTGTTGCGCTGCGAGTCCCATGTCCCATCCCCGACATACATGGTGTCTGACGAGTAGACACTCGACCCTGGTGCAGAGAGGCCTTGAGACATTGTGGCGGTGGTGGTTGGTTTCGTGACTTGGTCGCGTACTCGTAGTAAAGTCGTAGTAGTGGTCGCGTAAGTCGTTTGATGGAGAAGTGACGTAAAAATCGCTATAACAATGCAAACAGACAGCGATGAACAAGAAACAAAACTCGTGACGTCGTGACAGGCGTAAGAATAGCGAGAGTAGGCCTCGCACTTTCAAAATATGCTTGTAGGGTGACAATGAGGTGGTAGCAGTCTGAGCGTGTCCGGTTGGACAGCTCGCGGAAGTGGGGGAACGTCAGCTCCTGTCGTTGAAGCCTTCAACGTCCTTTGCGCAAAAAAGAGGCCGTGAGTTGTACAGTTTGCGGAAGTCTTCTCGGAGGAGCTGCAGATGTCATGGAGCCTCGAAAGCGGTAGCCAACGCAACTAGCTCGGCATGGATCCACCGGCAACCAGTGTTTATCGCACTTTTGGCCAGGCAACGTAATCGATAGGTCCGTGGCGGTGAGTAGTGCGTTTCAGCCAATCACAACCAACCTCTCCCCAGCCCCCAGCCCGCCTAAAGCTCTGTTTCGGGCTTGTCGAGATTATTCCTGGTTTTTAGAGCCCAATTAGCTCGTCATCGCTCTATCCCGAGGCTGAGAGATGCGCTGTTAATTAATGAGGCGAGCGGCTACTAACATCTAGCACCCGTAAGGTACACCGCAGGGCCCGGTTCAAGTGGACGTTCGCAGGCTGTCGCGACCCATCAAGCAGATTAAGCAGAAAATAAAGCATCCATTGCAAGTCAATGTAGTGGTATCTTAGTATTAGAAATCTCCGTCCGTTGCCGTCCCATAACGCCGCCAAAACCATATCCCAGCCACCGCTCGTGTAAACCACGTCACCCCTCTACGTCCAGCATGTCCCTTAGCGCCTTCTCGGATGCTCTCAGCCACCTGCCTCTTTCCTCCAATTCATCGCCGATACCACCACCCTCCTCCTTTCTCCTCTGCGCCTCTTTAGCTGCTGCCACTGTCGCTTGTTTTTGCGTCTCCAGTGGCCTCAATTCGCGCTCCAGCTTCTCCAAGTCTCTGCTGCGATTTGGCACGGCCGCTTGGAGACTTGCTATTTGCGCATTCAGGGCTGCAAGCTCGGCCTCCCGCTCGCTGAGCACTCGCTGGGTTTCAGGAAGCGGAAGTGCAAGCTCGGCTTTCTTGGACACGGGCGTTTGCTCTTTCTTGAGCTGCTCTATGCTCGCTTCTAGGCCCGCGATCTCGGTCGGAAGCGACTCAAGTTGTTGGGTGCGTAGTTGTAGACCCTCGTAGCGTTTCGCGAGCTCTTTTCCCTTGTCTTCCAGCTGCTTCAGTATTTCGGCCACCTCCAATTTGCGTTCCTTGAGGTCTGCCTTCAACCCCAATATCTCCTTCTCCTTCTCGTCGTTCTCCGACGCATCGACTAGGCGGGGTGGGTTTTCCGTGATGCTTCGCAGGAACTTTTCTTTTGTGACTTGTTCGACGTAGCTAAAGCGGAGCTTGCTGAACAGTTCCTGTCATGCCTGTCAGTCGTCTGTATTTGGTAGGCTATACGTCATGCCTACCTTGTAATGTAGCAGATCGGCTTCAAGAGCTGCGGGGTGAGTATCTCCATTCTGCTCGCTGTCCTCGGATGCTGCCGAGTTGCGCTTCTTCGCAGCCTGTGGAACGTCTTTTGGTGACAATGTTTCTGCAATAGCCAAAAGCTTCAAGGATTGCGACTGCTGTAATTGTTCCAGTGCCGACGCTGGTGTGGGCGTCGCAGACTTGCGTTTGGGTGCCATTCTATAGATACACCGATATGTCGAGGTATTCAGCTTTGTTTTGGTACACTCGCGACTGCCCGCATCCACGCGTGCCAAGTACAAACTCCGCGGCTATTACCACATGCGGCCTAGTGAATGATATCACACGGCCTTGCATGCCCTTCACTCGAAAGCTCCCGAGCTTATACTCAGCCCTCATGCACATTCCTGATAGCCCACAACACAACCAACCATGGCGAATAACATAGATGACGACGCGTATATTGCAGAGTTACTAAAGCAAGACGCGAAGACGGCCGCAAAGAAATATGAACTCGTAGGCATTGATGCCTTCAACCCGAGGAGGTGCGTTACAAAACATCTGTACCCGCTATGTCCTTACACGAGCGTCCAAGGTACATCGATGCTTAATCACTATGTTTCTTATGCTAATGCGACGAAGAATGAATTCGCGCGCGCCGAAGCCGAACAAAAACTTCTTGCGACACATTATCCGCCAGACTGATAGTCATAATGCCGCGCTCCTTGCAAGAGAGGCCGAGGAATCGCGTGCTCGGCTCAGGAAGTTGAATGGCGAGGGAAAATTTGGACAAGACGAGGGACGATTGACCCCAGTGCCAGCCCACGACGACTCATGCGAGACGCACTCGAGCAGACGGCGCAATCATAGAGACGACGGTGATAGACACGGGAAAAGAGCTAGAGAAGAAGAAAGAGAGAGTTCTAGAGATGCGCTAACCCGCAGACATCGTGATAGGAGTAGGGACAGGCAACGCCGTAAAAGGAGTTACGACAGCGAAGAAGAGGATTCTTCTCGAAAGAAGCGCAGGCGCTCGCGATCACCCCACGATAGAACGCATAGGCGCGAAGAAAAGGACAAAGAACAAGGCCGAAGGTCTCGAAAGAGAGAACACGAAGAGCGCAAAGACCGTAGACACAGACACAGATCCTATTCGAGGACACGCTCGCGATCCCGATCATTAACACAGCGATCTGACAGACACGATAGACGACGCAAACATAGAAATCCGAGTCCATCTCCGCGAGGCGATTCAAAAAGTACAAGGCGAGAACGGGATTCTCACAAATATTCCTCAAGTTCAAAACGCCGAGCTGCCTCACCGGCATCCGACTCCGATCCCCTTGAAGCCATCGTTGGGCCACTACCACCACCTCCCGAACCTACCGTACGATCCAAAGGCCGCGGTGCCTTTAAACCGAACTCCATGGGTATCGAATCGCGCTTCTCTTCCACATATGACCCAAAAACAGATGTGCGGGTAAACTCTGACGTTGAAGATGACTGGGGCGATGCTCTGGAAGCTTTACGTGATCGCGCACGCTGGCAACAACAAGGCGCTGAAAGGCTCAAGGCTGCGGGTTTCACAAACAATCAAGTCAAGAAGTGGGAGAAGGGTGATCTTCCGAACGAGGAGGATGTGGTATGGAGTAGGAAGGGTCAGGCGAGGGAGTGGGATAGAGGGAAAGTCGTAGATGAAGACGGCGATGTTGAGTTGAAGGCTGATTTTGGGCGGTTGAAATAATGTGCTACCATGCGGTTCAAACATTGTACCACTATGGGCAGGCACCATGGGAATATATTGCAGAAGATGTAACAGTTGGTAGAGTAACATACTAAATCGGACTATAGCAGAAGCTCAGGGACTAGACAGTATTTACCCCCATAAATCCAAACCCCTACCAATACCTCCAACTATCTACACAATCCACCCCATACTACCATCCGAAGCCAACCCTCCCCTCCTTTACTCCCAATGCCTCCCCAACAACCCCACCTCCCGACTCCCCAACTCATCATCCTCAAACGAAAAGTCTTCCCTCAAACCACCCTTATCCTGTTTACTCCCCCAAACCGTGCTGCCATCTCTAAACTCCGAGGCGAGCGGAAGCGGACGCCTGGGAATAGTCATGGTCTGTCGAAACTGCTGGGCTGGCGACGCAGGCAGAGGCTGCGTATCACGGTGGTAGGTAACGCGTGGTTTAGAAACAGTGGTGGCAGGGTGTAGAGTGTCGAGTCCGATGGGTGATTGGGTTTGTGTGGTGGTGTATGCGGGATACAGTGGTGTTTGCTGAGACGGTAGATGCAACGGGGGATTATCAAACGTTTTCATTTGCAACTCGTTAAGCGTGCCACTTAGCCATTTCCCTTCGTCGTAGAGAGGGGGTTTGGTTGTGTTGTTTGGTATGTGCTGCAAAGTGGTGTCGCCTTGTTGTTCTAGTCCAAGTGGTCCGCTGATTCTGAGGCGGCGGGGAGTGGGCTCGGGTTCGGATTTGTTGGCCGTGGAGTTGGCGTTGTGCTTGTTGGTGAAGGAGAGAACCAGAAGGGCGAGGATGAGGGTGGTTATTACAGCGCTGATAGCTGTGGGGACGGTTTCGATGGTTGTGATGTGGGCGGAGGGGAGGAGAAGTGGAGGAGGGGAGATGGTGAATGTTGGAAGGGGATCGGTAGATGTGGATGGCATAGTGAGGTGCTAGGTTGATCCCAGAATGAAGTAATCGAGTCTCGTGTATGTATAGGTTATTTAATTACAAGATTTACAAAATTCACATATGTATGTACTGTAATCGCTCAAAACAAACGCCGGTATCATGTTCACGTGGAAGCTGTTCGTAGCCTGTTTACGTCGTAGACCCAACCTTCTCCTGTAACGTCTTAGCCTCCTCATCCGTCTTTCCGCTTGCACGCCTCCTCCTTAACTCGGACATCGATATCGGCGGCTTCGCTTTTCGAACCTTCTCGTCCGACGAGCTCATCCTACGCATTTCAAACTCCAATTTCGCAGCCAGTCTCTGTAGCAGCCATTGAGGCTCCGATTGATTACCCATGAGCGGACTACGGATACCGAGCCAACTCCATGCGAGCTTCTTGCCGTCGTCTGCAGTGCCGATATCAGGTGTGCTACCGTCATCATGATGAGTGTACGCTTTGGGCTTCCGGTGATTCGAGCTGTCACTTTCGTCTTGGCCGATCAAGCGCAGGTAGTACTCCCACTCGTGGTATTCGTACTGTTTTGGTGGTGTGGTTTCGGCGTCTCGCATTATTTGACGGACCTCCTTCGCCAAGACAAAGTGGTAGAAGCGAATGTCGCGTTCCAGATAGTCACCGTGCTCTTCTGCCTCTCCAGCTTTCCCTAACTCCTCCTCTTCGATGTAGCTTGCTAGGCGGTCTTGCATATGATTATTCTTCGAGCTCGAAGACCCGTCTTGAAGACCAGATTTCTGCTCATGATCGAATTTACCAGTCTTGATTCGTGTCCAGCCAACCTTGAGTGCGGCGCTCAGTCCTTCCTCATCCGGCAACACCGTAAGCGAGCCCACCCAAATCGTGAAGTCTTTGAAACCCTTGATGACCGTGTTACCCATGTTAGAGATGAGGATCGTAAGGGTTGGGACCGCGAGTAGACTCCAGAACACCATGAACGCCTTTCCGGCATTGCTCTCGACAACGTAGTCTCCATAACCGATTGTCAAGAGTGATACATAGGCATAGTACAGCGCCAAAAAGTAGGTAAAGCCTTGTGGCTTCTCCGAGTACATGAAGACCAACGCTCCTAGGAACCAGAGCAGAAGTGCCGCTGCGGTTGACAATGCCAAGGCTGTGTATCTCCGCTTCCTCTCTGACAGCTCTTGTACCCGTCGCATTATGGTAAACTCTTTCTCGCGCCTCTGAGACTCCGTCAACCCCTTGGTCGAAAAATCAATCTTCTCAAAGATTGAAACACGTATTGTATGCGTATCGTCATCGACGGATTGCAAGACCTTTTGCCTCTTGATCTCCATGAATCTAGCAGCCATCTTCTCTTTCCCGTGTTCCAGGATGAGCGAGCGAATCGACCCGATGACCAAACCGACGGTCACAAGTCCACCAATGGCATACGGTATAAGCAAAGAGCGACCTGTATGGGTCTTTGGTACAAAATCTCCCCCAAACCCGATCGTGAGCAAAGTAAAGTTGGCCCAGAAAACCGCATCTAGAAAGTTCCAGTCTTCAACGTAAGAAAAGACCAAGGCTCCGATAAGTAGATAGACCATAAATGCAATGGTCTGTAACATCAGTGTCCGCTGGCTAGCCGTAAGTCGAAACTCTCTTGCGTAATGTCCCTTGTATGCTCCAAAAGCAGTGAAAGTCATAAGTGAGGCAATGATAAAGTAGATACCGGCAGCTATGATGGCATAATAGAAGGCTTGGCTCAGAGCATGTTCTGACCTGGGCTCGATCCGGAAGACGGGCGACGAGGCTACACCAACAAGCGCCATCAGGAGAAAGCCAGCCAGGTAGAACCCAATGATAGTAATGGGCTGCGCGATAGCAAAAGATAGTCGTCTTGACATGTTGAGAAGCAAGCTGATGTTGGCGGAAAGAGCGAACACGAGAGAGACAGAATTGACCGCGATAAGCCATGTTGGATCCTCAATTTTTGTTCCGTGTCCCTCGTCGGCTCCAAATGGGATGAAGACCCTCCATTTCTCAACGAGTGCACATATAGAAAATGCATTCGCCATGGGTCCAAAGGTACCTGCTATGAGTGGACTTGCGGTGGACGCAAACCACCATTGACTGAGCTTGTCAGCATACGTAAAGTGGAGCCACATCACTAAAGTACATAACTTGGATCCAAATACTGTCGTTCTTCCCGCTCTGCCTGCTCATCCTCAGCCTGCCTGTTGTTCTCGACATCTTGAGCTGCCTCCTGCGCAGGCTCGTCTAGGCCGGGGTCGTTCATGGTACGTTGAGTATTGGGGTCTCCGGAAGTAGCGGTGCGGGGTGCATGGTAGTAAAAGGAAGAAAAGAAAAAGAAAAAGATAATCCCCGGAATTCCCTATTAGTGAGGTGTGCACGAGGCCTGTGCATGTGTGATAGCAAGTTATGCGGCTTGACGCGTGATACAACAAACAACAAGGGGATGACGTAGGTGCCGACGGCTATCTCGCTAATCTGGAAAAGCCACCAATTTCCAGTGTTCTCATTTTCCTCACGCCACAACGATAATCAAGTGTAGAGATATGATCCCGAAGCAATTGATGTTGTGAAAGAGTAAGGCGGGACTAACGCGAGTCGGTCCGATAATGACGGGTAGGATCTCTTCAGGATGCCTTGATGGGTCTCCTAGCTCAAGATGCTTGGACTATCTCAAGGAAGGAATTTAGCGCATCGGAGCCATGTATCGGATTTCTACCAAGATATTCTTGGATGCGTTCCTTGACCTCATTGCTGGTCTTTCCAAACCCTTTTCGAGATACACACCCGTGGATGCTAATAGTAAGTATCTATGTGCCGTTTCTCTGAACCGCTTTAGATTTTTTGCCTAGAAGTTCTCCTAGTGTACTAGAATAGATTGTCAGCAGTACATATCCCAATGCTGAGACGGTCTGGTTCTCGTGAAGACTAGGCGCCGCTTCGGAAGAACAGTATCTTTGATAGGGAGTGAGTCCCCTTGCGATGTGCGTAACTGTGATCTTCCGGGGTCGTTGGAGTGCGGTACTTATTTCCATCTCTTGATATACCCATGCATGAGTTGACCATCTACCGCTGCGCAAGTTGGTCGAAGCGCACCTTGCGCAGCGTTGGCTGACATCTGACGGGCCAGCAGTGCCGGCAAAGTCTCCGATGACCATTACATGGCTCATCATCATTAGCTTTGAGTAGATCAGGGACCTATGTTCGCCCACGATCCACAAGTTGTTGAATGACTGCATTATCGTGCATGACTCACGGAAGACAACGGTTGATCTTTGTCGCCAGTAAGTAGTTGTTGCTGTTACATTTTTTGTAGGATATCTTTTAGGTTTCCGTCTTTGTCTGTTTGTGTATGAGTCTCATGAGTATATCGCCATGCTGTGGGTCGAGGAACTCGCTTATCTCCAGATCCTTTGGAACCCAGATTCCTGTTCGGTAGAGAAGAGCTGTTCGTTGAGTCGGAAAATAAACTGTTGGTCGCAATGGAGAAATGAGACAACTAAGTATATGGTAAGTGGCTCGTACAATTACATTATGAATCCAGTGCCTACGGGAAGACAATCAATTCCTAGCTCTTGAAACGATATTTCCTAATGTCCACCCTCTCCGGCCTCCAGTCTCGTGCTACTTGGCCTACATTGGCATCGTTTTGACAGCTTGCAAGGTTGAGTGCTTAGCCAAGTCAGCTTCCTCGAGACCCCGATCTTACCGCTAGTCTTTCATCCAGTACATCTTACACCAATCATATTATATGTCCTAACTGGATACATATTTACTTGCATCGCAAACCTGTAACATGTTACGTCACTCAGAGCGTATCAATTTGGGAGCACAAGAATATATAAATGTATGTTGGGAAGGCTAGATGTGCATGGGGACATGTGTCACTGGCTAGACATGTAGCATTCTTCCCTGAGAATCAGTCCGGATTGGGTAGGTGCGCGACGATGGACAATGCAGGTCAAGCGAGCGAAATGGCAGAGATCTGCACACTGGTGATCTTTGTATATATGTTTCTTCAGAACGGTCCGATAAAATACACGTCTCTTGGTCTTATGTCATTTAATTCTGGGCCATTATAGCGACCCCTACCTCGTCATCCGTTTCCCGTCGTGAGGTTTCAAGGGCTCTACCGAGCCTTTTCGGCCTCACTTTCTCAATTCATTGGTATCCTTTGTTGGGTTCTCTCAGATGATACACCGAAGATACTGCCGAAGTGCAGCATTGAGATGTCAAAACCTTACCTTAAATAGTGAGAGGTTAAAAGTAGGCAATGTCAACTGTCCGGTAATCAAAGTCAGTACTAAGTTGTATTTAGTCGGTGCGTGCATATCACTCCGTGCACGCAAGACACGTACGATGCCAATCGTGCGATCACCCGGCCCAGCCTTTCCCTCCGAATTACATCCGTTGATTCAAGTGTTGTGCTGACGAGGATTTCGTATTGAGAATCGTCACACTCCCCAAGTGTCAAGTCTCTCCCAAGACCATCTCGTCCAGCTGCCGCAACAAATTCTGTCAAACAACTCGATTACCGCACCTTACATAAATAAAACACAATGAAGGTCTCGCTGCCAATCATCGTGGTCGCTTCTATCTTCGCACGATCAACTGCTGCTCAGATTGATGATCCCTCTAGAGCAGGTCCTATATACTGGGTACGGTATTACTGACAATTTTATTCACGAAGAGTACAGACATTAATATGCATAGGGCACTGTCATAATTCAAGATGAGGTAAACTTCAAAAATGTACCGTACTGCGAAGTACCAGGGCAGAATAGATTCAGATGTCCCTGCTTTGAACCAGCAGTTGGCAAAGAGTATGATTGTAAGGTAAGTCGAAGAATTGGTATCAGAGATTGCGAAGTATTATATATGCTGATTCCACAATTTATACAGCCCCGTGGTGGTACATGGAACGCCCCATGCTATATTGGAGGCAAACCCACCCAAAACAACGTGGTTGGGGTGGCCGATATGTGCGCTTGAGAGAACGTAGGTAGGTGGTTGGGAAGGCCTAGAACGGCGAAGCGCCTCAAATGATGCAGAGTTGGAAAGAGGAGTAGCTGTAGTCCAAGACCGAATCAAACAATTGAATGGGGACCGGCTTTCCATTACTCTTCCCAAGTCATTTGAGACGTCCCAATGCATTCTAGACATCATGTCACGTCGAAGCATCCACATGACACAGCGCGTTAGCTCCAGTCTCGTTTAAGATATGGGACGACATGAAGCAGAGGAATCCAGTTCGAATGTTCGCACTTCTACATTACATTACCTACTGTTAGATACAAATCAATGCCTGCCCTCAACAGGTGCCGTATATGCGCGTCTCGCAGCTTCAGCAATGTTGTAGCTGGTAATCCATGGACATCATGAGTGAGCAATTCCAACTTACAACTGCTTCGACACAGTCCATAATCGCATAAGCCCGTGGGCCCTCCCACGCTTAAGCCTTGCTCGAGCCGCAGAAGAACCCCGTTGCAGCTGAGCTTTGGGCTCTGTAACATCCATAACTATCTTCACAATGCAAGATTTCAAATTCGAAGGACGGGGATCTGCGACACGGAAAGATCTGGCGATTATATGAACTGTGCTTTAGTCGTTTATATAGTGGAGTATTTATTCGGGTTAGTGCTGTGGTATGTGAGGAGATAGGAGTCTAGATGATTGCTCTAAACAGCTCGCAGCTAGCCTGTATCTTGGAGGGCTGTATTTAGCTGGAATTCCAGATGTGGGATACTATGAGCAGTCGAGGGGAAATGGGAAGAGCTAAGGCACGCGTGGCTGTTGAGGGAATTCGATCTGCGGATAGTTAGAAGTTGTAAAAGACTTGGTATAATCTTATGCGCGTGGCGTTGGCATTTGGTACATGCTGCATGTGATTCTAGTGAAATGTGTTGCATTGAAGAGGACTATATAACCACGATGAGCGTGAAATCATCCATTTCTCCGTCTTTCTTCCGCCTCATTTCTGTGTTTGAGCAACATAGGCGATGAAATCTGCCCCATCCATGCTATAAGATTTTAGCTGTGTTTCTCACAGTCTCACGACTTTCAAGATTAGGCTGTTCAACCTGGAGTTTTGATCGTCTTCCTCGACCCGTAGGTGTTGAGAACCATGCGTTTGTAGTTTAGAAAGCCGAGTATAACAGTGATGCACAGTCCAATGTTGTACTCAATGCGAGGTTGTATTAACTCTTGAGATTGTTGTCGCCACTGTCCTCAGCTTCCGTGTAGAGAAGAGTCAGGGATACTTGACCAAATTTTGACGATGGCTACTCGTCGACGGTCTTTCTGGTCTGCTGGGCATAGACTCGATTCTTAGTTAAGCGCCATTCTTTGGATATCACTCATTGCTTCATCGTCGCTGAGGGGGTCTCGAGGTAACATCATTGGGTGGCGCTGTACTGATTGTCTTGGCAGTGCATGTGGTGCACGTGGGAGAGCACGTGAGAAGTGAACTTAAGCTCCCTCTTCGCCACCAACCTCAACACCGGCGCCAACTACGCTACACTGACCCCTCCCACTTTCTTCCGCAAACAACGATTCTGACGCGAACAACGTTACACCCACACAAACAGCACAGTAGGTTCTTAATATCTCTTTCAATATGCCATGTTCGCGTGTGGATGCTCGACCAGCTACCAGCTGGGCTGTCACGAGCGTGCCTCCAATCGCTCTCCAGATGTCAAAGTACCCGTCAGGCCGTACACCCTATGCTTTCTGCATCTGCAACAGCTGAAACGGCCAGAGACTCGCAGCTCGTGCTCGTGCTCGTGCTCGCAATACCGTACTAAGCAGCAGGAGGCACTTCTGTCTTTGGCCGTGTTGGACATCGCATTGCCCGCGAGCCAGCCAGAGGAACATCTCATAAACCCGAGACACATCCATCTGTTCTAGACGAGACAGCTAGGAGACCCTCGAGGCGCCTGTAGCTTCAAGAAGAAAGAGAAAGAGACCCAGAAATATCCGACTGCACCATGACACTACCACCCACAGCCATGATTGCGGGGTAGCAGGACGTGCGCAGCACCCACAATGCCACTTGTCTATGTGGGACTTCAAGGAACCCGGCCTTTCAAACTAACTCCAGACTCCAGACTCTTCGACTTGCAGCGATTCTCGCACTGTGATTCGTTGTTAAAACCCTTCAAGTCAACACCATCCGGGTACGGTAGTTACCTGACCAGATGGTAGGTGTGAACCTTTACTGACACAAGACCAGATGCCTGTGCCTTACTCATTGGCGCCTGCGGACAGAGACGTTGTTATCATCAACGTTAACTCCTTCATCAGTGTCGACCTGTCTGGCTTCGAGCCTATGTGCGTCACCCAGGACAAGAGGCGGAATGCACCGGATGGACGTGTAATGGAGGCAGGCCAGGTAGTTGTGAACAAGGACGTTCCCAACGGCCCCATGGTGTTCGAGGACTGGAAGTTACTTCATCCGTGCCACTGTCTCTGTGATACGCACGTGGACTCCCACCGCTTCAACAACATCCAGGAGGACAAGGACCAGGAACACAAAAAGTAAACCTGCCCTATCTTGAGTCTTGAGACGAGATACTCTTGGATCATCCGAGACGTTGGTCTCCCTACAGCCTTGTGTAGGTCGATAAACCCGTCAGACTTCTAGGTCAACGAAGCGCGACGGGATAATGCTCAATTTTCGAAAAGTCTTCAGGCCACCTTTATTTACCCTGGAAACAATGAATACTAGTGCACACCGTCATGCCAGTCTTGACGTGTATGCATACTAACCCTCTGGCGCCTTCTGGGTCTTACTTCAGCTTCCAGGGGTCGACAAGTAAGTAGCAATTGCAATAGGCTACTGGCTAACGGAGCGGCGTAGTGGTAATCATAGAATTGGTGATATACAACCCCCCAAAATAAGGAATTTTGCTATTCGAGTCTGCCTTGAGCCTATGGTACTTCGGCTGAGTAGCTGCTCGTCCAAGGAGTGGCTCGCGGTCGTGTATGCCAAGAATACCAACGGTGACTTGGCTGTAGAAGATACAGCTATGCTCTTTCATTATGGAGAGATGCAGCTATGTTCTTCATGATGAAATCCCGGGTCTTGAGGGGTACCGTAGCAGCATATGGGCTGGGTGCCGTATGCCGGCCTGACCCCACCGTCGAATCAGGGTTGTGCAAGACGTCTTTCTCAACTAACAATGCTCCAAGATAAGTTGCTTGCCCCTACTCCGGTACTGTTGAACTGGCTTGTGGCCCACATTGCCGTCTGTTACGGTGGCGGCTCCCATGGACATGGCAAGATACTTCCTCAGAACAAGCGGGGCCCCAGCAGAGACGGTATCGCAAAGGCCCTGTGTTTGTCTCTTGAGCATACAGCCTGATATGGTCAATGTAATGGTCAGCACGTAAACCTCCAGCAGTTTGGTGTCCGTCGACAACTGCAGGACGTCAGCCACTAGGGGCTACGTTTAGGTGTTCCTAGTCCTTCGTGGTCTGCCGCCCAACTCGCAGTAGCCAACGGTTGCGATGAAGCTATCTGTCACAGAAATGACAGCCGGGTGCGTCTTGGGAGGCGTAGACGTATCGTCGCCAAACCTTCTAAAAGCCCACCACTGTCGCATCATCGATGCCTGGTGTTTACATGACTTTGTCATTCATGTCACTTCATACCCACACGTGTGGAAGCGGGGTGTCTTGAGTTTGTCTGCCTCGATTCGCTCAAGCTGGCCGGAAGCGAGGCGGCGGAGAAGGAGTCCGGTACGACGATAATGCTATGTGATCTCTCAATGAGTATACACGCCGTGTGCGGCTTGTGCCTTCCCCGTTGTGTAGCAGTCGGGGGGTTGCTGGAGACGTCTTAGGGAAGCTGCGGAGCATGCTTGCGGCTTTCTCCACGTCTGGTCCACCACGCGACGCCAACACGTTCAGCGACAGGGGTAGCTACAGCGTCTTGGGTCGTTCGGTCTTCACGAGGGACGTTCAGTAAGTCAGTAAGTTGTCAATGAGGGCCTGGGTGATGAGCGAAGATGGGTAACCGATTCGGCCCGTCATGCATCCCTGTTTCAAGCATGGTACGCCAGCTCGGTTCCGGAATGGTGGCATCCCCTGGCGTCTGTCAACGACGACCGTCGTAGACGTCTTCACGCTTCTCATCGGAAAGCCATCACAGTCGATCGTCGATTTCTTAGGCCCGGGAAAGCATGACATCGTCTCAAGAAACTATATGGTTACGCGTGTTACTTCTGGCTGTTTGAAGTAAGAAGCGATACCTATCGTACCGTCACCAGCGACCAACGTGCGAAGAGCATGCGAGGAAGAGCTACGGAGATTTGAAGATTTGAAGACCCGTTGTATGATTTGGGCCCTGGGTGTGTAAAAGCTGGCTGGGATGCGCATGATTCCGCACAACACGGCCTCGTCACAGCGAGCTTCTCATCGTGTCCATCGGCATTCTCAAATCTCTGGTGGTTGTAGCCTGCTTGGTTTCCCGCCAACTCTGGTAGTATAGTCCAAGACAAAGGTCATGTGCCAACATCAGACAGACATTTGAAGATGTCTTCTGCGTTCTACTAACGCTATATGGGGTTTCCCACAGTCGAGATTACTCTCTGAGTGTTCATCCACGCTCGTATCATGGGAAAGTTTGTAGTCGATGGCTTAGGGATACGAGTATGTTGGAGCTATATTCGTATCTCTATCTTGCGCTGAAGTCTCACGTTATTGGGCTGTTATCGCCCAGTTGTCTGGCAGCTACTTTGTCAGTAAGGTGCCCACGACGACAGTGCCCAATACCAATCTCACCTGAGACGTCTTCGGTCTTAATGGTGCTCTGCCGCTTCTCACCTGCTGCAGAGGCTTCCGCCACCTCGCCTATCGCTATGGCTATCGTCAGGGTCTCCCCCAAAAACGCGCTAAGGGACGCTACTGGGCAGCTCTTGCCTTCCCTCTACATAAACAACGGCTTGCCCCGCCCTTCTCACCTTGTCTCGCTGCCCTCACCTTTCCCCCTCCCTTGTACCATCCCTTCACAAACAAGCGTCTACCTTACGGTTCTTTCACTTCATCATGTCTGACGCAGGCGCGGCCGACGCCGTGGTCAATCCTGCCGATGCCCGCAAGGAGCAGATGGCACAGGACCTTGCCAAAGCCAAAGAGGCTGGCTGGACTGATCCAGTGCCCTTCGAGTACGAGAACCCTGCCACTGGTGCTCCTGTTGAGGACGAGACCCGCGACAACGTCGCGTGGCTCTCTGATGCAGCCATCTACCAGTGGGACGACGACTTTGGCGATGTTGGCGATCCCAACCCAGAGTTGGAAAAGATGCTCTTCAATGATGAGTTCCATCAGCGCGCTGGTCAAGCCATCAAGGCGCTTTCCTTCGAGGTCACTGTTGAAGGCCCCCACAAGCTCAACCCTGTGCGCAACGTAAGTCACCGTGGCTGTATATCACTGGAATCGGTTAATAAAGAAACATAGTTTGAGGACGCTGGTCTGCATCCCGTTATGCTTGAAAACGTCAAGCTGTGCCAGTATGCGTACCCGACACCTATCCAGGCGTACTGTATCCCTGCTGTCCTGACTGGAAATGACGTTGTCGCTATCGCACAGACTGGTAAGTCTCACTCTGCCCATGTCAAATATCTCACTCACAATGCTCAGGTTCCGGAAAGACTGCAGCTTTCCTTGTCCCTATCCTGTCCAAGCTCATGGGCAAGGCCCGCCAACTGGCTGCGCCTCGTCCGAACCCGATTCACTACAACCCTCTGACTGACAAGGTCCGCGCTGAGCCGCTGGTCTTGGTCATCTGCCCTACGCGAGAGCTTGCCTGCCAGACGTTCGACGAGGCCCGTCGTTTGTGCTACCGCACCATGATGCGTCCTTGTGTCGTCTACGGTGGAGCTCCTTCAAAGAATCAGCGTGAGCAGCTGGAGTTGGGTTGTGATATCCTCATCGCCACCCCAGGTCGACTCATGGATTTCGCCCAGAACGCGAACCTGCTCTCGTTCCGTCGTCTCAAGTAAGTCATACCCCTCTATGCCGACATCATCGATAGCTAACAGTACAGATTCACCGTCATCGATGAGGCTGATGAGCTGCTCTCCTCCGACTGGGAAGACGTCATGGAGAAGATTTTCCAGGGCGGTGGTACGTCTACATTCACCATGGTCATCGTCCTCGCTCTCTGCTAACAATGTTCACTTTTAGACACCAACACTGATGCTGATCACACCTACCTCATGTTCTCCGCCACTTTCCCCAAGGCGGCTCGTCGTGTTGCCAAGGAGTACATGGCTGATGACTTCTTTCGCATCAAGGTCGGCCGAGTCGGCAGCACCCATGAGAACATCAAGCAGCAAATCATCTGGGCAGAGGAGAATGCAAAGAACCAAGCGCTTTTCGACCTGATCTTTTCCGAAGGTCCTCAGCGTACACTGGTCTTCACCAACTCCAAGGCCAAGTGTGACATGGTCGATGATTTCCTCTACAACAAGGGTCTGCCTGTTACTTCGATTCACTCGGATCGTACCCAGCGTGAGCGTGAGGATGCCCTGCGCTCCTTCCGCACTGCTCGGTGTCCCATCTTGGTCGCTACTGGCGTCACTGCTCGTGGCCTGGATGTAGCCAACATCAAGCACGTCATCAACTACGATCTGCCTTCGACTATGCATGAAGGCATCACCGAATACATTCATCGCATTGGCCGTACCGCTCGTATTGGTAACGAGGGCAAGGCTACTTCCTTCTTCAACGACCGTAACGACGATATCGGCGAGGATCTCACCAAGATCCTGTTGGAGTCCAAGCAAGATGTCCCGGAGTTCCTCCAGCAGCACATTCCTGAAGACCCGACTGCGATCGACTGGCACGACGGCACTGACGACGAGTCCGACGATGGTCTCGGTGGAGGTTTCGGCGGAGGTTTCGGCGGCGAGGCTGGTGAGACTGGTGAGACTGGCGAGACTGGCGAGACTGTCGCTGACACCGGCTTTGGTGGTGGTGACGCTGGAGGCTTCAACGGCGGTGAGGACAGCGGTGGCTTCGGCGGTGGTGGCTTCGGAGACGGAGGCTTCGCTGCTGACTCCACTGACAAGACGGCTTCCTGGTAAGCTACTTTGGTCTGCCGCAGTTTTCCCCGTCTCCCAAAAGTGTTAAGTAGCCTGCTTCATACGGCGAGTGTCTAACGTCTGCATCTATCCGGCGTTTGATTTGCACTTGGACTCATGACATGGTACGACATTTCCTTCACAGTGGCTTGGTAGCTTGCATGTAGCTTGCATAGGTACTAGATAGCCAATCACACTAAGTTCACAAAATTCTGTACTACACATGATGATAACCATGACTGCTTATTACCCGTGACGCCTTGAGGTTGCCGTGAGGGACATTAACATCTTCGTTGTACCCTATAAGCATAAGAAGGCGGTCCCCATACGCGATAGTCACATAACTCAACCCATTGAATAGCAGGCAGTCCTATTCAAAAGAAGCTATTGCATTAGCTCAACTCAGCCTTGCTTTCTCCTACAACCCAACCTCATTACCACCCTCGTTACCACCCTCATTACCACCCTCATTCATCTGCGGCGGAGACAACAAGAACACTGTCCGTCTGTCTCCCAGCTCACAGGCCACACATGCACGTACACAATCATGCCCATGCCGATGCGAATGCCCGATAAACACCATGTTGACAGAAGAACCTCGAAAAAAGAAAAGAAGAGAATAGGAAAGGAAACAAACACAACAACTATAGTACAACAAACACCACCCTACCCTACCCTTCCATCCTTCTCTACAGCCCCAGATACAGCGCGAGGAAAAACACAGCAACATGCTTGTCCCTGTTACAAAGCAGCAGGAGGGGTATAAGCGCAACACAACAACATGCCCTTGCTCGTTTCTTTTCGTTTCGCACTAGTGGAGGAGGTAGTAGAGGGGTAACATTCGATCCCATCGTTTACGACGATTACGACAACAGCATCGCGGGTATATATAAAAATCCATGTTTCAAAATGCCGATTATTACGCTGATTATGCAATGTTTGTTCTTCCTTTTCTTTGATGGCGCCACAATCGACGATGATGACGACGAGGAGAAGAAAGAGAACATGACTACTGGGATTGAGACGGATTTGCACATTTGAAGGAAAGCTCTCTCGCGTGACGCGCACATACAAATGACAACATGAACAGGCTATGCGGGGCGGCTAACGGCGATCTCTTCCGACGATCCTGTGGGAAGTGGAGGATGTGGAGACCGCGGCGTCCCAGTCTCTCTTCATCTTTAATACAAACGTCCTCGACTGGCCTGACTTGCTCTGCTGGGTGAGGTCCGGCTTCTCTCGTCTTCTTCGGGGACATCGCTCAATCTGGTGGGATGGTGGTGTCGCATGCCTACCCACTCGTCGCCGTATCCGTCGCCGCTGTAGTCTGGTGTACCACCGGCGGTAACGTAGCCCTGAGGATGTGAAGGCCCTGCGCTTGAACTGGTTGCATAACCACCCTGTGATGTGGCGGTCGTGCCGTAGTGCTGTAGATGTTCGAGTTCGCGCTGCCGGGCCTCTTCTACGTCATACTCGTCCGACATTGGCGATTGCAGTGACCGGAAAGGGATCCTGCGCCCAGCGTCATCGCGGATAAAGTTGCCCCTCTCGTCGAGAGCGTACTCGATATCGGCCTCGGATTCATCTCCTTGAGACGTCACGTATGACTGCTCATCTTCAGGAACATTGGATTCAGGCTCGTTATGCAAGTACGAACCAGGCTGCTGATAAAAGGCCTCTGGCTGCGACATGGCTGGTTGCGTCGTAGCTGGCTGTGCCTGCGATCCGTAGTAGGGGTACTGTAGAGGAGGCGGAACAAGTGATTGTTCTGTAGCCGAACTAGAACCACCAGGCCGAGATGATGAATTTGAAGCAGCACCCGAGGGAACGTAAGCCCCTTGGGCTACGTGTGCAGGAGCCTCAGGGTCTCGGCGAGCATGTCGGGTGCTCTCAGTGAAGGGGTCTGTACCAGTCGGAGATTGCCCTTCTTCGTACGAGTAGTGTTGCTCAATACCTGAGCCAGTACTGCTTTGAGCACCAGCGTAGGTGTCTTCTCCATGCCCCCTTCCTGAAAGACCCATGTTCTGTCCCATAGGAACCACTTGCACTCCGCCGACCAAGGTGGGGTGCCCTTCCCTCAAGGAGAATGTGCGATCACGCTCTTCTTGCTCCCGTCTACCTAACTCTTCCCAAGCTCGACGCGCTTCCTCCTTGGAGATTTGCAATTCACGCTTCATCTCTGTCACCGCTCGTTCGGCGTTCTTCTTCTCTGTGGCCATGCGCTCCATGTTTGCCTCAGCCTCAAGACGCGCCTCATGTTCAGTGTTGATTTGTTCGCGGAGTTCAGCCTCGCGCTCCTGTGCCCTTTCCTGGTCCTGGCGATGCTCGTAGAACCATCTCTGGAACTTGCGCTCGGACGACGCACGCAATCGCTGTAATTCAACGACAGCATGGAAAAGGTTGGCGCCAGCTGCCGACAAATCAGTGATCTGGCGTGACATTTGCTGAGCCAATGGTTCTCTGCGAACTTCATCGGTGTTTTGCTCGAGCCGCCGTATCCAGTAGGAGGTGAGTCCTTCCCAATGAGAGGACAGAGTTTCCCAACGCTCGAAAGCATGCGGAAAGTTTGAAGTGGTTGACTCCCGGGGTGGGCCAGTGGCTGAGCCGGAGCCTGGCCCAGGCGTGAGACGTGGTGGTGGTGGAGCAGATGAAGGGCCTGCTGGTGCTGAGGCCGTAGCTCCAGAAGGCCTTCTTGCATGCCCTGAGCCAGCTGGCCTTCTGCTTTGTTCCGTGGTGGGCACTGCTAGATTTGCCTGTGCAGGTCGAGGTTGCTGCTGTGCTTGAGAGGCAGCCCTAGGCCTTGACTGCGAGGCACCAGTCGGGGTCTCTTGGGCTTCGGATGGTATCGGTCTTTCTGGTTGGCGTGGCACTCCACCAGATGATGCCGGATATTGTACGTATTGGTCGCCAGCCCTTTGAGGCCCAGGTTGGGGCTGTCTCTGGGTTCCAGGCTCGATTGTTGGTGCTCCAGCTACACCAGAAACAGCTTGTGCTCTTCTTTCTGCACTCGTTCTCCTCCGCTCTTCCTCGGCAGCCTTTCTCTGTTCCTCGACCTCAGCACGTTGCCGTCTGGCATTCATAATCTGCGTTGGTGTACGTATATTGGAGCGATCAACCTGAGTCACGGGAATAGGACCGCCAGTCGTGCGCGCACCGCCATTGGCAGCGCGGCCGCTCGTGAGATCGGACATGCGGGCGTTTTCTTCGACCAAATCCGGAGTAAATGGATGCGGAAGTCGCAAGCCCTCTTCGAGCACGAAGCGTATGGCCGAAGCAGTGCGTCGGCTGATACGAAGGGCAGGGTGAGGCTCAAAGGGAGGTGTTTCGAAACGGACACGCTGCTGTTGTTGGTTCGGCTCGACAGATCTAGCGCGCTCGAAGTTTGGGGTCCGGCGGAGGCTGTTTACTCCACTACCAGTCGAACTCGATGCTCTCGAGTGGTTGTGTTGTGTGCGGTAGAAGGCTTCTGCTTGCTCCTGGCGTAGCTGGAGGGAGGTGCGATATTCAGGGAACAGCGCTGGGGCGTCGTGGTCGTGGTCTCGTGAAGTTGGGGCGGAGAAGGGTAATATATTTGCCAACTCGGACGGGCCGCTGGACGTCAACGTGAAGTCAGGGACTTGCACTCAGGGCTCAATCGCCCTTGCGCCGTCAAGGGGCACCCGCCGCGTTGGACGAGTTACCCAGCGGCTGGATTTCTTGGGATAGACTAAGCAGCGCGTGACGCGTGCTTATGTCGGAATGCACGGGAACTGGCTTTCGAGGATAGTATTAGATACAGAGACAACGGGAGGGCTAGCAGAGGAACCATTGCTGCTGTGCGCCCAGGCAGTTCGCATGGCGTTGAGGTGGTTGGGGAGGTCAAGGGCTGGGAGGTGGCTGGGATCAAGTCGACTTACACCTCTCACCGACACTTGGACGAGATGGCCAATGTGCGTATGGGCATGCGCGAGTCGTGAGCACGTATGCGCTGCGTTGTTATCGTCGTGCTAGTTGTCGTCCAATGCCTCGCCTTTTGCTGTCACGGCCAAAGTAAACGTCACCGGACGGAAAGCACTTGTTCAGCCGCAGCGCGCGGAAGCGCGGCGCCTGCAGAAGGCGATTGGATCAAAAGAGTGACTGTCGAGACAATGGGAATAGCTTGGATATGCATTGAAAGTTGGGCGGCCGAGCAATGGCGGATGTTTGGTACTGCTGCTCCTTGGGCGCGAACCGGACGCCGTGACCCGGCAAGCAAATGCAACAAACGTTACTTTTTGCTGGTGTGGAGCCGTCCTGACCGACGTGCAGAGAGCTGCATGCAAGCGAGTGCTATGAGGCAAGGCTTGCGGACGTCGAGCTGGTGACGGCTACGATCCATGGACATGCCAGCTCATCGTGCTTGTTTTGCTAAGCCAGGCATGGGGGCCAAGGTAGCAGCGCGATCCGGAAAGCGGAAGAGAAGCGCCGTCATGACGATTCGAACAAGGCAGGGCATCAGAGGAGAACAAGTCCAGTTACCCAGAAGCCATGTACCGGCAGTTGGACTTTGATTTGGTACATTTTCTCCTACCGCACTACCAAATCATCCTCGTCGCCGTTACCTCATCGCACCTTCCCCTCCGAATGCGCCTGCCAATCAGCGCCCCATGCCGCTGCTTCGCCCCGGATTCGACCAAGGCGCGGCCCGCGCCCACTACGGCACGAAACGTCACAGCATCTGCGCCGCAAATAAGCTACTACACAAACTCTACCACGGCTCGCGTTTGATAACAACTCTATCGCCATCACTTAGTCCATAGCAACCAGCACCTGAGCCTGCATATCTCACATGTACCTAGTCTCGCCTATGCACAAGGTCCATAGAAATACCGTACACTAATCAACTAGACTAGCGTGTTTCCTTTTGCAAACTGATGAACGACTAAGCTGCATCGATACCGTCTGTCGTGGTTGGTAGCCCTGCATTAATGACATGCCGTGGTTAGACCAAGGACTCTCCAGCAAAGTACACTCCATGCACTCTTTGGTCTTGGGCTTGAATATGATTTAGAGATAAATGCCATCATATGATTAAAATAGCGCAAACTATAGCCCGTATATCACCCATCCATGGCGTGTCCCTGCGTTTCCCAGGTCAATGTTCGACTTATGTCGGTGGTTTATCTACTATGAATCTAGTAGCTCCCAACGTTGTGTCCGGACATTTGGCGTAGGGTGAATTTGGGGCCACAATCCAAGTGCTCAAGTCCATTCTCCCAACAAAGAAAGTGTCGTGTCTACAGCCCCGGAAACCTTCAGGGTCCTTGTCGAAGATGTCGGTACACTGAAATAGAGTTAGTGAAGATAATAAGTTGAGATGATAAGATACCTACACAGACCATCCATCCCCAGATCTCATTCTTGGTGATGGTGTCCTGGATGGAGGACCAAACATGAGACTTAGTGCAGCAGCCTCTATGAATGATCATAGGGTGTTGAAATGCCGGTATGTTTCGTGGTGTATCCTGTGCGTTGACTTGAGCGGCTCCAGAGAGAATAAGCAACACTGAAGATAGAGAGGAGAAAGTAGTGGTCTTCATGTTTGAGTCGTTGTGTGAATGCTTTGATGGTAGAGTACATATGCACTTGGGCAGAGCTTAAATAAGAGCTAGTCGCAGACTTGTCATTAAGCAAACGCGTTTGAATAGTTTGTTTGATTTGCTTGACTATAAGCAAATTAAACAAACCAAACGCTGCCTATAGAAATATACAAACAAATCAAACGTACGATCGAAATTTGTTTAGTTTGTTTGACTGTTTGACTAATATTACATAGCGAGCTGTTCTATAGATGATGTCCTAAGGTGCTTTAAGATCGACTTTAATGATGTTTTTGAGATAGCGGAGGTAGCAATTTCGCGATAGTTTTCTTGTGTTGCATCTAGCTTAGTCATCATATAACTACACGAGCGTCGCTAGCCGTCGATGACCGCTATCTTATATCCCATCTCCCATCTTCTATATCGCTGTTAGCCATCTTTTGCAGCTACACTACCGTCTCTACAGCACGTTTTAGTGTTTCTCGTTGCCCAACACGCCGAAAATGCCGCTTCGTAACCTAAAACGCGCCGCCGAGGGCACCCCCGGCCCCCACGGCCCCCACAAGCGCGCCAAAACAGCTAAAGGCAGTGCATCGCAGCCTATCCTGATGGACGATTCGCAGCCTGAGCTGTCTATCCGCACCTCGCCACGTAAAGCCCTAGCTGCTGCAGCAAGCCAGGCCACCGAAGACGCGCCGTTCGAGTCGCAGTTGCGCGACGCTATACCAGAAGCTACTATACAACCGCCGGCCGAGGGTAGTAGGGCTGCTACGGAGGCTACAAGTGAGGCTATCGAAGGCGGGGATGATACTGGCTTTGATGACGAGTTTACGGACAACTTTGACGGCATTGATTGGAAGCGTTTACCGCGTTTTACGAAGCCGCTGCGTACGTTGAAGCGCAACAAAAGTTGGGTATATCAGTACGGTTACCGCGTTGCCTCTCTCCGTGAGCCTCATCGTACGTTCTTTGTTTGCAAATACTGCCATCATCGTAAGATCTTTTGCGCCTATCCAGAGGTTACAAAGTCGACCAGTAACGCTATCAACCACCTCGCGCAGAAGCTACTTGGCCACGGCTACGATCGCAAGGGCAAACTGGATTCGATTACACTACCGCGAGGCCAAACGACGCTTAAGATGATGACCGAGGGCGGTGTCGATGTACCTCAAGGCGTCGCTAACGAGCTCGGAAACTTCGACGTACAGCGCTTTCGATACGCCGCTGTTACGTGGCTTGTCGACAATAACCACCCTCTCCGCGAGTTCGAAACGCCTGCGTTTAGGCAGATGATAGAGTTTGCCAACCCGGAGGCAGCTGACGCGCTGTGGGTAAGTCACAACAGTGTAGCTAGCTTCGTGATGAGGCTGTATCGCTATATGGAGCCGCAGGTTGTTCAGATGCTCTCGTCGGCTATTAGTAAAATCCATATAAGCTTCGATGGCTGGACGACAAAAGGCGGCAAGCGCGGCTTCTTTGGAGTTGTTGCTCATTTTGCTGACGCCGACGGCACTATCAGGGACCTACCTATCGCGCTGCCTCAGCTTACGGGCGCCCACACGGGCGAGAGGATAGCTGAAGTTGTTGGCAATATAATCGATGTCTTCGGTATAACACGTAGCCAGCTTGGGTACTTTGTGCTCGACAACGCGTACGCTAATGACACCGCCGTCACCAAACTCGCCCAACGCTTTGAATTTACAGCAAGCCATCACCGCCTCCGCTGCGGCCCTCACACACTTAACTTAGTCGGACAGATGATTATCTTCGGCTTTGATAAGGACGCGTACGATAATGATCAGGACGAGCACAAAACAGAGGCAGCCTACCTACAAGAATGGCGGCAGCAAGGTCCGCTTGGTGTACTAATCGATATCATCAACTACATCCAAACACCGCAACAACACGATCTTTTTGCCGATTGCCAGCGCCGTGTTAACGCTAAGGCTCCCGACCAAAAGCAGGAAATACTCGAG